CCCACCACCCCATCCACCAGTGGGCACACCCCGGGATTCACCATCCGCACTGCCCTGGTACTCCATCGCGCCGGGGGTATGGGAATTCCTGCTAAACGGCGACCAAGAGCACAAAGCCGTGCTACAGTGGTGGGAGCCAAATACTACCTCTGTTCAGACAGAGCCAATAACACATACCTACATCGAAGAGGTGTGCACTCTGCGCGGCGGGCTGGAAGATCTTACGCTCGGACAGTCGTGGGGTATTGGTGCTTATGCCTACCGGGATCCTGGGATGGAGCATGGTCCGTATCGGGCGATGAAGGAGGGATGTCTTCAGTTTGTCAAGGTTGTGCCGGTCAAGAAGTAAGTATTGGGTTTCGAGTGGAGCTGGGATCTGGAGACATCACTTTGACTATCTGAGATCTGGGTATTGGTGATTAGGCTATGTTTTGGGAGGGTGGTTTATAATTTTTTTTTGCTATTTCTTTTATCTTTTTCTTTTTGCTTACAGGCTATGCCAAAACATGATGCATGATGAATATGCGATATTGTACCGTGTATGATGAAACTCCAAGGTTAATGCAAGTGACTTCGTAAAGAATGAGACATGTTCAACGCTTTTGAAACAACTTTTTTTTGTTTCTCAGGTCATCAATCATCAGATCCTGTCCAAGAATTTAGACCGGTACATCATCTGTAACAGATGCCTCAGCCTGAATGGGGCGATCTTCCGCAGGGGCCTCGGTCTCAAGAGTGGGTTCAGGCTTTCCATCAGGGTCCTCATGGACAGCCTTTTCCTTTTCCTGTTCCTGTTCCTCTTCTTCTTTCTCCTCATTCTCCTCCTTCTCCTCAGCCTTCTCCTCCTTCTCCTCGGCCTCTTCCCAATCATCAACAACCTCAGGCGCAGGGGTCTTCGCACGCAAAGACTTTCCTACTCCAACACCAGATCTCAGAACTAAGCGCTCTCGCTCCTTCTTCGCCCCATCACCATCAAGAGCAGCATAAATAGATTTGCTAACCCACGAGTTCTGAACAGGAGTTCCAGTCCTCGAACCAGCCCCGCTACCACCCCTACTCTTCGAAGCAACCTGAGCCCACCCACCGTCACCTCCAGTACTAGCCTGTACCTTGGCCGCTTCACGGGTGGCCTTGGCCTCGAGGGCGGCGACACGACGCGCTTCGTGTTCTTTGCTGCGCTCGCGTTCGCGGAGTTTAACGCACTCGCGCACGCTCATGCCGCCGATGCCGATAGTCGAGCCGCTGCCAATGCCAAAGAGGGGAGGCGTCCATGCAACCGGTTTCAAAACGAAAACGTGGCGATGGGGTTCTGGGTCGTGGCTTTCTGTCACGAAGCCCCAGTCTGCGGCGAGGGAGTGTGCGAATGCGCGGAGAGTGGATTTCGCCGGCTGGAAACGGAATGAACGGGTGGTTTTGTCCGCTGCTGCCAGGGCGTGGAGATTGGATTCGTAAGTTTGGAGGGTTGATAGAGGTACCGAGCATGCAAGCTGGACGTATTGGTTCAGAGTTTCTTCCGAGTAGGGGAGGTTCTCGGCTGTGATGGTTTGAAGCGTGGTTGTCTGGTTGATGTCGATGCCAAGAGCACCGGCCAGGGTACGATTCCGCTCCAGACGAGTACATTCGTCATCGCAGGTCAACGGGGTCAATTCTGGCTGGCGCTGGGGCGACTGCAGCTGGCCCTTGGAGGTCACGGCCTTGGCGGCGTTGCAGCGTCTTTCCTGTCGTAGTCGCCCGCAGCCACATGTCACTGCGATCTTGGAGGAACATGGTGTCTTCTCGGGACATGCGTATGGTGCGTGGCATTGCTCTGTGCAAGGATGGCCGCACATCGTCTTGTTCTTTCCACAGGGCTGGCTGCAAGGTTTGGCTGCGTCTTCGCAATCTCCCGGGCGATGGCAGTCCTTCCGGCAGAAATGAGAGCCACACTTTAGCAGCTGTCCACATACTTGACCGCAACGCGCATCTGTCAGCCAGCAGGGTATGTTTTTCAACACCCGCTTTCCGCACAGACACGCCTTCTCAGTCAAAAATGGACACTTGGGACAGTTCTCCTCGTCTGTGTGACAGGTATGTGCAGTCTGGGGGTGGCCGCATCGCTTTGGACGCTGACAGGGGAAGTTGCAAGCCGGTGGCTTTGCACCACATGGCTGCGGTGGATACAGAACAGATCTTCCGCAATTACACGAAATCTCTTCAAACACTGCCTCCCTGCAGGTATTGCAAGCACCCTTGTGGCAAAGCTCCGGACATGTGTGCCTTCCGCATTTCAGCATCCGGCCACATATGCGAGTGCAGATGTGCTCTGCCTCAATGTCCTCCTCAGAAGGACGGAGATGGGGCCTGAGTTTACGACGCGCAGCCTGGCGCTCGTTGGCCCTTTGCTCTCCCGGGCAACACCTTTCAGTGCACGTGTGTCGACCACAGTGTAGAGTAGCCTTGCACATGCGTGGGCATTGGGGAGGCTCATTGTGGCCTTGATGACAAATTGTCAGGTTATTAGTACGACCGCAGTTGCACTTGATATTAACATTGCGCAAACAAGCGCCGCAGGATCCCACATGACACAGCTTCTCGCAAGTATGACCACATGGCAGTGTCTTCCCGCAAGGCTTTTGACAATTCAAGATAGGGTCTTCGCAGGAGGTACGAGGTGTATATCCCGGGATCTCAGATAACGGTGTTTTGCCACAGGTGCAATTAAGAATAACGTCTGGTGACTGTGGACAGTGTGCAGGATGGGGATCTTGCGGGTGGCAGGTCTTCTGGCACGAATGTATGCCACAATCAAATGGACGATTACAAGTCTCCCCACAACCAAAGCATCCGGTCCACTCATCTTCTGTCCCATCATCGCGGATGATTCGACTTTCCTTCTCATCGTCCTTAGACTTGCACAGCATCTCTGTCTGCAGTTTTCCACAGTAGCAACGTGCGTCAATGCTAACCTCACAGCCACCACACAATCCTTCATGACACGGCAGCGGACATGTATGTTCTCCGCACGGCAGCAACTCACCACAGATTTCGCCACAGCTCCACCCATTCTCATAATCGGTATCCTGGCAACGTTTCTGCGATGAATTGCGGCCACAGAAACAATCTTGCATTGGACCCATAGCAGTACAAGGCGTACACGGACCAGCATGACAGGTCGTGTCACAAGGATGAGGACAATTCTTGCGAGGCCGTGAGCAAGTTTGACCACACGAATGCGGAGGCAAACCGGGAAGCGGCCGAGGGTCGACTTCTTTCTCGCACCAGCAAGAGTAGCTCGTGGGGAAGTTTTGTTGAGAAAGGTTACAACCGGGACAACGCCAAGCGCGAGGAGTGAGGTCCTCCTGCCCGTCTTCTCGAGCAGAAGCCCTCTGTGCAGCTGCACCCTCATTCGTGGACCATTTCTTGACACAGCTCAGATGGAAAACTGTCCAGCATAGCTCACAAGACCAGACCTTGGACCTGCGACCTAACTCGCTGCAGCAGATAGGGCATTCGTACAGGTTATGCGCAATGTCTTCGTGGATGCGGGTAGCCAGATCGTCGGCTGTGGACTTCGTTTTAGGTGGTGGCGGTGCCCTAGGCTGCCTAGCTTTCCCTTTCCCTTTCGAAGATGGTGCTGATTCAGAAGGTGGTCCTTGTTTGGATGACGGCATGCCCGGTACAAAATCCGGCACATCGGGTCTCAGTGAGTGGTCATGTAAATGCCCCGCACCATCCACCGGAGGGCCATTTCCAGCCTGGTCTGGTCTTGTTAACTGGGCTTCAAAGCCACGCGCTCTCATCCCACGGGTTCGTGCCTCTGGTCGTGCCTGTTGGGTTTCAGGTCCTCCATCCTGACCCTGTCCCGTCCGGGGAGTTCCATTGTTTCTTTGTCTCCGGCCTCTTCCTTCTCTGTTTCCCCCTCTCCGCGAACCGGACGGTCCGTCCTGTTGACTGGGCTGGGGTGCTGTATTTGGTTGTGGTTGAGACTGTGTAGGCTGCGATTGTGGCGTAGCTTGATTTTGGGTTTCACCGGTAGGCGCTTGTTGTTCACCATCACGCTTCGCAGAACCCCGCCCTCTGCGTCTAGATGGCCTGGAAGAACGTGGGGGGCGTGACCCGGCTGAAATTGATGTATCTGGCTGTGGTGTCGCCATGGCTGAAAATGCGGCGGAGGTCTGGCTGGAGACTCCTGGCGTACTCATGCGTCCGGCGTATTTTCTCACTTACGCTTGGCTTGAAGAGAATAATTGGCGGTAGACTGTGTGTGTTGATCTATTATATGCTGAAGCGTACGGCAAAGCGAAATGACCGGAAGATAGACACTGAATAAGGAATGAGGAGTAAAATCAAAGGCAAAAGCCCGCTTATAGAATGAGGAAGAAAATAGTAACACAATATATTATCTAGAAGGCGATAAAAGCTCTCATGGCAGAATTGGGCGGTGCAGTAGGCGGTGGCGTAGTGGCAAGAGGCTCAGGTGTGAGTCAGGAATTACATAACGTGACTCATTGTGGCTCCCGACGGAGGTCCGAAATGCGGGTCTGCGATCTATGAATTCGAGTCATGCTTCGTATAACTGAGAGATAGAATGAACCGATGCAATTCATTGGCCTTGTTGATGCATGCACAAAGTGATGAGCGGGGATGCTTGACTCCACTTTGTGCCAAGACATCAAACAAAAACTCAGTGCAGGAGGCTTATATCCAAAACACCTTCCTGCAGCATATCAAAGCGCAATCGGATTTCGGAATATGCTCATTTTTAGATGAAACGACTTGATTGGGTCGCATCGATGGCTGCTACAAAGGGGACACAAAAAAAAACGGTCAAAGCACATTATCAATCCAATTTAGTCCCAGTCCCGAATTAATATAGACAAAAAATGCAATATCGAAGCAGGCGCATCAAAAGAAACATGGCGCTATGCAAAAAAACCAGCCAATTCACCTCATAAGAAACAACCAAACCACTCATTCTCATCCTATAGTTTGATTGGAATCATACACACCGAGACCAGGCTCTAAATGAACACAACAATCTCACCGCGATCATTCCGTCTCAGCCTCAACGCGCGGAAAAGATCCTTCTCATCATCAGCGCGGCGTTGTCCATCATCATGGCCATCATACTCAGTCGAGAGATCACGGTGGAATCGCTTAAGCGCCTTGTTAACCGAGCAACCACGCTCACTATCCTTCGCGACCATCGAGAGGAAGTGATAGGCCAGCTCGCGCTGCATATCCTCGTCGGTGCGCGCCGGCGGCCGCGACTGCTTGTAGACAGTGACCTGGTGACTATGGGAGGGGTCGACGGAGCCGTGGCGCTCGTCGATTTGCTTGAGACGGCGGGAGGGTCTGTCGCCGTCCGTGGGGTTTGAGCTCTTGCGCTTGGACTTGCGGGAGTCATCCTGATCGTCTGCGCGCGAGCGGTGCGACTTCTTGCTCTTGCGGACTTCGAGCTGGCCGTCGCCGCTTGACGAGCTGCCGCGGCGGGCCCCGGCCTTGGAACCGGGCTCAGAGCCGTTGGTGCTGGAGACGGCTGAGCCGCCGAACATGGAGGATACAAGGCGGCCGGCGCGGTTCTTCATCGAGATGCCGAGACCTGGGTCGCCGTTGCCATTGGCTTCTTTGCCGTTGCGGCGGCTGCGCTTGATCGGGGACGAGGTGTCTTGATAAGCACGGCGGCTGGTCTCTGGGCTGTCGTCGCCGTCGGGGGACTGGGAGCGCATCATCCGGTTCAGGCCGCCGGTCAGACCGGAGTGGGTCAGCATGGGTGTGCCGGCGTTGTTGATGATGCTGGAGGGAGCATCCATCATGTTGGTGTCGTCTTCGCGCGGGGTGCTGAGAACCTCTGCTTGGCCGCGCTTGCGCTTCTTCTCGCTGACGGTGCCGGGGGCCTTCTCTCGGCGCTCCTTCTTCTTCTTAGGTGCGGGCGTGACGAACTCTGTTGTTGACGCGTTCGGGGGTGAATCCGAGTGCGGGATGTGGCCGGCGCCGTATGAGAAACCATTCTCCTCGTATGCGATATCGTAATTCTTACCCTCGTCATCCGTGTTGGGATTGGTTTCGACGCGAGTGAGGGACTGGCTGGGCTCGAAGACCGACTTGGCATTGGGGTTCATCTTCATCTGCTCCTTTGGTGTGGTAACAGAGACCTTGGATGCGTTCGGGGTCTCATCGGCGACGAGGTAGTCGAACACATTGACGGGCTTGTCGTTGTTGGCAGGAGCAGGAGTTCTAACCTCACCGGCAGGCGGGGGTGTGGGAGCAGGGGGAGGAGCGTCCTGCACACGGGCTTGCTGCTGGCGGCCGTTGGGGGTTTGGTTCGGATTCTGCTTTTGGTTGTTTTGTCCCTTCTTTCCCTTCTGGGGCTTCTCTTTATACAGAGCACCCTGGTACTTTTGCGCCTCGCTCATGCATGACTGTAGTGGCCGGTCTCGTTAGCGGATGTCTCCCTTGTTGATCCAACTGGGACTTTGGTAAAGTAGCCCAACGACCATTATGCGAAAATGCGACGCGGATGCGACATACCGTATGAGCTCTATACTCCGTTCCATAGAAGTGCACCATGCAATCGATACAGGTGAAGGAGGCGCCGCGACATTGGCCACGATGAGGATCGAGCTTTTTCTTTGTGAGAACATCACCACACGCCTACCAGACTGATTGTTAGTGACTCAAGAGCAAGGCATATAGACAGCATATAAGACTCACCTCGCAAGAGAAGGAGACCATTGTTGACACTAAATCTAACCCTATCGGGTACGCAAACAATAGTTTGAAGAGGGTCAAGAGGGGTGGGTATCCCTTGAAAGAGTTTCAGCAGAATGCGTCCAAGCGGGGAATTCGCTTTGATACGAATTTCTCGATCTGTCGGCTTTTCCTTTTTTCCCTTTTTTTCTTTTCGCGTCGAAATTTGGCGCGCAGATCCAGACTAGTCCCGATCGGGAACCGCCCTAGGCTATTTTGGGTAATATGAATGGACTCGGCGCGTCGAGGGAGATGAAGTTGTTCTCTTTTCCAAGTACTTTGGATATAATATAATAGAAGGGCTGTGAGGAACCCCCTGATTTATTATTCCTTGACTCTGTACTTGTTTCAGGGTAACTGGAAAGGCGCAGATCCCACGCGGACATGGATGCTAGGCCTGTCAGGAGACCCCATGCTTTCATTTGTCGCTTCTTCCCGGGCAGACATAGGGAATATTGGAGGAGGATCCGAGGAAGTAGTCAGACTGACCCCTCGAAATATGCTATCTTGACGGATCTACTGTTATTTTTGGTTCAAACTCAAAACACTCTTCCCCAATTATCCCTTCATCTATACTAACATTTGTGATGCACCACCATTTTGAGCGTTCCGTCATGCCACGTGAAACTAGTCGATCTGTTGAAGGTTGGTATCACGAGGGTGTGACCTAGCAAGATCATCGCCGTTGCTCATAGTGAGGAACAAGAGAAAGTTTAATCGGTGCTTTCTGTGAAGACAATTGAGCTTGGTACGACGGAATGCGCCTTTTAGCTTGCTTTGCCGGGATGTACTGGCTAAGTGTTTTTGGTCATGCGCGCCATCTTCCACACTTGATCACCAGGTAGGATGATCTTTTCACGTAGAATGCTCGGATCATGTACTTTATGGGGATTGGCAATGTGGATGCGGGACTTCTATACTACCAGTCGTTGACCAATTCGTAGCTTGCTATCATTCACTTTTTTATAGGATTGGAGAAAGTCCTCAAAGTATCTGTGTTCTCTCACATATAAAAATTATATTAAGCAACTCCCCCAAACATATGGCTCCGGAAAGAGAGTCAGAAACCAAGCCGCGCTCAGGTATCTACTATATCAGTACAATGATACTATGACAATTTAGGTAGGGATAGACCCTTCTTTATACTAAAAGCCAGATGCAGAACATAACAGGGGTATATTGATATTAACAGTCAACTAACAATCTATTACTATACAAAGGAGACCAGCTCCGTTAGCGTGAACAACAAGGTGTCTGAAAAGCACCAAAGCGCTGGACATAGACCAGAAAGAATAAACTCCCATGGAGTCGAACGAACAGTTAGAGATCCATACCGTCAACCACGGGTCTTCCTAAATCGCACATTAGCAACCAAACAGACACAATAAATGCCCCACAACAGAATACCACTTACTCTTCCTTCGATATCTCCACAGCAGGGCCATCATGCTCCCCCGTGCCCTCCTTCACAGCACCGGACTTTGAAGTACCCGCTCCCTCCTCGTCCCCACCGCAGCCACAATCATAGAAATCTCCCAGATTGGCACAGTCAAAGTCAGGCTTATCAAGCATAGCATTAACCTCATTATGAATGAAACAAGCCCAGCCTGAAGCTGCATTTCGCGACGAAACCTGGGGCGGATACTTGCTCAAATGCTGCATGAAATGCTCAGCACATTCTCCACTGATGTCATCAACCATTAGCTCCCAATCTGGCACAAAACGTCGCACCGGAACGATAGCGAACACGTAGGGGAGAATATCCTTACCAAGGATATAGCCGCGCAAACAGATAAATATAAGAGCGTAGCGCCTCCTTCTGGTCTTCCGTGGGTGTTTCGGGGAACCGCGCCATAACAGTGTGGAAGTATTTCCAAGTCGCACGACCTAATTCAGCCCTGGAAAGCCACCAAATCCGTAATTAGCAATTTGTCCCACCACGCTCGTATATTCTCAATGGGTCCCTCCTCGGAGCAACTTACTTGGCTGTTTCGTTGCCGAGCTTCGGCATCACCACATCGCCCTTCAGTGTGCTAGCTTGAATGGTTATCCCCGGCGCGGATGCCGGTGCGGAATGGTTGATGTGGCCTGGGGCGCGGACGGCGGGACTCGGTGGCCCTTGTGGTCGAATGAAGAGGAAGAATATGAGGCATAGTGCGATCGCTGCGCTGGTGACAATGCGCCGTGTGATTTGTCGGTTCGCCATGTTTGGGGGTGGCAATGGTTGGGGAAAAGAAATGTCGCCAAGGGTCTGGTCGCTGGAGCACCCGTGACTTTGTGAACAGGGAATAGTCCTGGGCGGAAGATGAGATAGAGTATCTCAGCTGGGAATATGAGAATGATTGGTAAAGGGAGCTTTGTACGGAAGGGATTCTACGTGCGCCTACTTGGGCCCGGGGAGGGGGGCGCTCTACAGCTTAGTCATGGATTTCATCGGGCCTCCCATAATGCGGGGCGGCGGATGTAGTAGCCCTGGAAGAGATCGGAAGTGTCTATCATACGATCAGTATGGGACAATACGATTGGGAGGATCGATATCCCTACCAGAGGAATGCTGTTTGCTAGCCATACTATGGCTCTCTGAATCATAGACTCAGCCCATTAGACCCACATCGGATGTGTTCCGGGGTTTCACTCAGAAGCGTTTGGCCAGGATGCATAGAAGAGTTGACAGACTGCCACAAAGTATTTTCACTTATTGGGAGATATCTGACTATTACATCGTTGAGATCAAGTCAAAACTTATCTATATCCTATCGTGATTTTCAACTACAGCAACCGAGTCGCTCAAACTCGGAGGCAAGTCATCCTTGCGTGTACCCCATTTGCTCTCCTTATCCCCGAGTGTCAGCTCCAGTGTCATTCCTCGAGTAAAGAACTCATGTCCAATCCAACTCTTGGTGTAGGGCTTCCCATTGAGCTTGGCACTTTGGATATATATCTTCTCGTAGGTTTTGTCGAAGTTGACATTCCGGATGGTAGCTGTTTGGTCGGTTTCAGGGTGAGTGATTGCGACAGCTTCAAAGAACGGAGGAATAATCAGGTACACATTTTGACCGGGATTCGGGAAAAGTCCCATCAAGCTCCATGCTAGGAATGAGCCCATGGCGCCTGAGTCGTCGTTGCCAGGTAGACCGCTGTGCGTGCCGTTGAAAGAAGATGGGATGTAAGCGTGGGCTCGACTGGCAGACAGACCGGGGCGGCCGGCGTAGTGGTAATCGTATACGGTCAAGAAGACAGGTTCATTGCCCATGTCTGCTAAGCCAGAGGTGTGGAAATAGTCCAAACGAGACACGAAAGATTTCGGGCCGCCGACCATATTGATCAACTTTGCCATATCATGAGGGACGAAACTATATAGAATTAGCGTTGGAGTATAACTGGGGAGAAACGGGTATACACACAAGAGATACTCCCAGATGCTGGACTCGAATGTCTCTGAAGGATTCGAGGTGAGAGAGCACCACGACGCCAGAGCACTGCAGGCAATAGGATCCTGATGGCCCCAAGTTCCATTGATGTACTTCGGCTGAAAGAATCCAGTAAAGCCAGTATCTGTTCCATTCTCCAGCAGCGATTTCTGGTCTTCTTTGTATAAGTTTTGCCAGTTGCCAGACCGTGACAAATAAGTGGTGTAATCCTTTTTGCCGAGACCCTTGCTTACGACTGATAGGGCATAGTCATTGTATGCGTACTCCACTGTTCTCGAGATGCTCCGTGAATTGGTCCCAAAGCCAATATAGTCAAAGTCCAGATATGGGATGTAATTGAGGTGTTTCCAGCTCTGTAGACCCCCTCGCCCTTCATATGACCATTCGAGTGGCTCGTTCTCTGCATCGTTGACCATAGCTTTGTAGGCAAGTTCCCAGTTGATACCGGTCAGGTTCTTCACATAGGCATCCGCGAGAACAATATCGGCATTGGAACCTCCCTGCGTCCAGCCTTTGCAGAGACTCATGCGGCAATCAGGCAGCCATCCTTCGTGCTTGAAGGTGTCTAGCAAGCTGCGGACCATCTTTGACTGTGCCTTTGGGTCAATAATTGTGAGGAACGGATGTTGCGACCTGAAAGCGTCCCACAGGCAGTAGAAGGAGTCAAAGTATGGCTCATCACTTTTCCACAGTGGATTCTCCCCAGTCAAATCTTGAGGTGACAACATGGTTCGATAGATGCCACTCCAGAAACTGCGGACCATGTCATCGCTGGCACCACCCGGGGTGACCTTGATAGGACTGAGCTTCTCCTTCCATGCAGCCTCCGCACTTTTGCGTAGATTATCAAAGGCACCTTCCGGCTCGGGCACTTCCGCTTCGGCATTTTTGCAAGCTTGATCCGAGTTGATAAAGCTGACGCCCACCCTCACAGTCACGATCCCATTGTCTGGACGATCAAACGCCATGTAACCTCCGGCTTGAAGGTAGAAGTTATTGAAGCCGCGAGTGACAAACAACTCCTGTACTGATCCAGCTCGGTCATTGACCCATATTCCGCTGTCATTGACATCGATAGTGTCGCCGAAGTCAGCGCAGAAATATGACTTGTAAGAGCCAGCCCCGAAGCTCGGCAAGAAAGTACCATTGCCTTTGATTCGAGCTTTATCGGCGTCAAGGCTAATGGAAGCATTCTGCCGACTATCCCATAAATCGGTTAAATCCACCGAGATCAACGGGTTGAGATCATCTCCATCCGCCGTCTGTCCCTTTGGGAAAGTGAAACGGTACAACGCCGTGCGCCGCGCCGCAGTCATCTCAGCCTTAATGCCATTCTCGAGTGTCAACGCAAAGTAGCCCGGCTGTGCAACTACAGAGTCACTCTTGTAGTGGATCGCGCGAGCAGCTTTAGGGAACTTGCAATTATCCACGATATTGTCTTTGCAGTACTGCGGGAACAGAGGAAAATTTCCCATAGACGGGTTCCCACCTGTGCCACTGTCATGCATATGCGAGAAGCCGGTGACATTGCTCCCGTCAGTGGAGAAACCTCCAGTATTCTGACCGTCGACATCGGCGACAGGTTTTGCCATGCCATAGGGGAGGCTCGCGCCGGCGAAGACGTTGCCGCCATTGTTTGAGCCGATCAGGGGATTGACGTAGCGGAGATCATCCTGGGTTGCTACTGTGCTCAGGGCACATTGGAGGAGTACGAGGCTGTACAATATGTTTTTCTGCAGAATCGACATGTCGCTCTGGAATGTGAGAGTTGGGTCACGCGTAATGACGCGTTGAGTCTGTAGATCTGGGTTGCAAGGAGCATAGATGCAGATGACGGGACGAAGGAGCGAGTGCCTTCTCTCCTGCAAGGAGGGTATTTTTCATATCACGTTGTAACGTCGCATTGTTCGTGTGATCGACAGCCTAAATCGTGTTAGTGCTGGATATCAGGAAGACTTTCACATGCGGGGTCAATGTATTCCCATGTCAATGTGCCTTGTTGATGCGTATTTTGAAGTTCTGCACCGTATGTAAAGACAAAAAGCCTCTAGATTATCTTGAGGTCAATGGGTGTTAAGTTGTAGCTGTCAGTATTTTGACGGGTCTCTTATGTCAGGAGGAAGGGCGGTTACTTGACGGTCAATTGCATAGCATAGTAATTTGACCAAAGGTCAAGAAATTCAAATACTTCAAACACCATGTTTCAACCGCCTCTCATAGCGGTAATAGTTACATTTGACTTGCCTTGAACCTTTCCTTTCCTTTCTTCTCTTCCTCATCCCACTTTCTTTCTCCATCGGGACAGTGCCAGTGATCAGGATGGTCACCACGCGAAGCCCAACAGCCTTCACCGACCTCCCACTTGAGCTATTGTGGATGATTTCTGAGCACTTATCACCAGTCGACCTTGCTTGTCTGGCATTGGGCAACCATCATCTGCTGTCTTCCATTGCTGGGACTGTTTTTCGGAATTTCTCGGATGACCGCACCGGAAACCCCACTGACGATGCACGCATCAGGCTGTTATCTCGGCTTTCTTGCGACCGACCGCAGTAGAATCTCTGATTTATCTGCCTCCGACTGCATTTGTGGAAAAGCGCTGAGCTATGCCCCCGGGCCTGTGCCAGAAAGCAAAAGCAAGCTGAGATAAGAAAGAAGACACCTAAGTGAATACAACCACAGCCAACACTACCGCTTAAGACCTAGGACCCTGATGAGCAGGGTCAGGAACTCACCTCGTGGGGTATACGGCATTGATCTGCTTCTGTAGGCTGTCACTTAAGACCCGACATCTTTACCTCTCATATTGAGCGTTATTGCTCTAAAACAAGCGCAAAAAACAGCTGACCAAGGGAGTTGTGAGAAATGGGATACCTCTTGGAAGTTGCATATATACAAGAGAGCTTGGGAGCACAACGTTGCCTCGGTCAAAGCCCTTGGACCCAGTGACTGGGATGGAATGAGGTCTCCCGCTCATCTTAATGTCGTACAAATATGGATATCAAGTTCGCCGTTTCCTCGCCTGTGGTACTCGCTTAGCCCACTTTTCTGATGCCTTTGCGTATGATATGATAACAGACACCACATGATACACCTCTCACAATGAATGGATTCAATTCGACGCAAAGTATCTCTGGAGCCCTAGGACCTGAAATTGATGCCACAGAGGCAGTGGTTCGAGCACCGCCATCCGGTGTATGCGCCTTCCTCTTTTGCAAAACCAGCATTATCTGTTTACTCTCGAACGGGATATCGTGATCAGATTGTGCTATAGATCTGTTTGTTTGAACTAATTTCTATGAGCGATAACTAAAGGGGCCTGAACAGTTTTGTTGTTCTGTGCTACTGTCTCATTTCATAAATGACAGGTAAGTTGCGCTACAGCCCAGCTTGGCCAGTGATGTATTATTGCTATCTTGGCAAAGTACACAGCTGTGTAGTCAATTGGGCTAAATCGTGTCCAGCTAATGCATCCTGCTTACAGGCCCCACCTGGCCAATGAGTACTCCGCGTCTCGAATTCTGGCTCGGTCTAAAACATTTGAATTCAAGTGAGATCTACCCAGCCAGACACTTGCAATTCATCTAGCTGCAAGTAGTACTGCACTCAATACTATCCACCATGGGGCATGGCGTCGTTGGCGCAGGTGGAGTTGATTACGCCCCACTTATACAAGAATCTTCGGAGTTAAGCATTTTGGAACACCTCTTCTGGGATAGACGCAGGAGAGAAACACCACGTCAGAAATACTAAAATTAAATTTAGCTTGAATAATATGGCACGTATGACAGCCGAAATTGTTTTTTTGTTGTCTTGACCACGTCTATACTCGAGGTTGCCGAGGGAAAATCGCACCTCCATTTGTGTGTCTCTATAATATGTACTATTGAGATACGTCTTTATCTCATTTACATTTCACAGATGATAGCTCAATAAAGGAGGCGAAAATAGCCTCTTTTGGAGCTTAATTCGAGCAACCGGCATTAAGACTGACACGTACATCTAGCATGACCCACTTGGTCATCCAGAAGCCTTAACCCCGGGCACCAAATTCATGCTATAAATCCAATCTTACTGCTCCATCCTGTCACTTGTAACCCAACAGAATCTAACAAACCCCCATTAAATTATTCAACTCAGTCAACATGGTCAAGACACTTCCCTTCGGTGATATTCAGGTCCCAACACCAGGTTTCGGTGCCATGGGATTGAGCTTTGGTTTAGGTAGCAACATGAGCCTCGAGGAAGCTGAACCAGTCTTGCTAAAAGCAATTGAATTGGGATGCACCTTCTGGGATACTGCCGTTGTCTACCAAGCCGGTGTGAACGAAAAGCTTTTGGGAGACTTCATCAGGAAGCACAACGTCCGTGATAAGATTTTTAGTATGACCTCACACCGTGAGAGACATTGATCTGAAACTAACTACTATCGTCGATAGTTGCCTCCAAGTGCGGGTTCAACGCCATTGGAGGGGATATGTCCGTCACGAACTCCGCCTCGCATATCAAGGAGTACATCGAAGGAACCATTGAGAGACTTGGCTTCACGCCTGATCTGTACTACCTCCACCGGATTGACCCCAGTGAGTCGAATCTATATCTTCCAATATACAATTACTGAATTCAATAGATACGCCTCTCACCGAGTCCATTCCAGCTCTTGATGAAATTCGCAAGGCACGGAAGACCAAGTACATTGGACTTTCAGAATGTTCAGCTGCGACACTACGCAAGGCAAACGCTAGTGCGTTATTTTCCACCCAGCTTGCGAATCTTTTACTGACTGTAAATAGTTGCTAAGATTGATGCTGTCCAAGCCGAATATTCAGCCTTTGAGACAATCCACGAGACAGATGGCTTGATCGATACAGCCAAAGAGTTGGGTGTAGCGTATGTCGCCTACAGTCCACTGGGACACGGCTGGCTCGTCGATAACTTCGATTACAACTCTCCGGACGATTTTTCCCCTGACGATTTCCGCCGAAAATGTATCTACCCATTTCATAAGCCCCTAATCCTAAACTGGATATCGTCGCTAACACAATTCCTCTCGATAGCTCCCAAATTCCAAGGCGAGAACTTCTACAAGAACCGCGCCATCGTCGAGGAAATCAAGAAGCTCGCCGTCCGCAAGGGATGCAAGATTAGTCAAATCGCGCTTGCTTGGGTTGTCTCCCAAGGAATGATCCCCATCCCGGGAACAACCAAGGCTGCTCGCCTGGAGGAGAACTGGGCATCTCGGGATATTGAGTTGACCGAGGAGGAAAAGCAAGCAATGCGCCAAATTATCGATGCTGCTAAGCCACACGGTGAAAGATATGGTCCCGCGAATCAGGCTCTGGTTGGACATTAAGCTAGGGGAGATTTAGCTGTGCGAGATAGCCTAGCAATTGAATAACTAGAAATAAGCTAGACTTTCTCGCATCAGATTCAGCATGGTTGACCATCACCAGATATTGGACAGCCCACAATTGAAGTGTTTCAAATATCCCTCGTCACATCTAGAGGAATGATGCTAGAAAGTTTTGCGTAAAGTAACGGACAGGTTCCTTACAAGGTAGATCAGACGGGTATTTTGACAGAATCTTGGGATCAGCAGACTCCACATAACGGTGAGAGATGTCAATATCATTCACAATGGGAGGGCATCATCGATGAGAGTATGCATTCCAGGAAATTAGTGGATAAGCCAAATTCGATCAGATTAGATGAAATTGGTTGATCGATTTGATTGATTAATCCAGATTTCCGCATATCGACGTCATTGTTAGTCCGTCAAGAGTTTTCTCGGTATAAGTTTTTCTGCTCGCGCGGTCGCATGGGAGTCGCATGCGATTGTTGGACAATGTCAGCGGCTGAGTGAGTGGGCTGTTGAAATGTCACAGAAAAGAAATAAAGTACGAAAAAAGGACAACTACGTAGTACTGCGAAGCGCCTGGGGCGCTTGGAGAAAACACGATCCAGCCCCACCGGTGGGTGGACCATGCAGGTGCTAGTCCGAGCATCCCGCAGGCCACCTTGCCTAGAGAGGCTTGGCTTTAGGGGAACCTAAGTGGGAACATAAAAAGCTTTCAAGGTTGGGTTAATAGCCATAAATTCTGGCACATAGCTGATCAAAATCAGATAAGATGACGTAAAACTCAAATTGTGCCCTGGACCAGGGAGCCGAAGGCTATGTTAGCTCGATGTTCAATTGGGTTGATATGGTGGCTTCGGAAGCTCTGAGACGAGTTTATTTATGCATGTCAGTAATTGCGAGTTCATTCCCGGGGCCGAAAAACATGTTGCGCTTTTTTCTTACTTTTTAAGCTCTTCACCCACGAACCTTGCACTATGTACGATATACCGCGTGGACACGCAAGGGGCAGGGCGCATGGCCCTGCCAGGGGATAAGAAGGGGGAAAAAGAAAACAGTAAAATAGATGATGCCATGACTCAAATACAACAGTATAAGATACTGTCCATCTAACCTATTAGTAACGCAAACGGAGTGCCGCATCAAGTAAGTAGCCCTGAAGGGACCTGAAGTGTAACCCTGGAAGCTTGGTGGGCAGCCGTGCGCTAGTCCAAAATAGGAGGGAGTCCTCAATTCTGACCAATTGGAATTCAGGGCCCCACACAGTGAAGGGGCGAATGGCCGATGATTCGCCCGCTAGGGCAACCGCTGATTGGGTCAACCACCAGACTGACGGGGCTATCTGATCCTCGATTTATCGGATGCTCCGTTCAAGAAGAAAAAAGAAGCTGGAGATGTCCCGGACCGAGTCGGAACTTTCTGGTCTGGAACCCCCCGGGCCCTTGTCCTTCTCGATTATAGAGAATGAGCCCCTCCATCGCGGATCTGTTTGTTTCCTCCTCTTTCCATCCCATCGCACCCAATACTTAAATCTTGTCTATCCTCACACGGCTTCCCCGGAAGCAACTGAGGATCTGGCATTTTTGAAATCCTCGTGACTGGATTGAAAGGGACTTACAGTCATGGGTCTCCCCGAGACCGTTCAAGGTCGCCATGACGGCAAAATCATCGACCAGACTATAGTTGGGGAGGAATCATATACCTCGCAAAATGAGAAATCGGAGGCAGTCGTGGCCAATCGCGACAAATCATCATTATATGATCCCGAATCACCGCCTCGAGCGGACAGCCTTCATGCGGGTGACATGTTCGACGACGAGAAGGAATTGGCACAGCACCCCGACAGTATCACAGAAGGTGCGGAGTTGGGTCAGCAGAAGGCGGAAGCCGCAGCACTTGTATGGAGTTTGCCAGCTTTGGTTGGAATATATGCTTGGTAAGTGGATGGATTGCGGCTCATTCGTTCCGGTGCTCTTGTGATAAAACCCATTTACTGACAAAAATTGAACTTACAGGATTTGGATCTGCACATTCATGTTGGCATTTCACTCGAATATTAGCAGCTTCCTGATCAACTACATCCAGGGTGGGTTCCGGACCGCACCGCAAGTCTCAACGGCCTATATCCTCGCGAATGTTGTCGGCGGGGTTCTTAAGCTGCCGATTGGTAAGACCTTAAACTTGTGGGGTCGTGCTGAGGCCCTAGTGGTCTCGACGGGCATTTATATCCTTGGTATGGTAATCCTCGCTGCATGTGATGGTCCCAATGGCTATGCAGCGGGCTATGTGCTTTACTGGATCGGTTACTATTGCATATACCTGATCTTGAATATTTTCGTCGCCGATACCTCCGGTCTAAGAAACCGAGCGTTCGCTTTTGGTTTCATGCAGACTCCGTTTATCTGCACTGCATTCACGGGCGGTCTTGCGGCAAACTCGATATACGCTAAGTTTGGGTGGCGCTGGGGCTATGGCATCTTCTGCATTGTGATGCCGTTTACGTTCTTGCCCCTCGCCATGGTTTTCAAGTACTTCGAGAAGAAGGCAGAGAAGAAGGGCATCTTTCGTCGGCAGCCCAGTGGCCGCACTGTGGGACAATCTATTATCCACTATATCCATGAATTTGATGGTAGGAATACCCAAGACAAAGCTCGGGATATATATACTAACGGTCTATTACTAGTTATTGGTGCTTTCTTCCTCATGATTGGTTGGGTGATGTTCCTCCTGCCATTCAGTTTGGCACAGTACGGCCGCTCTGAGTATTCAAGCGCAAGCTTTATTGCTCTCATCATCATCGGAGTGTTCATGTTATTTGTCTTTGCAGCATGGGAGAAATGGGGTGCACGAACTCACTTTATCCGCTATGAGTTGATCAAGCGCCCAACTATTCTAGGCGCATGCCTACTGTCCGCTGTGCTATTTTTCAGCTTCGAGCTCTGGGATCAGTACTTCTACAACTATGTCCTGATCTCCTACGACATTTCCGCAGTCAATGCAAATTACATGCTGCAGATTTACAACATCGGCTCTTGTTTCTTTTCTCCCGTCATCGGAGCCATCATCTGGGCCACTGCGCACTTCAAATATATCTGCCTGTTCTTCGGGGCCCCATTGATGATCCTCGGCTCCGGGTTAATGATCTACTTCCGTGGGTCGGATCACGGGATTGGCTACGTTGTCATGTGTCAAATCTTCATTGCTTTCGCCGGCGGCACCCTCGTCATCGGCGAAGACATGGCCGTTATGGCAGCAGGGGGCCGCGAGGGCACCCCGATGATGCTGGCCCTCATCGGATTGTTCTCGAGCATCGGCGGTGGAATTGGCTTGGCTGTTGGCGCCGCAATATACAACAATGTCTTTGTCAACACCCTCACGGCACAATTACCGGACAACTTGAAGGCCAATGCCACACAGATATACTTTGATGGAATCCCCGTGCAGTCGACTTATCCATGGGGAAGCCCTCTTCGTGAAGCTGTCGCGTATACATGGGGCTATGCCCAGCGCCTGAACTGCATTGCTTCAACTGCCGTGTTGGCTTTGACTATTCCTTGCATTCTGGTCTGGAAAAACTATGACGTTAACCGGAAGCAAAATAAGGGTAGAATGATTTTCTAGAAAGGCTTTCCGTTGGACAGTTACCCGGTTATGATGCACGGGTTGGAAAGGTTTGTTTATATTCGCATTTTCTTGGGTGTGTATATTCTGCTGCGCAGAGAAAAACCCACGACTTTCAATGTACATGTATTGTAGTAATCCCGTTGAGCGTGGATACGAATAACTTATGTGTATTGCACAGTGTTACCGTCAATGTGGCTATTCATTCTTGCCATTATTAGAACCAGATGATATTTATTTATTCATTTCTTCTGCCTCTATAGGTTATAATTTAGCCGGGGTTTTCTTTTATATGCTTACCCGCGACGCGCTGAATGGGTGTCATAGCCACAGTGTGTTTTCAGTGATGTCAGATTAATGCTCAAGACAAACCATTGTATAACCTTGAAATGTTCTATTGTGCTTTGGGACTTGTTCTCTCACACCGCATATTACAATCAGACTAGATGCCCAGCTGAGGTGAGATCCCTGCATCAAGGTTTAATCGATGATCTTTTCTCAATAAGGAGATAAGTCGCAGTAACATCATGCCGAAACCGAGAAAAAGATCAATCAGAGCGCGCCACTAGACTAACGTGAGATTCACCAGACTAACGTGAGATTAACTAGACCAACGTGAGCTCCACCAGAATAAGGTGAGATTTTAGGCTCATATTGGACATATTTGGGAAGCTGATGCTCAGCTCGGCCCGCTTCGTTTCGGCCAACGCTCCGAGCATTTGGTGAAATGCTCATAATGCCAACAAATGCATGGAGTGTAGTGGATATTAAATCCTTTCTCCGTCTTCATTGATTAAACTATCGGATACGAGGCGATCCGGGAATTTTATTCTTAGCTAAATATCCGAGCCATGAAGCCGATGTGCATAACTTTTATGTAGGAACTCGCCAGTTCAAACTGGACGTGGACTGTGTGGACCCTACCTTTTTTGCGGGGTAAAGCTTGGAAGAAGTCTCTCCACACATTTCTATGTTTGCAATGGAGTTCTAGTTCAAAATTTCCCTTCATACTTATAGGTGATGCCCGGTTCCAAGTGTCGACCATTTTTATGTTTACAAATGTATGCAATGTACAGTCTGACCTTGGGCTTATTTTCGGCCCAATTAACTCCCCGACCATTAGAGACCGGCAACTTTAATGAGTTTACCCGGGTATCAGGTGCCATTTGCAACTTGTATTCTTTCACAATACAAAATAGGAAATTATGTAGCGGGTATAACAGCATAGCTCCGATGTTGTTGCTTCTTTATAAATAGGCAAGTATCCGTTCGTGGTTGGTGCGTTTCAATATTACTGCCCTCTTTTCTCCTTGCTCTCCGTGTTATTCTGCTTACCAGGAGAATCGACCACAACCCCATCGCTACCCCTGTGTATCCTCGATTTTAATCTATACTGATCCTCCAAGATCAAAGAGTACCAGCAAGGTGTGAGACGCGGGAGTGTTATTTGGTATAATATTTCTTTTTGGCGACAGATCTCCCAAAATGATAGATAGCGAGGGTAAGGTTTCTCTATTTTGTCTACTTGAACGATGTCTCCATCACATGGCATTAGCAAAGAGCGCAATATCTAAAAGATTCGCAGAAACTCCCTCCGTGGGCGGATCGACAATAAGCGCGAAAAACGACACCAAACGGGAGAAGGATCTTGAAATCGGGCCCGCCGAGCTGAACAATACAACAAAAGAGCAAAAAGTGCAAGACCCGAACATTGTCGATTGGGATGGTCCAGACGACCCCGAAAACCCCCTCAACTGGACCTCGCGAAAAAAGGTCACAGCGACATGTTCGATTGCGCTGATCACGTTTCTGACGTATGCACGGTCCTTTCTTATATCACTCAATTGATCAAAGCTGACAGCTGAAAACCAACAGCCCTCTGGGATCATCTATGTTCGCGCCCGGCGTAGGTGAACTAGTCAAAGACTTCAATGTCACTAGCATTGAGCTGTCATCATTCGTGGTATCGGTGTATCTGCTCGGATACTGCTTTGGTCCTCTACTGATTGCACCTCTGTCGGAACTCTATGGTCGACAGTACGTCTACCATGTATGTAATATCCTCTACGTGATCTGGACAATTGCCTGCGCTTTCGCGCCGGAGATTGGCAGTCTTGTTATCTTTCGATTCTTCGCTGGCTTTGCCGGTAGCTGTCCACTCACTATCGGTGCCGGGTCGATTTCGGATATGTTTGTACAAGAGCAGAGAGGCGGTGCGATGGCAGCTTGGGCTCTTGGTCCTTTGATTGGGCCTGTTGTTGGTCCGGTTGGTATGCTCACCCCATGTTTTCTTCCGTTCATAGCTCGATTGCTAACTTTTCTAGCGGGTGCATATCTGGCACAAGCAAAGGGTTGGCGATGGAGCTTCTATGTGCTAGCTATGGCTGTAAGTAGAGGCTGTGATACCCAGTACCGAACATATACTAATAGATCCGGGTAGGGCGGTGCTATCACCGTCAGCTCAATGTTCACCATTCGTGAATCCTACGCCCCGACTCTCCTGGCCCGGAAGACCAAGAAGCTCCAGAATGAGACCGGGAATATGAACTTGCGCTCTGCACTTGACACAGGGCTTACACCGAAAGAACTGTTCTTATATTCCATCATCCGACCGACGAAGATGCTCTTCCGCTCTCCGATAGTATTCCTTCTGTCACTTTACGTCGGCGTGATCTACGGATACCTATATCTGTTGTTTACAACCATCACCAGCGTATTTCAAGAGCAGTATAATTTCTCCCAGGGATCAGTCGGACTCACCTATCTCGGGTTGGGAGTTGGCTCCTTGATCGGTCTGTTCACGCTAGGAGCAACATCAGATAGACTGCTCGCCTACCTATCTGCCAAAAATGGTGTGATGAAGCCCGAGTACCGTCTTCCGCCTATGATCCCCGGAGCCATTTTCGTTCCCATCTCACTGTTCATGTATGGATGGACTGCTTATTACAAAACCCACTGGATTGTGCCTATCATCGGGACCTCTTTTCTTGGCGTTGGCATGATGATTACCTTCGTAAGTTACCGTCCTACTATCGGTGGCTTGGCTTTTGTCGCGAATCGACTGACTGACCCTTGGAATTGCTGCTTAGATGTGTGTGGGTACATACTTGGTAGATGCCTTCACGGATTATGCCGCTTCCGTCATGGCGGCTAACACGGTGTTCCGTTCACTGGCCGGTGCCATGCTTCCACTTGCTGGCCCGAAGATGTATGATGTTCTTGGGCTTGGCTGGGGTAACTCGCTGCTTGGGTTCATTGCCCTAGCATTTTGCGCATTGCCAGTCGTCTTTTGGCTATACGGTGAGCGTATACGGACGAGTCCAAGATTCCAGGTGACTTTCTGATGGCGGTGCTCGATTTGGAAACAGTTGAGTTATTGCATCTACGTTTGCTTTTACGAATTATAGTTCGCACTTGAAGACGCTGGAGATGTTGGAGATAAATGTGATTTGGGGGCGTGCTCTAGTGCAATGGGTTTAATAGATGTGAGTGAGAGACGTTGAAGACATATATTATTTGAGAGCGTGGGTAACTGTCATGCGGGTTAGAACAAGGACAAAACTCTGCATTTATTGACAACCTTGAGCGTCAATTCTGTAAATGAATAGTAGGTGGTGTTCTTAAGAAGCACGTCAGCTTTACCTCTCGAGGTTCCCGTGGGTGAGCTTGTTCAGAGGGGTCCACGGGTGTAACCACACGGCCAGAAAAGGTCCAAGGGTAGATCCGCTCATGCTGCACCAAGATTTGGCAGTGTTTGAGTCCATCACGGCGAACGGGCTTGATGGCCGAAAATAAACCAAAAGCCCTACCGATGGCTCACGGTAACAATCTTGGGCCCTTTCCGAAATATTTTGCACTGCAAGTCTGTAATAGAAAAGACCTCGCGGCCCGTTTTACTCACGAAGCGGATGTGAAAGGATAGGTCAAGAGATCTACTATTATGGGTTAGTAGGTCGAGTGCATTGAGGAGAGACAAAATGATCTACGAGATGCTACGACTAAGATGGTAGCAAACGGAGGAGGTCATATGATCTCTAACTAGATGGATTGATGTCAGCAACAGCCTCATCTTAGATTTCGGAGCCTCGGCCTAGCTATACCGTATGCAGATGTAGAATCGTGCATCTAATGATGCAAGGGAGTTATTTATGGGTTTGGGTATTCGTTGGCCTAGAGGAAGCTGGAGCGCATGCGACCGGGTGGATATTCCACGTGACTTCTACCCCGTACAATGAAAACGATAGGCCTGGGATTGTCGCAGCGCTCTGGGCGGCTCCAATCAGCATCCGGGTCAATGTCGACTAGACTTTGGTGCACTGTTTAACGGGCGACCCCGATAATCTATAGCAAGATACGTAAGTAATGAGCCTGATTTATCCCAGAGACCATCGCGCATTTAAATAAGTAGCCTGTCCCACAGCCTGAGAATGAATTGAAGCATGAGCATTTTGGCTGTCCAACATCTTAATTCTATCCGTGCCCACATTTACCTTTTTATAGTATTCCATGATGGCATGGTCTTCTTACAAGAACCAAATGGACTATTTGAGCCTACCCCGGCAGTCTGAATCCAGCAATACAGATCCTACCTTTTCCAACGGCGCATCCGTTACCCAAACGCCTATTGATACGGCCACAATGTCATTTCCCACGGAGTACGGCTTTTACGATCCTCGTGTACAGCGCGATTCAATGCTCCTTCGCCATGACTTTAATTTGCCTTCCATCATTGGTCCTCCCAATCCAGAGCATGCGGACGACGGCACTATGCAGGAGTGCTTAGCCCAATGGAATGGTATCATTGAAGGCCCAGCTACAGACTATCATCGCCCAGCCGAGAACACCGTTGGTGTCCCGTCCTTGGACGCTACCGCCATTGTGCAGCGGCCATCTCCACCCAAGGATAACGACATTCTGGCTACTGGGGGAAACCGTATTCGTGGTCGCCAACCCAATAAACAAGAGTAAGACATGTATCCTCACATTGGAAACTCTCGTTGACATGATGTTTGTTAGGAATGGCGACGGCCCCTTTGAATGCAACTGGATAAGCTGCAAGCACCGAAGGCCGTTTAGCTGCGAAAGGGTGTTGATGCGTCATATCAAAACCCAGCATGTTAAGCCGCGCTCCATTGACTGTCCTAGGTGTCCCCTATCCTTCAACCGGAAGGATAACATGAAGGAGCATCTGGGAAGGGTTCACCGGGAATATTGCTGAAATTTGAGGCAGAGGCGTTGGGATTTGGGTTGCTTGGTCTTGGTTTTGGTTTGAGAATTGGTAGGAATTGGGAGTTAGGCGGGATATTTATCTCGAAGGTCTGACTGTTAGCAACGTTGTCTCTGTGCGGGATTATTAGTACAAAGCTCATGAATACACTGGGTTGAGGAAGTTCATTTTTTGGTGAGCTCCAAGTTTAGAAAGCTAGCACCCGGTAGACATTTTTTAGGACCGGAGAGGTCAAATTTATAATGTAAATATATCTGAAGGATGAAGGTGAAGAGAGATCAATATTATTGTATTTGGATATAACTGCATTGCCTGATTCAGGGCAAAAAAGAGGAAAGGAAAAGAGAGGAGCCGAACGAGATTAACGAAAATCCTTAGTACACTTTGTGTGGGATTGCTATACAAAAGATACTCGGTGTCTAAAATTGTTATCTCATGTTGCTCAACTACGAATTGAATACGGAAGATAAGTCGATATCAAGGATCACCTATATTTCATGATGTACAGGTCAGTTAAACTCATGTAATAGTCCGCGAGTCATTGATACAACCTTTTATATGGCATGATGAATGAGGGAATGAAAAAGAGATTCGAGGAACAAGAAAGAAATTGATGGATAAAGAGGAAAGGCCAGGAAAGGAAAGAGAGAAAACGAAAGACAATGGGGCTGACGTACTCGTCAACTCATCTCCCATATGCCGCCACTACCCTTAGTCTTCCGCAGAAAGGTTCATCTTAAAGTCTTTGCCTAGGCTGCAAGACCCATCCATTTGGGCTTGGCTCCTCTATTTTAAGCTTGGAATTTCCGTACTTTGGATGTTCGGTTTTGAACGGTAAGATTCAAGCGGACGTTGTAATGTTATGTATTGTCACTGATCCAAAGATAACAATACCTGCCCGGGGACTTACACTACGAATAGTTGTTACGACATCTAAGTGCTCAAAGCCAAGAAAAGAACACTTGGTTTAAAACATCGTTACTAGACCTAGCTAACCTCGCGTCGACATATACGATGCAGAGCTGATGGAAGGAGGCGGAGCAACTACTTGTGCAGACCAAAAAAAGGTAACACACTAGCCATGATGATCAACCTAGCTGGACCGTACCGCCTATTTCTCACACTGCAAACCTGATATGATCTACCTCTGCCAAACCTAGGTGCAGTTTCAGAACCAAGCTCGTCCAGATCCTAGGCAGATTGGGTAGCTCCGAGGATCTCATAAACCGCCTTGATATAGGCTGCTGGGGAAGGATGTTCCGCGTTCAGCATCCTGTTCATAGCAAACGCGAAAGTGAGCCTCCTGTCACTATCCATAACCACGATCGAACCCCCCCATCCGCTACCCCACCCGACAATGCCGTCCGGCAGCTTGCCTTCGGCGATCCCCGACCCAGGCCCAGTGAGGTAAATCCCCAGTCCACGCCTCCCGCTCCGCCCCGTCGCAACATCTAGTCCAGTCGCATGCTCTGTAAGCGCCAGTTTCACTGTCTCGGCCGACAGCAGGCGATGGCCTCCTTCCGCACATGTGCCGCCAAGCGAAAAGCAGGAGAGGATCTTGACTAACGCCCTAGCGTTTGTGTGGCCGTTGATTGAACCCAATGTGCTGGACCGCCAGGGCTCGGTGTTGGCAACCTCGGCCGTGGGCATGGGATTACAAAACGTGCGCATAACGATCGAATCCTGCTCATATTCCGCCTGTTGGCTAAGCATCTCCTTAATTGAAGGTCCTGGTGGAGGCACGACGGGGGCCACCCGGCTCCAGTCCTCCTTACGACACCCAAGCTGGAAGTCCGTCCCATCGCCTAGCGGCCGGCAAATCTCCTCCGTTACAAACTTGTCAATGGACATCCCCGTTTTCCTTCGCACCAGCTCCCCGACGAGGAATCCCTGCGTTATGCTGTGGTATCCCATTGCGGTTCCGGGAGCCCACAGCGGTGTCTGGCGCGCTAGCTTTTCAGTTGCTGCCTCGACGTCGTATAGGTCCTCCACCGTCATATTGTCCCGCCACGCGCTAAGACCCGCCGTGTGGGCTAGTACCTGGCCGACCGTGACCTCCGACTTCCCGTTTGCTGCAAACTCAGGCCAGTGCTGGGCGACCTTATCCTCAGGGGCAAGCACGCCCCGCGATATTAGCATTAGAGCCGCCAGGTTGGTGACTAGTTTCGTGGTCGAGAAGACATTTACTACCGTATCCTTTTCCCATGGTTTCTTAGTCGATGCATCGGCGTAGCCCCCCCATATATCCACCACGTTATCGCCCCCATTGATATTAATGCACAGACTGGCACCGATGTCTTGTCCGGACGCGATAAAATCTTGCATTAAGTCGCGTAGCTTGGAAAACCGGGCGTCGCAGTGGCCTTGGACCTGAGCCATTCTGATGAATAGTTGTTCGTGGTACCGATTAACCAATACAAGGAATGGAGCTCTAATTCAAAGAGAAGAAAGGAGCGACTTGAACTTCTATATTTATCCAGTATTTTACGAAATAAGGCCTAGTGTCGGAGTTCTCCGCCTCTAATTTTAGATCTTGTATCTGTTTTACAGTCTATAGAAAGGAACTGGTATTATGACGGGCACGTGTTATTTTCACGCATCATGTGATTAGGGTTTGAAAGAGTATCTTTGTCTCCGATATGGAAGGCGATATCGGGCGTTACTATAAAATATAACGGTTTGGAGTTGACCGAATTATCATTAGCCTGCTAAGAGTTAAAAGGTCAACTAGCGGGTAAGAGAAGATTTGCAGCCAGTGATTAAACAATTGATTGTCGCAGAAATCTGACTACAAAAAGAATAAAAACAAATTAATTCATTCATCTGTTCAATGAATATAGTAAAAGAAGTAAGGTATTTATCGTGAAAATTAGAAGAACCTGGCTAGGTTGAATTTGTAAAGAAATTGTAGCCGGCGAGCTGTTGTACAATTTTGATAAACTCCGGGTAAGTACGTGGAAGATTCAGCTGTTAAGAAAGTCGATTGCGAAGTGAGGACTGTAGACCTTTGCGGAACGTAGATGTCTTTATAGCGTCTGGCTACTCTTAACCTCTGGCTTCGTAAAGAAAGCGCTCGAACTTAGCGATATAAGCGGCGAGAGGTTCGTTGGCGACCTGCTTAATCGAAAGAAGACGATCTTCGGCTTCTTAAGTCTTATTTAGGTTATCGTAAACACGGCGAAATTGATCGAGAATTATATTATAGTCGTGAATACCGGAATTACGTGCGGAAGCGAGTTAAGGAAGATCAGTAAAACTGAGCTGTAGAATCTCCGATAGCTAGTCCGTCGATGCGAGTTTTACGCGGATTAAGGTATCCTACGTGTCGTATTTAACTAAGAGGCCAGTGGATTTCTCGGGATCTGGAAGGGAGGATTTTGGGCGTTTCGACGAAGGAGGGAGAGATACGGAAGCCTACTGGAGAGTTGAAATTAACCGAGACTGAGCTTTAATTTCACCTCGAAGGTTATGGATAGTAGAAGCGAATTCATCGCGGATCTCGGCTCGAAGCTGATGAATTTGTTGATCCATTTTGACGAAGATCAAAGAAGGAAGTGAGGTCGAAAAGAAGAAAAAAATAGCAGGTGGATTTAGGAAAGAAGGGTCCAAACAGCCTCTCGCAAACAGCTGAATGTCCTGGAGCAGCCCAATCTCTAGTTCACGCACTTGGGTACGTCACGTCACCGAGCTGTCCACAAAGAAGGGTTGCTTCGAGCTGAGGGTGTACTCGCAATGAGACCTCTGTACAGCTGTACGAAGCAAGATGCCAATTCTCATCCATAGGACTTTGTAGAGAGGAGCCTTGATATTATGTCACACTTTACGTTATATCATCCTTCTCCGCTCCATATATCGTATTTCCATGGCCGTCTTATCCGAAGAGGACTGTATATAAATTGGATAACGCAGAGGAAGCTTAAGGACTCCTCAAGAAACAGTCTTTGACTTTGGAACCACATACCCTGGTATCCCTTTCTCCTACCTGATTGACAGGCACCTACCCTGACCAGTAGAGTATCCGTTTACATAAGGTTTCTTACAGTATAGTAATTAAATTGTATTTTATTAAAATCCGTTACAAATTTCTATTTATAAATAATATATAGAAAACGTAGTATATTACCTTAATATTAATATATATTTTGCTCAATTAACGATAATCAAATCTCTTTTACACTTATAGGCCACTACTATATAGAATCTAACGTCATTTCTTTTTAGAAAAGGATGATTTTCGATATAGGTATAAACCATTTATCGACTCTATTCTAGACTATATTATATAAAAAAATTCATATTGTTAGAGATAATAGGGAAGGATACTAATATACTCGTAAATAATGGTATATTATCTGATTACTTTACAGTTTTGTCCAGCTAAAATAGGGAATCCTTAGCAAATTTATACTAGCATGGGACCATATAAGAGTCCCATGAGTCCTATAGGACTCCTATGGGACTACTAAGGTAATGGGATCAAAATCCTTTTGGTCCCATGGGAGTTGGCAAGGTCTAGTTTCCTCGCAAAGAATAGGATCGGTCCAGTATTGGTGTTTATTAGTTTGAGCCAGATATACGGGCATCGGTACCATAGAGGAGGTTAGATACAAAGACCAAGGTAGAAAATTCGTGTTGTGGGAAACGACAACGTTAAGGTCGGCTTAAGGTGTAGGCAACGAGGATAGGAGAATAGGAGGAGCAAGGACACCGATAGGGAGGGAAGGCGAAGTATCTTATAGGCGGTCAAACGAACTGGGCGAAAATGGAGGGGCCTTAAATTTAGCTGAAGGGGAGCTATTTTCGGCGTCGTTTGGGTCGCCAGTGGAAACAAAGGGAACAACTGTGTAAGTTGAGCGTGAACATCACGACCGGGGGATGCCTAAAAGTGCTGGGCGGGTGCAGAATAGTGGTGTTATAGGACAGTGGGCTCAAAGGGCGGCTAGACGTCTAAAGTTACGAGTGGAAAGGCAGCCATTTCTGGCCTCAGAAGCGGTCATTTTCGGCGTCAATCCCACAGGTCCTCATATTCTAGTTGTAAACAAGAAGCAATCCTCTTTCCGCAAATCCTGCTCATTGTCCACCTCTTCCCGCTAGCTACTGTCGGTAAGCCCTAAGACGCTGCAACAATTCCTCTTGCCCCCGAAGTTTCTCCCGCTGACGGGACAGCATGTTCTCCATATCGCGGATTGCATCGTCCAGTCTCTCTCTGTTCGGCTCTTTCGTATCCAGACTTGGCTCCTCTTCCTTCTGCGCTTTGAGGCCGTTGTCACTCTTCCGCTTGCGAATTTGCATCGGTTGTTGTGGAATACCTTCGGTGGGGTTTCGGACTTTCTTCAAGTCGTCGAGTTGGGCACAAAGAGAGCTCGCCTAATGATCTGGTTTGTAGGTCAGCTTGTCAGAATTCTCGGTGGCTGATTCGTACGATGATGGTGCGCCAGCCGGGTTTGACATGCGAAGCGAATTATGCAAGCTGCGCCTCGTACCGCGCGGGTGGATGAAGAGATCGTAGTTCTTCTTGCAGGAAACCTCAATGTGGGCGATGGTATCATCCAGCCCATCTGGAATCTTTCTGAGATAGGCTACGTTGTTCGTCTTGGTTGGAGTCATGCTCGGTAGGCACGTGGTGCTCTTTGCAGCGTTTGTCGTTCTTAGTGAAGGAACTGCCTACACAGGCGGTCATGTCCGGGACGTCCTTGAGAATGACACATCGAGGGAAGGGCCCCATCCCTCGCTCGCAACATTCACACAGAAGGTCTGCCACTTTGCCGACAATATATCCCAAGACAGACTGCACCTTATTGACGTTGCCACTGATGGTGCGTTCCAAGTTGCTTGGTGTGAATGGGCTAGTGTTTCGAACCGCAAGCTCACACTTGGCCGGCATCTCGTTCAGCTTTCGGAGCGCTGGTGTCTTCAGCTCGCTTCCCTGTCTCGCTGCAGCGTAATTAAGCTTTTTGATGTGCTTTGCCCAGGCGCCGGGGGGCTTCTCCTCTGTGCCAGAGGCCACAGATTTGAGCTTCGCAGGGTGGCTGAAACTCATGTTCTGCGCACTTAGATCTCTGTTAAAATACAGGTTAGCATCTCCCTTTTAGGTAAAGAGGGTAGGTGTCATACATGTGCAACATCGTGCCTTAGTTGAATGACGATGAGAGTAATGTTGATGAAGAGAAGGAACTCTCAGAGGGAGAGCGTTTGAGTTGCGAGACAGGAAATCAAGTGAATGACAAGAGCAAAAAGGCAAATCGTAAATATAACGTTAGAAATTTGCTCAATAACAACAACTCCCTGGGTTTCCCCTATATTCCCACAAGAACAAGCATAAACTCTATCCTGTGAGTTACATAACACCCCCATAACAATCAGGATGTTGTGCTAACTTTGAATATTGCTTACATTCCATCTCCAGATACTGCAGTGAAATTCTCGCCTTCGAGTTCAATCGGCCTCCACATCATAGGTCTAATTTCATACCCGCTATCAAGCCAACATACGCATCTTAGGCCTGGGGTCTACGTACTCTCTCACTCGACCAGAAGTCACTGAACCATGACGCAAAGACTGTAGAGGTCGCCAATGAGCACAGAGTCCGGGGGCGTTTCCCGCAACTCTTTCGCTCTCTGGGACAAACCATCGAAGCCAGTCGGTTGACGTACATTATGCCAACTTCAAATATCGTCCATATTACGATAGCCCCGACGTTGTCTGGAAGGTCTTGGATTACAAAACGTATTCTGACCGAGCAGATTTGCCATAGCAACTTGGCAAGACGGCAGATGGAATTCAGAAATTGCCAGAGCGCGAACTACCGACTATGCCACCACTCTCCCCATAGGAGGTTAAAAAGGCCCTCGAGGTGAAGTTCAACTACAAGGAGTGAGAACTAAATAGAAGATGTGTCTAAAGCTCTACTCCCTTCAATTCTAGGTAAAGAAGCCCAAAGAAAGAAGAAAGAAGGTCTATGCGAATTATAGTTGGAACACTAGCAATGATGGATCAGGCCCTAAATGAGGCCGCGTCCGCCGGGTGATCAATAGTCTACTCATCAACGCATATTCCATGGCGATGACCTATCACCCGAGGATGATGATGTCTGCCTTGAAATCCTGGTTGTAGAGGCAAAAAGCGTGATAACTATTAACTCCGGAGTGGCCTGGGCCTTGGCTGCATGAGTGAGTATCTAACCATGTTTCTGATGCGTACATCGAAAATCCAACGAGGTTTCAGGTCAGACTCAACAGTCTATAGTATGACTTTCAACGGAAAACCCTTTGATTCCCGAAGATATCCAATGATTTGAATTTAAGCTATCCTAGCGTGGACTAGCAGTTCAAGTATATGGTCAATGTTACCATCTAACAAATCTCACATCATCATGCACTGTCTCGGCATATAGGGTTCCATGCTTTCTTTATACGCTTCTGGTGAAGCCATGCTTTCAAAGACTAGAAAGAGAAGTTAGCCAAAGGACAAGATCATATAGCTGAGGTCAACTTACATTCCCTCTTAGCTTGTTTACTCTCGGCCGTATCGAGCCATAGCCTCAGCATCCACGTAGCGACTAGTGCATCCCTCAAATCCTGCGACATACTTGTCGTAACGGATAATTTATATCTGTCATCCTCTTTTTCTTCAACAGCCACCTGTCTGCCATTGGAATCGCTCCACTTATAGCAATTGCGACCGACTTTCCAATTTGGTTGGATATCAAACAACAGGAGTTGTTTAGTGCCCTCGTGGAATAATGGGTTATCAGAGGCATTTTTTCCTGCGCTCAACATTGCCTTGAAGGATGTCTTTTGCAACCGTGCCGCTGAAATCTCGAGGCGAATATTGCCGATCATCTCGGAGACCGCAGAAGTGATATAGTACCTAGCAGGTATGTCGGTCCGGTATCGCGCATTCACAGGATGTGCGAGGTAGAACAGATGTCGCTTTCGCGTTCCAGTAGTGACGCCTTCGGTCTCGATCTCAGGTACATCATGCTCGACTCTTTCGAATGCCACGGACGAGTCCTTGTTCGAGATTGACTTGATGTCACTATTTATTTGGTAAAGTGGGGTCTGATTCTTTGCCTCAGCGAGGACAGATTGACCTGACAAGAAGAGAACGGCAGGCTCAAGGATGTCCTTGGAGGATTTTCCTCCTGTTTTCTGGTACGATTCAGAGTCCGAATCCATTGTCTTATCGAGTTGAGTTCGGATCTCTCAATATTTCTAGCAATCCAGTATATGATTGTCCGACGAGCGTGCAAGGTATATTGAACAATACAAATAGAGAGTGGTCGATTTGTAAACTCGTAGGCTGTAGTAGAGTGTACCGGGGATAGATCGAGATCGGGACCCGGGATATTACCTGGGTTGCCTAGGTGGGTACCTGCCAAGGCCCACTGGCGCCCCGGGCAATATTAGTTACATAAGCAGTCACCTTGGCCCGGGGCTTCCTCTCTTGGGTCACCTGCCTTAACAATCCACTGATAGTGGAAAACCGCAATCATATGAGGCATTTTCTCTTTCCTCATATGAGGACTCTCTATGACGATCACATGAAATGGGTACGCCAAGTTTGGGGGCGGTGGGAAAAGCCGCGAAAAGCCAAATTTAGGCAAAGGAGAAACTGGGAAGTTAATATAAACTGAGCCCCAAGATCTGCAGTGACGCCAAGCCGCTATCACAATTCCTTTGTGGCCCTCCACGCCCCCAAGACACCCCGATCCTTTGCAAACCCCCAACCCCCAAGAATCGGATTATCCCAAAATGTAGAAATTAAAATTTCGGGCAGTCCCGAATTCTAATAACACCAATTACCTAATAGATAAGTGATGACAAGTTGGAAATTTGGAGCCCCGGAGCGATTACAGCTTCATCCAACATTTTCCTTGATATGCGCGTCAAACACTCAACCATGCACTCTGCTTTGAACGACATACTCGCCGTAGCGCAGGTCATTGCGACCTGTTTCATGACTTGGAAGGCCCTTTCACTTTGGGCCGGTACACCTTACCCGGTGATGATAGTCACTACCGAGTCTATGTTTCCCGCGTTCGCCCCCGGAGACATCTTATTCATCTCCAATCACCATCGAAACGTCGAGATAGGTGACCTGCCAGTATGCTGGTTACCCGATCACGCGTTTCCAATGATTCATAGGGTACTCCAGGTGTTGTACGAAGAGCAAAGCAATCCAGATTTGACGTAAGCACTATAAAAGTCGATGTCTTCTTGCGTTGTGCTGACCTTGGATATATTATAGCCAGCTCATCTTGACAAAGGGAGACAATAACCTCATTGATGATACGTTACTGTATCCTGAGGGCCAAGATTACTTGTCCCGCAGCCAGATTCTTGGGTTCGTCAGAGGCTACATACCCTTCATGGGGTGGTTTGTGATTGTCCTACAAGACCTTTCACGGCTTCGGGAGTTCATTGCCATGTTAGGTCGCGGTATCGGCTTGACTACTTGATTGAAGGAAAGATATGTGAGCGGATATATACAACATTGTAGCCTCATCACCAGACTCATCGTGCTGGGTTTAATAAAACATGGTACACCTTAGGGTAGATCCACAATGGAGAAATGCAGAAAAAGAACACGAAAACCCATGCCATGCCCGCAACCGTTCGTAACAGTGGTGAGACGACCCCCCTCAAGATACCCGTGACTTTCATCTTGGATATCGCAGTCTCCCCCGCGGCAGCAAGGAAACACATCTCAAAGAACAAGAAGTCTCGGAATAGTGCCGCGTCTCCCAATGAATATCCAACCAACGCGTGTGAGAAACCAGACAGTGTGAATATGAAAAACGGGATTATTGTCTTTTCCAAACTTGAACCGGGTTGTATACCTATCAACTGCCGAGAAACAAGTTTTGAATAATACACGTATGTCGGTATCGTCAACTTATGCCAGAATCGCCCCCAAAAGCCTCGCACGCTGTACGCTTCCATTGGGCCCCCGAAGAGAGGTGGCCAATCTTCGGGATAATCGAATCGGAGGATAGCCACGAACACAATGGCCAAAAGACAATGATAAAATTCCAGAAAGAAATAAGCGCGCCAAACCCATTGGACTGACATAATTGCGCGAACTTGGATTTGATGGGATGACAGCTGGAAGGCTACTTCCATTTCGGGCGAGAAGTCAGCTATAACTACTTGCCCGAGTGCATAGATGAAGATCTTTTGAAAAACAAAATGCTCGAATGCCCACAAAGCCGCTGCCTTCATTGACTGGTTGAAGGAGAAAGTTGGCCTAGACTTAGAATCCCTTGGCCCCTCTTTTCCGAGTGTTGAAATGCGTAATGGTAGTTCTCGCGGATTGTTCCATGTTCTATAACAGTCGACAAAGCTCCAGTCATGTGTGCTAACTTCTGGGTTGACAGCAAGCTGATCGAAAGCGAGTAGCTTTGTTGAGTAAAGTAGATAAAAGACCAGCACGCTTGCAAAAGTGCTATCAGCCCCAATCATCCAAGACAACCTATGGGATGAGGCCAATGACAGTAGGGAAAATAGCCAGACTGGCCCCAGGAACAGAAGACGGATTTGTCGACGTCTTTTGAGACCGGTGATAGTGAGCACGCTCGCTACCGTGTAGTAGAACAACGGCAAAAATGACTGGAAATCCATACCTGCAAAGTACTTGCAGAGAACAAATTTGAAAACGGCAGATATCAAGACCGAAAGGATAATAATAGATAGCTCATTTCTCTTAACACTTGCGTAAAACTCCGAAATCATGCTAAAGATGCTGCGGACTATAAATTCCCCACTGTAATTGGAAAATTCCATATCCCGCACTCTGAAGAAGGAAAGATTGTCTGTCCATCTTCCTCAATGGCGAGAACAATGTCAAACAAGATATGCCCCACTCCGCCTCTCTAACTACTCAGACCGCACATTCATTATTGCTAGTTTATATACCAAGATAGCAATCATAAATAAATGTATTGTTTTAGCAATTCCTCAGTCTGTTAATGGTCCGTATCTTCCACATCAAGCACATCAAGCTTATGGGACAATGAAGTATCAAGATTAGCGGGGCCTATGCTGCTGTTTTGGGGGCTAAACCTACAGCCATACTGTTCTCTATCAGCACAGTACTACTATGGATCCATTCTTCGACTTCCAGCCTCATCAGTCGCTCCTCCCGCCAAGAACACCCTTCGACCCGCTTTGGTTGGGCAATGGTGTGGGTCGTTTAATCTATGCATATTTGGCCCCCTTCGCAATAGTTTTATGTACGCTAAAGCATCCCGAAGGAGAACTGTGTTAAATCATGCAGCAATTCTACCATGAGAAATCAATTGAGTTACATCGGGCAAGATATAGACCCACACCTATATCATGCGAGCGAGAAACGGCCCCGACGTCCCGTTTAGATCTTCAAGGAAACCCCCAATGCAATATCGTCAGATTCGTTGCTTGGCTTCTATTGAGCACCGGCTTCAATCCACGGCCACGACCTTGTTCAGCTCATACGTCAGCTGACATTTATTCGTGGATACTTACTTTGACGCTATCTACTTTAGACCCTAGTTGGGCTATGAGCATTCCTGATCATGGAAGGTTATGCGGAATATCACAAGTATACCTTTTGTCATGGATGACTTCAAATGGGTATAAAACACCCATCTCCCTTCCCCTCTGTCTCATCCTTTCTCTCCTCATCACAGCAATCACCCTCACCAGATTTCCAATCGAAAGTCTCAACCTCTTCCATTCAATATGATCTCTCCCATCTCCCTCAAGGCTGTCGGTGCCGGTGCCGCCGTATACATGCTTGGCCAGCAGGTCCAGTGCCCCTTCATTGCCATTCCTCTCATTGGTGATGCTATTGCCATGACCGTTGCCCAGGTCGGCTCAGCTGCTGCTAGCTTCGGTGGTGCCATTGCCGCCGCCCACTTTGCCAAAGCCAGAGATCTGCAAGGTCGTGACAACCAGGTTACCGCCCCTGCTGGCGTGCCTCAGTACAACTTCGATATGTGTGCTGAGAGCTTGACCGACCCAGCCGTCACTGTCACCGTTAACGGCCCCGTTGAGAACAATGGTGAGTAGATATCAATACTTAACTTGAATCAAGCTAATTCTTCTTAGGTGTCCAAATTGACGGTCTTCCTTCTACCTGCATGGTTCTTTCAAATGTTTTCGACGGCGATGCCGCCGGTGGTCCCGTGCCCACTCCCTGTGGCTCTGCATGCCTTCTGTACAACAATCTGAATGCCGATCAGTATGGCCAGATGCAGGCCATTTTCGAGAAGATGAAGAACCTGTAAATATTTGAGGCACATTCTGCCGACAGTACGCTGGTTCGACCAAGGGGTTAGGGCTCCTGCCTTGAGTTTGAGTTGTGTGTTTTATATAATTATATTGGATGAGGTGGAAGTCTTAGAAGCTTAGTGGATTTTACACTGGTTATATATAGAACACTTTGCAAAACCATTCATTCACTTCACAAACTGTCTCAATCAGTTATTACTGATTCCATGCATATCACCAAATATAAGCAAGTAGCCCGCACTTGATCTATACAGCGGGCTCATTTCCATCGCTAGTATTACACAATACAACTCAAATTCAAGAAAGAATATAGGGTTTTGCTGCTGTCTATCTCGGTACCTACATGCCTGTATAAAAGTATAAAGAAACCCCGTACTATTTGGATGGACTGGTTTGAAATTGAACTGTGAGTGGAACAGGGTAGGTATGTATATATATATCCACGTAACAGCGCGCAATATTGATCGCGAAAGACCAACTAGGTACGTGAATCAGTGATATGATATATTGTTTCGAAATTCCTCTCCGCTCTGATCCCCAGCAAACTAGACAGGGGCTAGTTAAACCGCTGCTGGCATGTTGGCATACCATGGCTTGCAGTATGGGACAACGTCACCGAACTTGTCTTGCCTTATAGCCAACCCCAATAAGGAGGAAAATATCAGAAGACATAAACAGAGAATTTAGTGCTCATCTTTAATATAATACCAAGAGACAGATATTATTCTGTACGTACAGTTACATATAACACTTGGATTAATTCCCCAAATTCTTCTTTCCCATATCGACGACAAACTTGCTCGTTTTCCCCTTTACATGCAGTGTATATAGCCTGATTGCAGTGACAATAACCATAAGGGTCCAGCGCGGTCCTAACGCGCTCGACTGGCCATCCACCAGCTCAAGAGTGAACGCATGTGTCATACTTGGAAAGGCCATGACCCACCCAAGAAAGGCGACAGTCCCACTATTCTTGCCTGGTGGTGAAGGCGAGGACGAAATCGGTTTTTGGACGCTGCTGCTGCCACTCGGCTGCGATGTTTGTTGACCTGCCGAGAGCCGAACCAACTTGAACCCATTTCTCTTGGCTCCATCGTCACCCTTCTTGACCTTCCTCCAGGCAAACTCCTCCCGTCGCTGCTTCTCGCCTACCTCGATGGAAAAGTGGAAGGCGATATCGTTATTTGCACCAGGTTCGGCGCGCATGACCTCTGTATCCATGCGGTCGGATTTTGGGTCTGGATCAAGTGGAGGCAAGAAGACGATGCCGTCGGGATTGAACACATGGAGGCCCTGCAACTCATCACCAGCGGCAGCAAGAAGTGGATCTTTGCTGCTCATCCCATCGCGCAGGACAAATCCCGTTCTCATTCCGAGTGGAGCTTTGCCGCTATAACCAGTTTGCATCTCAATCAGACACAGGCGGTCTTTGGCACTCGCGCCGCAGAGATTTAAGGATTTCCATTTTGTCCACTGGCCATGTACATTCATTGTTGATGGAAGTGAACCATAGCGAGGTAGTGTCATCAATGCCTCCTCATAGTTGGGCGGGGCTTCATTTTGGTTGGCCATGATGTGACTTGAGAAAAGGGTGAGAAGAGAATCTAGGATTGACAATATTGTTTTAGACTGGTAAGCATTGGTTTGACTGGCTTAACATAGTGTACTCCAAATGACTCCGCCACGTCCCGCAGAGTATTAAAGTGTTTGGTGGGTCAAGGATCCGCTGGATCATTGATTTGTCCTTGGTGTACCTACGAAAGTATGTACTGGGGCCAAAAACACCCCTTTGTCTTGGCACAATTCAATTTATTCTAAATTAACCCAAGCTCAAGCCATTTTCCAAAAAGGCAACTTCTCCGATGAGCCCACCTACATAGAACGACATATTATTTTCATTGCATCCCCGCAACAGGAGGTTATTGCCCTTATATGGATCTATACCACCCTACACTCAATTCCCATAGCTTTTATTACGAGAAACACTCCACACTTTGAATATTCACTGAATATTAGTGTAATTTTACTCATTTGCATATGATGATTCTAATCATGTTTTGAAGGGTTTAAACTGACGTAAATATTGTGAATTTCCTAACAATTAGTTGCGCTTGGAACAAAACAACGCCATTGGTCATTATAGGGGCGCGCAAAACGCTTAGTCCAATCTGAAAATATGCAAAACAATAGGCGACCCATAACGTAGAGTGGGCGATGGCCGTCATCACAATGATGGTAAACACGAACCAGTGGATTCAGGTAGTTCTAACCAGCTGCTTCCCTCCATCGGTGGTTATTCCCAAGACGATATGGACAAATTGGTAGAACGTGCAGAGTAAGAGACACATCGCGGTATCCTGGAGAATAATGGAGAGAAATTGACAAACCAATTCCAGCGCAAACAGTGGGCCTTCCAAAGAACCAGTGATGCCCAGAACGATGTACCAGATGTAATACCCGTGAAAATGGTAGAGGGGTCAGTGGTGCGTTTATAAATGAGGGTAGCTGGTCGAAAACAAAGAAACGATAGTAAATACTCACCATACCCACGTCCAATTGGCGACCATAATGGCCCCCAAAGGAAGTGTCCTCGTGTTGATTATTTTCCGTCGGCGCTTACCAGGGTATCAAAGAGACCAAAACTACACGAAGGATTAGACAATGCAAAAGAAGAGCTCGGGAGTGCAATGGCGACGAAGAGTACACCGGCGTTTGATCCGTCCAGGATTGGTTGATCCATCTTATCGGGGCGTCGGGGATGAGAGAAGATATTGTCAAGAGTGTGATGTGCGGGGAGTCGACCTCCTGAAGTGAATGGGTAAGCTTGAAAAGACAAGGCTTTGTGGCTTATGGGATGGGCAAGGAGGAGCTAAAAGAATTGACGCAACCGTGCAATATTGCAAAGTAGGCGAGGAGCTGGCTTTGAATTGCCTTTTGACAAACCATAGGATGAATTGCCAAACACACGTAAAGGAAGCTCGATTTTGTTAAGATACAGTCAGTGCTGATATGATTAAGATTTTACGCCTTTATAAAGTTATCTACCTAGTACGCGAATTTCGATTTTTGCACACTGGACTGATCTTACATCCAATCAGCCAATATGAGGTTTTACAGTTCGATATACTCATTAGTTTTCTTTGAATATCAATGCTGAGTTACCGTAAGCCAACCCCGATAAATTAGACTCCATAAAAGTATACTGATCCGGTCCCAAGCGGCACAGTGGAAAGCCTTCTTCATTTACTCTGGCTAATCGGAAATAAAAAAGTATGCAAATAGATACAAAGTTTGCTCATGAAATTATTGTAGACTTGTCACCAGAGTACGTACAGTATCTTTCCATGCCAGCCTATAAATCAGCTGGACTGGCTGAAAGTTGCTAGTTTTGAATAGCCAAATGGTAACGGATATCACGACCCTCATCCAGCTGCTCCAATGCTTCTGTTGTAGAGGGCCCAGACGAGACGAAGCCTTGCCGCAGGGAGCTGCCAGGTCCGCTGCAATATCCTTCTAGATAGGGTTGGACATCAGCAGTGACCGGAGGAGAGAAATCCTGTGTGAATATTGCAGGCCAGGTTGCGTCGACTTGAGCTATCCATTCACTTTCGCGTTTCCTCTTCAACCCATGCGGAGACGTTGATATCGGCACAGTCGTGTCAAAAGCACATATGATATTGGGATCCGGACTTGCGTTTTTGCTAGGAAGATGACTCTGCACGTCATATGGATGGTTGAGAGGTGAGTGAGCCGGGGGATTTGCCACGGGTGTAAAAGGTACCTGTGGCGCATTGTTGATAAAGCCTGACTTGACAAATCCAGATAGGTTGTTCGAGATAGGGATGCCGTCCCCGTTATGCTCATTATAGTTGGATGTGGTCCTCACTGCTTCAGGTAGGTTCATGCGACAAATCCACACCTGACGTTGTCCATCTGGAAATAATAGTAAGATTACAGGCGGCTAACGCGATAGGACGCTCATAATAACATACCACTTTTCCCCTGCAAGAATTCTACCTCTTCTTGTCTAACTCGATAGATCTCATCCAAGATGCATACTCGCTGTTCCGGGACTATATACCGGCGAATCGGCTGGTCGGCCTCCCGTAACCTTTTGGTGGTGATACCGAGGCTAGTAGGCAGTTCACACAAAATATGAACTAAAAGCCTGATGCGCTCTGTTGACGGTTAGTTATTTGATAGGAACCCAGTTGTATGTAGTTCTTACCCTCTTTAAGAAGATGGTCAGGCTCTCGGTGCCTCACTCTCGGAGGCCACCACGGCGGCTTAGCAGCGTCCGGGTCAAGCTGCCGAATGGCCCCTCCGACAACGACACGCCCGTTGTATGGAAAACATACCTGCTTGCGAGGCTCCACCATCTTAATATAAGCTTTCGCAAGGGCTCGGCAATTCGTCTGCTGTAGGTTTTGAAATGCCTTTCCATAGTACTTTCGTAGCCAATCGCGGTCTGTAATAGATATCGCGAATTCCGGCCTCCACGTTCTGTTATCCTTGCTCCAAACATTTCTTTTTGTGCGTTCCAAGCTCTGTATGTCCCCATAAGGCGAAGGTTCTACATGAGCTGGTCCTACTGTTGACGAAGGTGGACTAGCTGGTAGGGAATTTCGTGTGTGCCATTTGCCATCCAATCCCCTCGTGTGGGTAGTAGTGTGGATTATTCGTGGTGAGGGCGAAGCTGTTTTGGCTGCTGGCGTAGTTTGATGAGGTGATGCTGGCACATTGAGCTAAAGTTAGTCATTATATTGGACTCTCTGTGCAGATAATATGAAACACACTTTGAGTTATTGGCGAACCAACCTCTTCTGACATCGCGATTGCTTTCAAAAAGATATCTACGAGCCGTACAGACAGAGACCCTTGGAAGGCGTTGGCAATCGACTGAGAACACTGCAAATGAATGCCGCCCTCTATATCGATAGATATGTGCGCAAAGTGAGCACGACCTAATTTACCGTCCACGGCTATAGGGGCGTGGCAAGTCATTGAGTGATTGGTGGCGGCATCCATAGTAGTTGAGGATTAACATAGAAACCCGAGACTGCGGACTCTCCGAATTTCATTTATAACTGAAGGTGACTTGACGATCGCCGTGATTATGTACATTAAAATCCGAGAAACTACGAGCTAAACGTTTAATCAAGATTTCGGATCTACAAGACACCATTCCAACAACCCTGTCAGACATGGGATTATTCCTATTGGCCTGTCAAACAATGCGGGTCTTCCTTGATGCACAACAATTAGTTCATATCTTAGTGATCTGCATCCTTTAACCTTGTTCGTATTATCACACATATATGGCTCAATTTGAGCTTTTTACCCTTACTTTACTTCGTATCCGCGTCCTGTCACAAGGAAAGTCTGTCTTAATACAACAGAGAATGGCACCAAGGCAAGGGAAGAAGTGGTACCACTAGCCCAGGCAAATCCCGCCGAACTAGATCGCCCGTCAATTTGGCCGAGACATCTCTTTCCACTGGTAGACTTTCGTTATGTATTTAGCAAGCTGCGTGTGTCCCGTTCCAGACCACGCCACATCGTATGCTGTAAGCCCGCTGCGCACCCAGAACACACAATAAAAACATTAGATTACAACATGATATTGCAGCAACGGTTGTCTGTATGAACTTTCCCTTGTAGCTTAATACTATAGATATGATATCTAGCCAGTCTATATAGTATAGGGGAATTTGATAAATTAGTGACTGAGACGTATGTACTTCTGGAGTCCAGCGAAGTATTGTTTGATGTATTCGAAATTGATACATAACATTCAAAATGTTTATCAATTGCTATCGGCAAGAAATGAAATTAAATTAAAACGTGGATTGTGGAATACAAATGACGGGTGCACGGCTTTTACTACGTGTTCTGGTGCGCAGCTGCCATGTGCGGCTCGCTGACCGTTCATTCTAACGGTTAGGCAACAATATGCGAGCTAGATCATTATTCACATACAACATCTGGTTTGCTTAACGGTGCCTATGTCGAGTTACGCTTACCGCTATGACCTCGGTACCTCCTAATATAGTTTCCTGGCCTTCATCCTTGATTTGAAAATACATCACGCCCCCTGTTGCACGTCGTCAGCATCTACTTACCAAATTAAGAATCACGGAAAACTTTACATTAATAAACCAAATAGATAGGCTCTTTGATAGGGCTCTTCGGTACACTTCTAAAAGAGTCGCTACGTAGGAGGCTGAGGGCTAGACCACGATCTAACATATCGGTAACTAAGCGAGCAGCTCCCTGTGAAAGAGCAGTTCGTATAAACGAGTGGCCAAGAATTGGCACTTAGTTAATTCAGCCACCACGCCCCCAAGTGGCCCCCGAACCTCCAGTAGAGGATCTTACAAGGCATTTTGACTTTCATAAAACAAGAAATTATTTCAATTCATAAAGTACCACGCATTTTATGACTCTAGATAATTCCAAGAGAACGGACGTGGATTGTGATAGATCAACGCTCGACAGCCGAGAAACTAACGGGAGTTCGTGCCTGGTGTGGAGAAAAGTCAAACTCCATCATTACAGGTTTGAATCTCCCTTGCCGATCATTGTCCACTAGGATGATAATTGCAGATCCTGTATGTTATATCTCGAATTTTACGTCTTGAACAATCAACATAACCAATAAATTTAGAATTGAGAATACGAATAACATGTGGCATGACCTTCATATATACGAAATACTAGGATTGCAGAACGCGAAGAATTCAGATGAAAGAGACATCCGTGTATACAACATAAGCGAGAGTCCATGGGGTGGGGTGGCGCTGGAAACCTGTTTCCACCCCTTCACGTATCCACTTCCCAGTATCAATATGCATCCATTGCTCGGCTTCAATGTCCTACATTATTCAGTGCAATGACCTTACCGGCCTCGACAGTTCTGCTTGCTTAATCACCCTTGAACAATCTCACCGCAACTCCTAAGAGTGAAACAAAAAATCACTCCTTTAAAATTCACTCCTTTGTTTTCCCCGGTCAAAGGCTCCCATTGTTACCTGTAACAACAGACCATAACACAAATGGGTCCAGCTCGATCTATCTCAGCTTGCTCAGAGCTAATTGCAAGACCCTCAGACGATATCCAAGGGAATACTTAAGATCAATGTGGAGTCGGGAAACAGAGACATAGAAAGTATACGCAGTGGTATAATAGAAACTAGTAGCTGCTTATCCAAACAAGCAGCCTATGAAGCTAACCTAGATATCTGTAAGCTATGTGGCCTATAGACCCCAGGTAGGTAGTAATATCTATCTATTTGGGTATCAACGCCTTCGCAATAGGGTCTTAACACACAGAATTTAATCACTTAGAATTATCAAGAACTCGACTATCAAGTATTAGACTTGGATTTTGAACTTGTATAGAGATAAGAATAGGCGGCCGCTTTGCTGCCTTATACAGTTTTTAGCAGCCATTCTTTAAGTAATTCTTTTCCTTTCTAGGTAGATTGTAGGGAAAAGAAAAAGGCATAAGCTAACGCAAGCGACATTTATGTATGGATAGTATGGAGAATTTGGGTAAAATCGAGTTATTTAGATGTCGAAGTGCTTATATTAACAGAATACGTATTTTATGTTACGTGCCAGTTCATTCAACGAGGAAAGAGTGCATACAAACTAGAAAAGCAAAGATGGGGAGCAAAGACAGAGAGAAGAAGCAAGTGTTAAATCCCAGAGGATCTTATAGCAGAAGGTATCCCAGCAAGCAAACAACATCTTTCCTAATCATAAGGTATGCTACTACCCTAATAAGAATAGTAGCAAACTGAGAACAAAGAAACAAAGCAAGCAAAGGAAACAAAGGAGGCATGTGATCACGTAGATCGTGACATACTGCAGCTAAAATATGTTGTGCAGCACTGACGGTTAGGAACTGTTGTAGCATAGCCTATTGTCATAGGATCTAATGCATCTCCTCGCCTGGTTAGCCCTTTTGATTTTCGTCTCGGATGCTCAATCGTTGATTTGAGAGTTGAAGCAGAACAGTGAAGATGCCGAACAATTCATCAACACATTTCACAGACAATGGATGAAATATTAGATATATGGAGTTTCCATTACACGTAGAACAAGATCTTGGTCACAACATCGTCTCTTTGTTGCGTATAAAATAGCATCTGATAGAGGACTCACAACATGGATCGTCGATCAAGTTTCATTTCCAAGTCGCTCAAACACCGATATGTCATGACTCATACTCCGTATCATATTACAATCAAAGGTTTATTGAGGCTGTCTGTCTATATCCAAGGATTACTTCCAAGTTTGCACTCAATTGAGACGATTATATAAGCCACCATCCGGCACCCCGGCCCGGTGCGCCTCCATGGGCCGCTGCCAATCACGCAGTGTCATATGCAGATCCCCCAGAAAGTACCGAGGTCGAGGGTGTGGATCTAATTTGCCCGAGATATATGAAATCAGCCTGAGGTTTATTGCTTGTTTAATTTTATTTCTTTGCTAATATCATCCTCGTCCCTGAATGGCACCCATCAATGCCATCGCGTCGCAGCCATACGAAGTCCAGAAAAGGGTGCTTGGAGTGTAAAAGGAGACATATCAAGGTCAGTGCCAACAAGTTTACTCTCCTGAACTCGTCAGGCTGCTGAATGTGGCTCAGGTGGTCTTGATGGATGGCAGTGACCCACCAAGTCACACCCATATTCTGACGCAACGCGTAGTGTGACGAAGGCATTCCAAAATGTACTCTGTGCAGAAAGCGAAAATTGGAGTGTAAATATCCTGCTCCAAATGCAGACGAGGACAGCCCTATGGCGTCATCCAGCGCACAGGATGAAGCAGAAAGTGGCAGTGTGACCCCTTCACAAGATTTCCCACAGGCAACACGCTTGCTTGAGACGAGATTATTTCACCAGTATATGATTTCAACGTACCACACCCTCTCACAGGATGGTCTTTCAGCACACCATCTCTCCATGACTATTCCGCGCATGGCCGCATCTTGTCCCTACCTGCTTGACAGCATCCACGCATTTTCAGCTTTACACTTGGCTTCGGTTGAACCTGATAATCGGACGTCATGGCTAAATCATGCCGTGCGATACCAGAGCCAGGCATGCGCTGGACTGAGCATGGCTCTTTCAGGAATCTCACCACCAGATTACGAACCAGCATTTGTCTCATCCATCATCATAATGCTTTTTGCCATGGGATCTCGAGTACTATCAGTTGAAAGCCGACCACTGGACCCGATTTCAGTAATTCTTGAGGCTCGCACATTGATGTCTGGCCCGGCCATGCTTTTGTCCCGGATACTTGAAGGCGGTGTTGAAGCGCAACTGAACGGTTGGCTGTGCGCTCCTGACACACAAGAAAGTCTCCAAACCGGGGAGCATGATCAGTACGGCACCCCTTCTCTCTGGTTCATTGGCGATTGCCTAGATGATAACACGAAACAGTAATGGCAACCCGGTCGAAAACACACGTGTACTATTTGGCCTACACACGTACGTTCCAGAGACGTATCGAAGGGCCGTGTAGGGCTTGCGAAGCTGATTATCAACACAGAGACATACTCACGTCGCTAGATCGACTTCATTCGATGATTGACACACGGAAAGGAGCGGACCAACCGATCTACGAGGCCACATGGCAGCGGCTCCATCAGGCCATCGAACCATGGCCGAAGATCGGGCCATATGGCGGTCCCCTTGCATGGCCCTTATCCCTCTCCGACAAGTTCTCCTCGTTGCTCCAACAGGGCGACTGGGTTTCCCGGGTTCTGCTTCTGCATTATGGTATAGCTATGCGTCTCCTGTGCCATCGGTGGTACGTGCGCGACTGGGGTCGTCGGCTCGTATTGGCCACATTAGAACCACTGGATGAAATTCCACAGGAGTGGGAGGAGACTTTTTCGTGGATAAGACGAGCCGCTGCAAGGGAGGACTAGCCACAGGAATACCATGAGAAGTCGAGGTGTGGAATACTGGTTTATTATAGATAGGTATTCAAATCACAAATAGGCCAACTGACCACATCAGAGACATAAGAGGTAACATGACCTCGGGTATGGGCCCGGGGGATTTCGATCTGACCCCCGATTCCCAAAACGCTTATCAGCGGGGTCGAAACAGAATCTCTACAAGCACACCGCTATATACATATCTAGAATTTTTAGATGACTTTCGTGCTCGACCCTTAATTTCCCTTTCATCCACATCTCTCGATGTCGGCTGCATTCAAGCAACTTAGAGCTGATCCTATACGAAAGCATCCAGAAGTTGGACTCCAATTGTGACATGCGACAACCCTATCAGATCAGCGGAGATGTGGAGAAACAGGTACGCCTATCTTTTCCCCTCCCCAAGATTAATTTCCCTTTGATTGGAGATACTAACCCGATGGCGCCATAGCTTGAGTTGGCCTCGCCAGCCGCTTCTTCTCCTAGACCGACCATTGCTCAACATCCCATCCAGGAAAATTGGAGGCAGCCTCTTGTCAACATGTTAAAACCAATGAGACTTGGAGTTCTGGCAATTTTGTCGCTACTATTGATCGCAATTCATCTGCCCAGTGCAAATACCTCCCCCTTGGAATTCTCCGAGCGAGACCCGAATGGGGGCCATGGGTCGCATGGTAAAATTGGCGCCGGAAAACTGGGTGCTGTTGCTAGCGAAAGCTCAATCTGCTCCCGTCATGGATCTGATATCCTGAAGAAGGGCGGAAATGCTGCTGATGCTGTGAGTATACCTATCCAGGTGGACGCGGGGTGAGCTGCGTGCTGGGTTGCGTGCTGACACAATGATATAGTTGATTGCAACCCAATTTTGTATTGGTGTCGTAGGTGAGGCTACATTCGTTCTGTCAAGAATTGTACCTGACCATCGCTAACGGACACTAGGGATGTACCACAGTGGAATCGGTGGAGGTGGCTTCATGCTCGTGAGATCAGCAAAGGGCGATTACGAATTTGTTGATTTCCGAGAGACGGCCCCAGCTGCGGCATTCGAGGATATGTACAAGAACAACGAGGCTGCTTCCATCTATGGTGGATTGGCAAGGTAAGACAAATTCGCTCAGTGGACGGGACCCAAGCTAACAGCTATACCAGTGGAGTACCGGGTGAAGTGCGAGGTCTCGAGTACCTCCACAAGAAATACGGATCTCTTCCATGGGCGACTGTTATGCAGCCCGCTATCCGCACAGCCCGTGACGGCTTCCCTGTCACAGAAGATCTTGTCAAATACATGGTATCTGCCGTTGGCAGTGGAGAGGACTTCCTATCCAAGAACCCCACGTGGGCAATCGACTTTGCCCCGAACGGAACTAGACTTGGGCTGGGCGATATCATTACACGACGCCGGTATGCGGATACCCTCGAGGCAATTGCTGAGCGTGGCGCAGATGCATTTTACTCGGGCCCTATCGCGGAGACTATGATTAATGCGCTGCAGAGCGCAAACGGCACAATGACGCTTGATGATCTCAAAAATTACAAATTGGCCATTCGAGATATCGCTCAGATTGACTACCGTGGCTACAAGATCACGAGTACGTCGGCACCCTCCAGTGGTATTATCGCTATGAGTATTTTGAAGATTCTCGCGACCTACAAAGACTTTTTTTCGACTGAAAAATCGGTGAATTTGAGTACCCATCGGTTGGATGAGGCTATGCGATTTGGATATGGCGAGGTACGCATGACAAAGTCTGATTTCACTCGGGTCAACGATCGCTTACACGAAACTTAGAGATCTAATTTGGGCGATCCCCTGTTTGTTGAGGGGTTGGCCAAGTATCAGAAGGAGATTTTGGACCAGGCTACGATTGATGACATTCGATCCAAGATCTCCGATGTGCGAACTCAGAACGTATCTGCTTATGATCCAGCCGGATTGGAAAGCCTAGACACGTAGGTCCTACTTGGTGGATTATTCTCTGACGTTGAGCTGACTCTGTATCAGCCCTGGAACTTCCCATATCGCAGCAGCTGACCACACGGGCCTTGCGATCTCGGTAATCACCACAATCAACCTGCTGTTCGGTAGCCATGTCATGATCCCAGAAACCGGACTCATCATGAACAACGAGATGAACGGTATGTCGAGAAAGCCAGCCCGGGCCACGAGCTTAACTAATTGTTCACAGATTTCTCCATTCCTGGATCATCTAACTCATTTGGTTACATCCCCTCCGTATCCAACTACGTTCGCCCCGGAAAGCGCCCTCTTTCCTCCATCACGCCCGCGATAGTTGAGCGACCCAACGGCAAGCTATTTTTGATCGCGGGATCCGCAGGAGGCAGCCGTATCATCACAGCCACCGTCCAGAACATTATACATTCCATTGATCAGGGACTCTCCGCTGCCAAAGCGCTGGCCGAACCCCGTCTGCATGATCAGCTCGTGCCAAACCAGGTCAGCTTTGAATACGCTTACGACAACGCAACGGTAGCCTCCATGAAGGCGCGCGGTCACAATGTTACTTGGGTTGCTCCAGGACAGAGTAGTGCCCAGTTGATTCGGGTCTTGCCCAATGGAACATTCGATGCTGCTGGTGAGCCGAGACAGCTCAACTCGGCTGGGTATTCTGTATAGGATGGGATATGTTGGCAGAGATGCCAAAGTACATACATTTTCATGTGCGCGTCAAGGTACATAACCATCATTATAAATAGATCAATCGATTAAGATCAAGTGTCTCGTATTGCAGCCTTTGTTATAAGTTCTTGGAGGGCGCCTGCGCCTGGCGGATTGGCGTTCCTTATCGGTTGGTCCGTGCTTTCAATATTCCCTTTTTTGGTGTAGAGAGCTCGATTCGCTTGCTCTTTCTTTCTCCCTTAAAGGGTCTACACTGACGCGACAAGTTGGTCTGAACTTGTCTCTTCCTTAACATTCGTTCGCTGGTTTCATTGACACGACATCGCGTCACCTTATCGAGTTTACACGTGAATTGACATCCCCGCGTTTAAGGGAGCTCGGAAGCTTTCCTCGCGACTTTCTCGAGAACACCACGCATTTAAGTCGCACGGGAGACTTGGAGGTACCCTTTCTTGCCCTTTACTTGGTTTGTCTTTTAGCCTGCATTAAACAGGCATATTTTTACCAAAACAGTTCACATCCAACAAACCAACTACCGCGATATGTCTACGAACCCTTCGAACTTCCCCAACTTTCTACCCTAGACAACCTTCCATCTACTGTGACATCAGAAATACAATGGCTCGACTCAGCAAGATATCCGTTGTTGTTCCCCTCCCCTCCTTCGATATCGACCCCCTCAAGACGTTTGATGAAGACTACTTTGACCGTGCTGTTGACAACATCTTGTCTGAGGAAGCTAGCATCGAAGAATCTCGGGATGAGATGATGGACGACGATATTGGCATCTCGAGTCCATTTGGGTATGACGGCACGTCCGACTCTTCGAGGCTCAACGTTGGTCGTACCCAAAGGAACGAAACCAAGTCGCCGCATTTTTCTACTCCCTCAACCTCTGCCTCGCCTACAACTGGCACGACAACGAACAGGAAGTCGAAAAACTCTTCTAGAATAAGGAAGAGTGTGACAACAGAGGGTCTTGGTGGTGATGATGAACCTCTTATGAGCCTCGAGAACATCACACAACCTCAGCGTGAGAAGGAAGTCATGGAAGTTGAACAATATCCCATCCACGAGGCGGGTGGTCCCTCTTCTGCACTTCCCGAACTGATGGAATCTCCCGAAATTCCGATTTACGGCAATGAAATGACGGCGGAAGAGAGGATCTTTGCTTCGGTGGACCCAGAAAAGCAGATGGGGGTGATGAAGTTCATTGTCTCACACTCTTTCATGACCGAACCGCTTCAACCTGTTCGACGTTCCGCTAGACGTCAATTCACTGGCCAAGTGCGCGAGGTTGCTATGGAGGCTGGGATGAACGACACAGCTGTCGATGCTTTGATTGACCACGTTCGAAATACATTCCTTGAGGACCGTGAAGTTGTGGCAGCTAACTATGCTGACTCTGCGTTCGGGGATGAAGTGGACGGCGAGGAAGACATGCACCGAAAACGGCGTAAGAGCAGCACAGACCACAGCGAAGACAGAGAGAACAAGAAAAGCAAGAGGCGTCAGTCTGATAAGCCAGCCGAAGTAGTGGAAGCACGTGTCCCGGCAGATGTTTCTACTGAAAGCCAGGACAATCGCCACGCTCAGCTGGATGAGCACAAACATAAGGCCAACACGCCGGATCTACCTCGACTGCCCACGAACATCATTCGCGGTAGCCCCAGAACATTCATCGATCTGACCGACTCCTCGCCCTATGACGAGGTCATTCGTGAGAGCCCACTGCCTGCAAACGCGGTCGATATTAAGCCATTCAAACGTCGTGAGCCAGGCGAAAAATCACAAAAAGAAAAGAACAGGCGCAAGCGCGAACGGAGAAGAGAGCGGAACAAACATCGGAAGAGCTCGGTTGAACAACAACAACCTCAAGACGATGTCGTTCATAGTGCAGAGAAACAAGCTTCAGGCGACTCCATTGATGGAAAAGATCAAATTCCACCTTCCATTCCCCAGCAAACCTCTTTCGGGGGCTCCAGTGGAAGCCGACGAAGCTCCAGTCAGCGCCCGCTACCCGCCGATCCATCTCTGTGCGACACGCATTTTTGAAGACCAGTGATTTGCCAGGTGTGACTCCAAGTGATGAGGTTCAGTCTAAGTATTTCTTAGGGGTTGGCAACCCCAAAATTGGCTTGAAAAGCAAGCGGGAGACGCCTTCCTCGCTGAATGAGTGGTCAATCCCCCCGCAAACCCGACAGCCGTTGGATGATTTGAATCTGCCCCCGAACTTCCTGTCATCGGATTCTTCCTTGAGTGATGTGCCGAGTGATTTTGATTCCGATTCCGATTGGAACGATCTGTGTGATCCCCCATTTCATGCTCATATCACGATCTCGCCTCCTAAAAGCCCCTGTGTTGTATCCCGATCCACAAATCCTGACCCTGAAACCCCTGTGAGAGGCAGCTCTTTCGTTAACCCAGAACCCATCAAAACCCCTCAAGCCAAAGCCCCGAAGCATTCTCCTTATTTCCCACCTGTTCTAGTTGATCCTAAATCCTGCCTCCCATTCCCCCCTATCGATGCCCCTTGTTTCGGGCTCATCCAGGAACAGCTTGCACATGACCCCTTTCGTTTACTCATTGCAACCATGTTTCTCAATCGAACCCGCGGTGGTGTCGCCCTGCCGGTCTTGTTCAAGGTTTTTGACCGATATCCTACAATTAAGGCGATGGCAGAAGCAGACCTGCCGGAATTCGTATCGATGATCAACTGCTTGGGCTTTCAAAATCAACGCGCCAGGAAATGCACTACATTGGCACAAACATGGTTATCAGACCCCCCGAACAAAAACAAAAGATATCGCAAGCTACACTACCCACGAAACCTGGACGGTCGTAACGTTGGCCGTGAAGAATGCATTGATGAAGAAGATTTGCGCGTCGCATGGGAGATTGCACATCTCCCTGGAGTTGGAGCATATTCCCTTGATAGCTGGAGGATCTTCTGTTGCGATGAGTTACGAGGAAAAGCCTCTGACTGGAAAGGGACAGATGCGACAGAGGTCGGGTTTGTGCCCGAATGGAAATGTGTTCTACCACACGACAAGGAGCTACGTGCCTATCTTACATGGATGTGGCTGAAGGAAGGATGGATTTGGGATTACAACACGGGCGATTTGACACTTGCGAGTGACAAGACGATGAGAGCTGCGCAGAGTGGAGGGGTCGCCCGTGAAGAAGAGGGGAGTTGGGTACTAGAGACATCCCCTGTCAAGGCAGTGAATGGATTGCATGAATCGGATCGCTCCTAAAGGTTGATGTACACAACTTAAAAATCAAAGTTTCAAATCACTAGACAATAAAAGATGTAGTTGCCTCAGGCAGTAGAATGTGTGTTCCCCCAGAAATGTTAGCTGAGAATGACTCTTTATATATTTGATTTCAGGCTTCCATGCAGCAACGTTAGTTAAAGAGCGGGGCCCGAGATCGTTCACCGCATTATCACATAGTGCATTTCTTTCCACTTCTATTTCATGCGTTGTACCTGAATGTTTTCTTTTTACACCTTTCATCCCTTTTCCCCAGACGCGGAATGCCGGATTGGCCCTTAAGCGACCAGTCACGACCTGAATTAAGCGCCAGGATAATTGGAGACAAAAATAGGACATCCCCCTCAGTGCGAGTCTAGCCAGGTAACCGACGACTGACCCCACGGGTCTACAGCTACTCGTCATGTTTCCTGTTAGACTAAACCGCGACGATAGGAAGTCCAAAACTAAAACAAACAAAACAAACAGAAAGACCTCAACCAAGGACCCAGAGGATTCTACCACGGCTCGTTCATCAACTTCCCGAAGGTCCTCCATGCCTGGACTTGATAGATCGGAGGTCTCGTTCCTTGAGTCGAGATCTAGCTTACCGTATCCTACTTTCTCGAAAGCTCACAGCAAGGAAGGCGTCCGAAAACCGAATATCCCTACACCGGACCCGACCGATTTGACAAATAACGACGGGAAGACTCATCGCGAGAATCACCATGCGCCTCCTAGTCCACCCCTGACGGGTCTCGACCAAGAGTCGAGGAAGGGCAGTGTTGTGAATGAAGATGAGAAGGAGATGGACAAGCACAAAAAACCAAGTATCAAAATCAGAGCCCAAGTCAACAGGTCATCGTCGAGTCTGCGGTCAAAGCGGGATGATAGCACCAAGTCCAAGTCCAGCAAGACGTCGCGAACAGAGACGGAGACCCCCACCAAATCCAGAATACCCAAGGATGAGAGTGAAGCTTCGCCTCGGCCATCGAGCTACAAGTCCAAGACAAAGGTTTCCGATGACAGGAAACTGCCCAAACGGTCGAGTCGCTCGACGATGTCTGCCTCACAGTCGAACGTCACTCTCCGTGATGTCGGCGCAGAGTCAGCCAACGGATCCGATGCGACCTCTATTGCCCCCAACCAGCAGCATTCAGTGCCACGAAAACCCATGACCCCGCCTACAAAGCCTCCTTCTCGCACCCAGAACCGATCGGCCATGTCCCATAACCGCGCTACGAGCGATGAATCGGTCGATTTTGTGAAACCAGCGAATCCGCATTCGTTTGGTGCGCCCCCGCCGCCCCCGCCTCCGCCCGAAATGCCTGTTACAATCCCTCGAGTCGATTACCTGCTGAAGAACGGTGGTCTGGAAACAAAGGTCTCGAGAGCACTGCTGGCTAGCCTCGGGCAGAAGGATCCCTTCTCGCAAGGACATCCTCAGTCTCGGGCTATCGCTAGCAAAATATTCGATCCATATAACCGTTTACTAGACGACTACCAAAAGGTCATGAGTAAGAATGGGTCTCTTGCTGTCGCGACAGGCTACCGGTCCGTCGCCCGCCGTTTATTGGATCGTCTCGAAGCCGTGTTTGCGCGCGACATCTCATCCGAGCCATGTAACTGCCAGATATGCGACCAAGCGGAGTCAGATGATCAACCGGATGGAGTGAGCTGGGGAGAAGTCTTGGAGCTTGTGTCTGGCCGCAGGGAACTTCCCATGTGGCCTCCATTCACGATGGCACCAACCGCTGTGGATACAGGTGCACCTGGCGATGAGCACGTTCCTATGCAGAAGCTTGACGTTGACGTTCCTGAAGAGTACCGCGACCACTTCATACGGCAATCTCGAAAGACAAAGGTCGCTGTCGACAAATGGCTTTCCGAGCAGAATGATCCAGGCACTAGCGCACCTAATGAGGTCGACGACGAGACTTTGACCTTCGCCATGCTCACGCATCTCGAATCCCAACAGCGTTCATTGTTCTGCTCTTTGCTTGGCATAAATTCTTCTACTCCTGTCCCGCGCTCCGACGACGAAAAACCCCGACCAAAACCTTCGGCGCTTATCTCGTCGGCCTCAGCCATCCAGCGTCTTTACCGACTACCTTCCCCCCCTCGCGACCCAGAAACTGCTATGTACATGTTGAATAACCCTACTCTCCACCATGTCCTCGCCACCCTTTCCGCCATCAGCGATGACGAATGGGAGATCCTTATCTCCGGTCGGTTCGACGGCTTCCTCCGCAGCGGCGCAGAAGATACAGGCCCCGCCGCAAATGCCACCGGATCTCGCTACGCCAGTCGCTCCAACACCCCCTTAGGAGGCGGTGTCTCCCGAGGACCAACCCCCAACTACATGGACGGTAGCTTCCGACCCTCGAGCCAAGTAAACGGACCCACATTCCCCGCCACATTTGGCGGGCCGATTGCTCTAGACGAGGAAACCGAAATCGCCGCGTTAGCCGAAGTCGAGCGCGACATTTTCCTCGGAATGGAAGCCCTCGAAGACGCCTTCGAAGCCCTCCACTGTAAAGCCGAGGTTGTGCGGCGTGCATTACGCGAACGAGGCGCCGGCCTGTCTGTCGCAAACCAAAGCCGCCGGGGCTCGTTCGTCGAAGCGCGCCTGGGAACGCCCTTCTCTGGCGTCGGCACGTGGGAAAGTGGCGGTGAAGATGACTTCCTTGACGACGAGCGCTCTCTTGCCCCTGATGACTCGGCGAGTAACATCAGCTCCAACCGACGACGTCGACCCAAGAGACGCACGGAGCGACGCACGCCTGCGCCTGTTGAGGAGGAAGACGAGGAAGAGGATGGTCTTGGCCGTCGCGATACACGGAACTCGAGGCGGAGATAAATTGACGCCTGGATGGAATGGAATGGTATTAATTCTTTTCGAGCTACGTGCAGCGTTAGAATCTTTCGAGGACTGGTCGCTGGATAGCATGGGATATGGATATAACTGTTGCTGTTGCAATGGACTTGACGAACTCATGATACCCGCCCTACTTTCTTGTCCTGGGGCTTTTTTTGCTTTATTTCTCGTTTGTGCTTTTGGTTTTTCTGCGCTTCGCCTCCTGGCTCTCCACACTTTCTATATTTTGTTTTTTCACGATTGATGAATGCTATGAGCTTCCCCCCGACCCAACGCCGGCCGTGCGCTTGGGCTATGATACAAATTTAGCATCTCTCAGCGGTTGAATTGTTAGTATTGTGCAATATCAGATAACTGGATCTACGCATCTCAATGATCTTTATTCACTATTACAGAATTTTCGCCCACTTCAGGGTGAGCTTTGAATATTGCTCTTTATAAACATCCACACAAAAGAGTTGTGTGAGTCACGTAAACCCCTGTCTCACAAGCCTAACAGCTAATGCATCTACATAGATGTACCAAAACAAAATATATTCTGTACAACTTCGTCGTGCTGTGGCATTTTGATACAATCCATCCAACTCAACTTGATACTCAAGATGAGAAACGGCAAGTATGAGCGCTTGACAGTTGTTGTGGTCGGGATCGGCCAGATGGGCTGCAGCCACGCACTTGCCTACCACCAAAACACGGGCTTCAAGATCATCGGCCTGGTCAGCCGCAGCCCACCAAAGAAGTTCCCAGATGAACTAAACCAGTATCCCATTCTACTAAGCTTTGAAGAGGCCCTTCTGCTTAAACCGAATATCATCTCGATCAACACACACACTGCGACGCACGCCAGCTACGCCATAGCCGCAATGGAAGCCGGAGCACACGTGTTCGTCGAAAAGCCCCTAGCAGCAACAGTAGCCGACGCGGAGCGCGTCGTGGAAACAGCACGACGTACAAATCGCAAGCTCGTCATCGCTTACATCCTACGACATCATCCCAGCTGGGTGGAGTTCATCAACCAGGCTCGACAGGTCGATCCACCGTTCGTGATGCGAATGAACCTGAATCAGCGCTCCACTGGAAACGCCTGGGATATTCATAAGCGTATACTACAGGACGTGAAGAATCCTGTCATTGACTGCGGCGTGCACTTCATCGATTTTATGTTGCATATTAGCGACAGTAAGCCAGTACAAGTGCGCGGCATGGGACTCAGTCTCAGCGATGAACTCTCATCGGATGGACAGGCGAATTATGGGCATCTTCAGATTCTCTTTGAGGATGGGTCAGTTGGCTGGTATGAAGCTGGATGGGGGCCGATGATGTCTGAGACGGCGTATTCTGTCAAAGATGTGATGGGTCCTCGTGGTTCGGTGTCGATTGTGGTGGACGATAAGGAGAGGACTGCTGGCAATAACGGTGGCTCGGCTGATATTGATAGTCATACCAAAACATCGAGATTACGTGTGAGTGCTGTGCTTGATGGATGCGCGCATGATAGGATTATCTCCATGGAGGACGAGCCGAGTCACTATGAGCTTTGTGCTCGTGAACAGCAGTTCTTGTTAGATGCCATTCGAGAGGATAGAGATCTCACACAGCATATGATAGACGCTGTTCGATCGCTTAGTATTGTCATTGCGGTGGATCGGTCTATGCGTGATAATTGGGCAATTGGCCTGTGATGACGCTCCATATTCCTAAAAGGGGTAGCAAGATACTATAACTGAAGTAAATACTGTATATGGTTATAGCACTTAATCACAAGTATGAAACTGACACAGATAATAACAAGTGATCGGCCGTTGCCTGCGACCGAAAAGTTACTAGAGATAGGGATGAGCATGTACTTCGTACTGCCAGTGTGGGTTCCGCCTTGTTCTGGACTGGATTGGAAATCATTCTTCGACCTCGGCATCTTTTTTATATCTTGCAGGTCCACCCCCTGTCGACAGGACTTGCATAAGGAGTTCCACTGCGGATAAGAAACTTTGCACCGGTACATATGAAAGTGATTAGCCGGGATCAACGTACTTCGAAACCTTCATATGTTGCTGCCGTTGCATTGGTGGAGACCATGCATGGCTGCTAAGGGCCGGAATCTACGAATCGGGGCGAAGATGCCGGGCTGCAGTGCTTCCAGAAGTCTCCAGCGGTTTTCCTTTGTCATGAATCCCAATGCAGTTTTGAGTTTCTATGTACTCCGTACCTCTGTTGATGTCACTTCGACTGAATGGGCATATACGCAGAACAGGAGCGATAATGATGTGTAAGACATGGAAGAATTCATATTTTTTGTATGGCGATCACATGGCACACGGGCCAGGAGCGAAATGTTGTAGAGTCGTATCGGTAGAGGGGCCCTACCCAATGGTCTAGTCCTTACCTACCGCCACGATAGCCAATCTCCGTACGTACTCTGTATGAACGTTGGTGTAGATCACCAGCTTCTCTGGCTGCAGAGTCTGGATATCCCCAGGTATGATCATAAGCTATTGATGATTGATCTCCTAGGGTATGATCGGAGCGATCATAGGCAAAAGGATTCACACTAAACATAACTAGGATGAAATTGTAAGTTTATTTTTGTGGATATCTTCACAGAAATGTGTATATGCGTGTACACGGCTCGGAACGGAGCACTAGAGCCGTAGACTTTCGAAAACAGTGGGGCTCTAACTTGACGATGTCTTGAGCACGTGTACGTTTATACTGCAAGATGTGTGTAATTCAAATCTGAATATCTCCAAAGGCATCCCCGGGTATGTATGAAAGATCATATCTTGCAATCCAAATAGTGGAAGGCTAATTATTAAAGGTTGGATCCCCTAAACCGTGGGAGGTTAAACGGAAAAAGAAGGTTCAGGGACAGACGATAGAACCCGAACAAGGTTTGGGTAAGCTTTCACCTGCCTTGGTTTAGCTGGACGTGGGATTTGGATCGTCAAGGAGGTTCAGAAGGAGAATGAGATATAAGTGCATGAGAATGTATTGAAATATGTAAAGCATTGCTCAATATCGGCTAATTGACAGGCTGACAGGCTGACAGGCTGAGCTATCCAGGATTTAAAAATCCGGATATTCCCGATTTACCCCTGACGCATCCGAGACACATCAAAATTGACGCACGAAGTGGATTGTGGACATTCACTAACTCGGCACAGAGATTCCTTCTCAACGCTACTGGCAACTCAATGATTGCGGCTCTCCATAATCTAGACTATGCGTAATCATCCTTTGGATGATTCTACATTGTTGATCCTACCCACAGCAAATCTTCTACTAGTCCGCGCTAGGAAGCTGGAATTGTCCCCTGTAACGGGAAGCAGCCTGTATTCCCGGCATATCCCTGGTAAATTGAACCCATAATAGGGGGCCAAACAAAGATCTGCTACTCGTGACCTCAATATGCTTTTATACAGATGACTTGATGTCCATATGAAGTTTAGGGAGACGATTGAAGGGGTTAAAGAGAAAAATTTGTCCCGGATCCATTAAAAGCCGATTCGCTGGAGAGTTGGAAGCGGATCGAAGCTTAACCCGGCCCAATCGTATAGGCTCAAGGTCCACTCCAATACCAAGCCCACTGTTAAATCATCCTGAACATCTTGACCTTCGCTTTACTATCCGGATCCAGACTGCGGGGTACTCCGTAGATTTCATATGTTCCTGCTTAGCTGGTCCATCTCGTGCCCCCATTGTACGTCTTTTGACTTGTTAGTATAGCGAAGTTATGAAGTTATATTGTAAACGCCTCTGGGCTCAGAAGAGTCTAAGATTGGAAATGTATGGTATGTTTAGAAGGACAAAGCATCCCAATTTCCCCTCTAGTGTTCCAGAAGCCTTGCCCCTGCAGCGAAGGGTAGCGATCCGAGCGGTCAATGAGCCAATATACGCTTTGGCCTTGACACGGAGAACACGGAGCCCGTGTCTCTATAGATTTTGCGCTTTCTTAGTGGTTCTGAAAATTGGGGGAATTTTTCTTTTTATGCGGAAAACCTTTTCCAACTAGCACAGGCCCTTCTTTAGGGTGTACTTTTGTAGACTAGATAGTTCGGCTTGCCCGTTAAGTGGGCTGGTGCGGAGTAAATCACCCAAAGCTGCAGTTTCGAGCCGTTTCATTTGACAGTGGCAAACTTGTACCTCCTTACCCACTTGGCGATATGGCTAAAGGTGACCAAAGAGGCTAAGGTGGAGTACAATATACGTTGTATACAGGGATTCAAGACTCTGGACTGTGAGGTATTATGGAGATCACACTCCCTCTCCCAGGAGGCCATATTTTCCACAATTCCACTCTTCACTCAAACCTTTCGTGGAGGCAAAAATACTGAATGGGTTTGATTCTCATTCTTCGGTCCGGTCTATTCAATTTTAAGTTCAATTAGTGCTAGTAGTGTGGTCGTTTCTTTCTCCCACGTTGCATCTTGCATTCAATTTTCACATCGACTGCTTCTTCCCCTCGATCTATTATTTGTCTGTCATTACCGGCAGGTCGTGGGGTAGCTTCAGCGTTTACCACATTCGACTTTACATTTGTTCGGCACTCGCCTTGGCCTTATATATCACTTTCTATTACCCAGGCTCAGTCAGAGTCTAGACAGTGACCACAAGAACGCCATCTTACAGTGTTCAATCGCGCCCTTTTCCAACCAGACAATGATAGCAGACACTAAGTGAAATCAACTGACAAGATATTCCACCATGACTTCACTCATTCTGATGGGCTTGATGCCCAGAAACAACGAGCACTCATTAGCGGCGCGATTGACCAGCTCCGTGGAACTTGATATCGACCCTCTTCCACAATCGCATCGACGAGGCCTAATAGCAATCTCAATCATGGCCCTCTTGTCTCTCATTGCAACATCAATACTCCTCGGTTTCATCACCTATCGCCTTGTTTTCTGGCGCGGCAGTTATACAAGATACATCGGTTACAACCAGTACATTATTCTTATCTACAACCTTGTGCTCGCCGATTTTCAACAATCACTTGCATTCATTCTTTGTCTACGATGGATTTTGACCGACAAAATCGAGGCCGGCACGGTCTCATGCTTTCTCCAAGGGCTGTGGCTGCAAATTGGAGACCCCAGCAGTGGTCTTTTCGTGCTTGCCATCGCCTTTCACACATTCCTTTTAGTCGTCTGGGGACGCAAAATGTCCTACAAGTTCTTTGTCTGTTTCGTCGTTGGCGTCTGGATCTTCGTGGCGTTGATCGTAGTCATCCCAATAGCAATGCACGGCCCCGACATCTTTGTGCCTTCCGGAGCCTGGTGCTGGATCAGCGAAGAATTCGAGACTACCCGTCTATGGACTCACTACATGTGGATTTTCCTTGCCGAGTTCGGCACAGTCATTCTCTACGCCGTCATGTACTTCCAGCTGCGCCGACAGATCGCTGCTTCCGCCATCCTCGGAAATAACCAACTGGCGAGTCTCCAGCGCCTTCGTCGCGTCGTTGGCTACATGACCATCTACCCAATCGTCTACATCATCCTATCGCTACCCCTCGCTGCAGGCCGCATGGCTACAGCCCACGGCACGGAGCCCAGCATCATCTTCTTCTGCTGTGCGGGTGCCTTCATTACCAGCTCTGGGCTGGTCGATGTCGTTTTGTACACGCTTACCCGCCGCAACCTCATCATCGACTCAGAACCCAGCGAAGACCGCTCCTACAACAAATTCAATAGTAGCAAGGGCCGGCGAGGCGAGAACAATCTGACGACCATCACTGCTGATCCCAAGCGCAAACATGGCGGCACTTTCACCGATGACCTCGACCGCGACGGATCAATGGATAATATCGTTGTGCCAAGTGCACATGGCCACGGCCATGATCATGAAATGACACCGCTCGGAAAGGTGTATCAAGAAACGACCATAGAGATCACCCACGAGCCTGCTTACCCTGACGAGGTGTCCAGTTCGCACTCTAGCAAGGAGGACTTCTCTAACAGGCCGCCTCATGCCGGATGGCGGAGATGAATTTGCCTCATGAACTTTTGCACTTTTTACTTCTTTGTTCCGAGTCATCTCAATGTTTACCATTTATATTTTCCCGTGGTATGATGCCCTCGATACACCCTTCCTGTCACTCTAATACGTATTTCTTTCCTTCACGATTTTATCCCTACTGTTTCATGTCTTCTTTCCATCCCCTCCGACCCCTTTCTATGTCTCCCTCTCTTTCCTCTCACCCTTAATCTTCTTCTTCTATGACCGACCCTTGGAACCTTATATGTATATATTCCCAAAAAGGACGGGCTCGTCTCATGTGAATTATGTGAATCGTGTGGATTGGCACGTGTGACTTAATGTTCTTGAATGTGAAGACCCATGGCTTGGTTTTGATTGAAAGGATTTACACGTAACTTGCCATACTTTAGGGGTTTCGCTCCTGGGCACTACCGGTAGGATCGATCAATCACTTTAGCGGCGATGACAGCCCCAAACCGAACGGTGGGGCCCAGGACCCGGGGACCAACTCCAAAATCCCCCTGTCAACATGCTCATGAGCCTCACCAGTGGAAGGATATCATCATTCACCAAGCTTTTTACAGAAATATACACGCTCAAAACCATCCTCCACTCTTCGTTCCGTTTCCGTAAATCCCAGTTTTGGATAGTACCCAAGATTCTCGAACATCTTCACATTGGTAAATAATCTCACACTGGACATCCCCTGTTTTTGACCTTCCATTTCTGCATATTGGATCATGTAAGATCCATAGCCCCGAGATTGCACTTTGGGATCAACTACCACATTGTCGATTTTCAGCGAATTTGTCTGCTTGTCCTCACGGAAGGTGATTGAGCCCACGATCCGCTCATTGTCTCTCAGGATGAGAACTTCATGCGTGAGGATGACCTCGTCCCAGTCTTGTGTCATAGGAGCTGGTTGTTTGCCAATGCGCTCAATGTATTTTGAGTAAGCGGAATCGATCATTGCTTTAATGGCGGGTATCTCTTTGGCTGTAGCTTTGTGAAGTGTGCGCTTGCTGTCCGATGGGGACGTTGGGCTGGTAATTTTTGTCATGATAAGGGGCGGATAGAAGACACAATTGATTGAAGTTTTGCAAGCGGGCAAGTGGACAATTGGGTAATGTGATATGTGTATGGGAGTTTTTAAAGGAGAATATTGGCGTTCGCCTTATGAGTCAGAACTACCCCACATCCAAGCGAGAGCTATATACAATATCCCAGTACATTCTTAATATCAATACTCCGCCGCTTATACTACCCCGCCGTCACCGGCAGGGTAGGGAGGATGGAGCGTCAATGAATGGTCTGATTAACGGAGACGCAGCTGTCTGACCCGCGTCTGGAGAAGCAGGGGCTGTTGTCGTTTATGCTACTGAGTATTTTCTTTACGGCGAGGGCTTCGCCGCCTGTTAACCACAGCTTGCAGGCTGTTGTTAGGAAGCTGGAGCAGATGACGGTTTTCCCTGTGGGTTGGCAAAAAGTTGTGGATCTTGTGGTGACGATTCTGGGTGGGATATACCGTGGGGGGGGGGGGGGGGGAATTGGGAATTTTTTCGCCCATGTTTTTGATGATAGCAAGAAAGCCGGAGGCATAGCTAGTGGCCACTGGCTAGAGAGACGTGTCGGCACTAGGATAGCGTTTTATTCTAAAGCTGAGTTGCTGATATGAGATCTCCCGGTGATACATCCCCGTTGGACAATGCAGAAACCTCTAGAGAGATAAAACCACTTCGCGTTTGGTTACCATCCTTCGATCGTCCCCGAGGCCGTCTCATAATGGGAAGATTTGGCTTTGGTAGAGAGGTGAGTTACATCCGTCTTCAGGGATATAGGTAAACAGGAGAGAGCCATACGATGCTGGAGTATATTCCCTGATAAGGGCGGTCAAAATACTGGTCCTTGCTAGGTACACATAGGATAGAGGAGGATTGGTGGAGACGTACTTGAAATAGACTAATGGTTCTTCCAACAGTATCCTTCTCTATATTGGTCATCACATTTCTATCTAGCAATATACGATGCATGGCAATTTGTTGAGTGAAAGAAATCAGCAGGGAAGTGCAACATTCACCGCCTAGAGGCACCTTCTAGATGAATATGGCGGGGGTCAAGGGCTTGCCCGCGAAGCAACATCCATAGCCAAAATCAATGCATGTTCGCAGGGATTGTGGAATTCTTCTGCTTCTTCACAGACAACCACTCAAGAAACACCGCTCCAAAAATAGAAAGGGCGCTCCCGGCGACAGGAAGGTAAAAAGTCTGGGTGATAGCGGCGTTATAAGCCACTTCCAGCGACGATAGCACCGCCGGAGGAAACGAACTAGCCAACTCCGCAGCCCCAGCCTCAATTACGTCCTTGGGTGCCACGGAGGGGGCATAACGGATAACACTGACTATAAGACGATTTTGGAACAGGTTCTGCGCAATAGCAATGAATAACGCGCCGCTTAGATTCTGGGCAAACAGGACGATTGCTGTTGCGGTTGCGATATCGTCATGCGGAAGTGAGGCCTGCACGGCGATGAGGGGGAGGCTAAAACCGAATCCGGCGCCGATGCCGACGAGCGACTGATAGCCGATCCATTTGGGGTGTCCAGATGTATATATTAGGGTGGTGCACATCCCACAGCCGATAGAGAGGATGACAGTGCCAAGGTACAAGAGTGGCATGTAGTGTCCTATGATGTTGACGGCAACGCCACCGATCAAGGTACACAAGGCTATCCCGGCAATCATGGGAATAGTCATAACGCCCGATTCCATGGCTGAAGCCCCTTTCACGGCCTGGAACCAGATTGGGAACTAAGTATTGTATCAGTGGGCAATATTTCCAGGAAGTAGGGTGGATTCGGAGACTTGCGTAGTACGCCATCACATAGTATGAGCCAGAAAAGAAGACGGTGTATAGTGCTGCTGACCACACATTCCTCTTCGCTATTAGCCGAGGGGGCACCGTCGCCTTCTCCTGCTTCCGCCACTGGATCGCAGCCCATAGTGCTATCAACACTCCGAACAGGATAAACAAGACAATAATCCGGGCATTTTTCCAATGATACTTTGAACCGGCCCACTGCAGTGGTAAGAATAGACAGACAATAGCGGGTATAAAGATTAGCAGGCCCAAGAGATCAAGATTGGAAATCTGTTCCCTCCATGGCATCTGTGATCGCACTGACTGTCTCTTGTCATGGTAGGAAAACAGGACTGCTGCCGCTGTGATTGCACCACACGGTAGGTTTATGTAGAAGCACCATCTCCAGGTGAGATGGTTGGTAAATGCCCCTCCAATCCTGAAAAACATTAGAGAACACTACTACTAGGACAAGACAGGAACAAAGCTTACAGCGGGCCCACAACCCCAGCAATGCCAGCCGTCCCCGTTATCAAGGCGTTGTATAATGCGCGTTTCTCAAGCGGCACTGTCTCGCTCATGATCAAGATAGCGCCTGGAAAGATCCCACCACTGCCGAGCCCGGCAACTGCGCGGCCAATAATTAGTGCGCTCGAAGTCGGAGCAATACCACAGATCAAAGACCCCAGCTCGAACAGAAAAAGAGCCGCGAGGAATATCCATTTCAAATGGTATAGCTTGTATAGCTTTCCGAATAGCAGGGTCACGGAGCAGATCGTGAGAAAGTAGACACTGCCGTACCATCCGACATCACTGATGGTTTTGAAATCCCGGGAAATCTTCGGGATAGCTGTTGCAAGGATCGTGTTGTCCTATGGCGAGTTTCAGTTGTGCTTGCAAGCATTTTATAGTCCTTGGGGTCATACTAGAGCGACGCAGAATATACCCATACACAAGCCCGCTGTCAACCAGATAATCTTCCAAATGCTCGGACTAGGGCTCTGGGACGTGTCACCCCTCTCACTAGACTTGGTAGGAGCATTTCGTTGTTCTTCAGACGGTGTCACGGACAGCACAGGTTCAATGGGAACATGTTTACCCGCTCGCACGCCCTTTTCAGAGTCTGTTATGGCGTCCATGAGACACAAGCAACCGCCTAATTCTATAGCAGTACAAGAGGGCGGGGATATTGTGCAATGAAGGACTTTCAACGCAAGGTATGGAGTAGCAATGAGTAATCTAGGAAAGGATATGGATTCTATGAATTCCTATGATGTTCCGTGGTTTTATTTTCCTCTCAAAACACTCAAATAGAGCTAAAACCCTATTGAGATCCTCATTCTCCCTCAACATAAGTGCAATAATCCCCTTGTGTGCGTCGATCAGTTGTCGGAAGTTTCTGCACTTGTCCAGACTCCTGGATATCCCCCGTGCGTGAATAATGCGGCCAAACATTCCTGAGGACTGAGTAACTATTCTAACAATTCTTCGCAGTAGGGTCCTTGCGCCAGTGAGGAGCTAGAAGACAGAAAGATACTAGGTAGCCGGTTTTCATATTGTTCGTGCAATACAAATTGAGAGAGTAATCGAGTGTACGTTTGCCATCAATTTATCGGCCGTGCTTTATCATTTTATAGCATGTATATTGGATGGAACGCTTTCTGCTCGTACTTGACCCGTACCTGTTCATTACCAAGATTATTACTGCTCATAGCTCCAGGTATTGGCTCAAGCGTCTGCTATAGGTTTAGTGGAGTTGTGCTCCACTAGTTGCTGTTTTGTTTTTTTATTATCATTCGCCGCTTGTTGTAGAATTAGATCTACAACTAGCCAGCCTCAAGTATGCCACTGCAAGGAGGAACAGGTCTACTGCATCGGTCAGCGCATTGGTGCTTTTATGGCAATATCTGCGGGAATTCGTTTTTCTTCCAAACAAACAGTACGACAGAGAAGAAGAACAAGAAGAAGAAGAAGAAGAAGAAGGCAGAGTTGCGCTAGTTTTATTGAATTAGACGTCTTACTAAACAAACCGTGGCCGCTCGTTCAGAGGTACCGGTTGTCTAATGTGTTGTCATTTGGAAGTGGGTGGCAACCTCCCCCCCCGTCAAAATCACCAACTGGCCAGTATTGCACGGTACAGTACTCGACAAGCACGGGTCAGCCTTATGGGCGGGTTTTGCTGTAAGGGTTTATATCTAAAATAACTGCTCCAGTCAGAGCCAGGCAGTTTGATCCCCACCACCTAGAAACGTCCCTCGCATGTGTTCCTCTGGCATTGTCTGGTCAATGATGGTGTGTCTTTTTCCTCTAAGCTAGCACTGAGATACCCAATTAAGCGAATTACAGCATGCAGTAGTCCAGTTGCAGTCGCAAGGACACTTCACTTTGGTGGATGCAGAGACTTTCTCCTTTCACATGAGCATTGGACATAGAGTACGTATCACGATCTTTTGTGTGTCTCACCACCCGGTAGCAAGGGGCATGCTGCAGCAGGAACATCCGACCAACAATCTCAGAAAGTACACCGCAAATAGGAGCTGTTGTTTTATTTGTAATGTCTTTTGGGTGGCAAACACAGTTGGAAGCCGTGGTTTATAACGCCGCCACCCTGCTTCAATATACCATGAACAACAGCCCTTCATCTCACACCTGAAGCGACCACTTCCTGCCAACATGATCATCCACACAATATTTGCCACTCTCACCCTAGCCCTCACCATCTCACGGACGTCCGCCCGTGAGTTCCAAGAGGCACCCCAGGAGGTAATATTCAGGGGCTCCCCGCGGTAATAAATGAATTCTAACACGGTTTAACACGTGTAATAGACAGCCGTCTATTCTGATATAGAGTACCAGGGTACAAGTATCCGAGTTCCAGTCGTGGATAGCTGTGTCGATTTGACAATCGTCAACAATGGCATGTAGGTTATCATGATAGCTCTGGAGTTCGCTCAGATGTGTTACCAGTCCGGTCTAACGAGGGTGCTTTTTCCAGGAATGAAACTGCCGGCATTGGGTCTATAGTAATTCCAGGCCCATACATCATCTCCTGCAGCCTTTACGAGTCTGTCTACCTTTGACCCGAGGAGCAATATGTGGACTAACGCGGCTACAGGACATGCGATTGCTCCGGCGGTACCTATGGAAAGGAATTCCAGTTCACACAATCATCCGCCGATGTCAGAGAACAGTACAGGGATCTTGCTCAGCTATCCATTGATAGTATCAAGTGCAAACAAGAGAAGAACCATACCTAGGCTTCGTGTATATAGAGTATATCGAAGGAGGCTCAGGGAGGAAAATGCAGATCTCGGACGAATGTTAGGACAGTATGGCAGGAACGCATGGATTTTTAATTTTAACGCACCTTCTACACACTGCGTAGAGAAAATAACACGAAGTCCCGACCCCTACACCATCTACGAAGTAAATACAAAACATAGCTTAAGATAAGTCCAAGTGTAGACTCCGATTGTCTTGACCTGTTTGTTTCTGTTGGATGTAACGCTCGTATCTCTAATTATATGATCTTGCTCCGCATTATTAGTACAATTTAGATCTAGTTCTTTCTATCTTTATATCTATATATGTTCCTCTCTTCTCTTATCTAGCAAGTTCAGCATGGGAACCAAAGTAAATTGGCTATTCTCTAGATCAAGGTTGTCCAAATCAAGATCATGACAAAAAGCTCAACCTTAGTTTGCCAGAAAGTCAGAATTGCGAAATAAACCCAGCATATCGACCAGTCTATATCATAGGATTTGTTGAGCCTATATATTCCTAGCTCCATCTGACCTTCTTCTTCATTACCGGTATCTTCATAGTGGGATCTCTTCCACCCGCCTTTTCACCATAATTTGAGCCATCGGATTCGCAATACACGAGATCCCGGACGTCAAAGACCTCGGTATCTCACTATCATCAGCCTTCAAATCATATCTCAAAAGGATATGGCATAATACAACCTTCACAGTCGCAATGGCAAAGAATCGCCCCGGACATGCAGCATTGCCGTGCCCAAAGCCCATGTGCTCCGTGCTCGTGGCAACTGCATGAGCCATGTGTTCCTGTCCTGGGGTGTCTCTCATTCTGAGGAACCGATATGGGTCATACTTTTCGGGGTTGGGGTATAGCTCGGGGTCCCACATATGGTGGATTGTGACGCCGACGATGTTACCCTTCCGGATGACGGTGCCGTCTTTTAGTTTGATGTGTTCAGTGGCGAGGCGACGCATCAGTACTAAGCATATAAGATGTTAGATCGACTTCACAGGTATGAAAAGGGGTGTGTGTGGCAACCTACTTCGACTCACGGGCTGCAGCCTCTGCGTTTCCTTGATGGCGCTATCCATAATCTTGAGATTATGGATAGTATTCCTTGACCAGCCGTGGCTCTTGACCTGTGTGATGATTTCTTGTCTTAGGTCTGCAATCAAATCGGGTTGATCGACAATATCAAAAAGAACCTTGGTCATAAGGTCTGACGCCGTCGGTATCGTCGCGAAGAAGAAGGCGATCACCGAAATTACAGTGTCATAGGCTTCACCCAGGTGAGCCGATTCTTCTATGAAATCCAAGATGTCAAGTTGGATTTTCTTGGTGTCAATGCCTTTTCCTGCTCGCTGTTCCCGTTTTTTGGCAATGAAGGGGAGGAGGATTTCCCTGCACTCCTGCTGGCGTCTGCGCAGGTTTCGACATGACGGCAAGAACCAATGCACAAATCGGGCTACAAAGTCGGGCCATCTCTTTAAGATATAGACGGCTGCCACGTCTTTGCCCGTGTAGCTTAGTATCGAGTTCAGCCAAGTTGGATCCCGGCTCAGTTCTTCGCCAACGAAAATACGCCCTGCTACTTTCGCAACAATCTTTGCGAGAGATGGCTGGAGCTCGAGAGTATGCCATTCTGTTTTTTATTATTAGCATCAGTTGAAGACGCTAGAGCCTTGTGAAGGTATCTAACCTTTCTCATCCGTCCATACTTCACGGATGCTCAGTGAAGCTTCCTCTGCCATCGGCTCAACCACGGCAGCTGTCATCCAGTGAGAAATTAATGTAGAAGAGCGGCCTGTTCTGCGAGTATTCACATACGTATTGTCCTCGTCAGCCTCCTCACAATATCGTGGGTGATACGTCCATGTCTCCGCCCGTTCGAGAACGGTTCAAATCCTGGTAGGTTTGTATACAAGTCCTATCAAGAGAGGGCTATCAGCCTTCTCCTCAATGTAAGATAGTGACGGAGTCTATGAGTACCTTCTCCAAGAATAACCCAGAGTCCAGGCGTGTCTCATTACGGAGTTCGTGCGCGTATCGCTGGCCTGACAGGATTAACCTCTCACCCAGGTCAGTCATTATATAAAATGCTTTGAACTACCCGCCATAGGGTCAGTACTGCCTAGGTAAATCATGACAACAAGAAGTAATGCTGCGTTCCGGTACATACCTTAGCCTCAGCCAATCGAATGAGATCTCCGCCCACCGAGGTGAAGCGCTGCTTAGCCTTGGTATATGAGACTTCCCATCCTTTCCGCGTCTCGATGGATGGGATATCTGTTGAAAGCGACAGGTACTTCCAGAGTATCAAAAATACGACAAGTATTATCCAAGAGGCATTCGAGGGGAAGTGATCCCGCAGTTGAAGTATAGCCATTGCTAGCCGTTTGAGTAACAGTTGTTGCAATGGGTCCAACAGTTGAGTAAAGAGAAAAGTAACCTAGCTCTTTGGCTTATAGATATTATACGTGCAAACACTACTCCCGGACCATTGTATTGTACTGAAGAATGACGGTGCTCGATTCCTCCCACAGTCTACAGTGTCGATATGATGTAACACAACGTTGAAGTACGGTGAGGAGGACTGGAATAAGTTATTCGATCCTCACAACAGATCAGCCGCACCAACGTATGGTGCCCTTGCTGTAAGTAGATCATCTGCTTGCACTGTCGTACAATTCACATTTGTCCTACCTGATTTTTGTGTTAGATGAGCTCATTTGAATAGCTGCACCAGCACAATTGCTACTTGATCGCAGATCCATTCCATTCTGCACAGGCGTCGGAAGAAGGAGTACTCTTTTCCAGGGATGTGTCTATTCACCGTCTGTGGGTCAGAGACTTGACAATCATTAGTATTGTAGGATCATCTTATACTTTCTGTTATAGCGATTTTTCCATTTCTTCTTCTAACACATGTCAACATTGATGAGAGATCATCGGCTTATTAATTGAGCTGCTCCCACCAGGCCGGTGTGCTCCAGACCCCCTTGGGATGTCAAACGAGTTTTCAGATGCGGACCCGGATTGGTAATGACTCTGTCAGGTCGGAAGGACCTTTACCGCTAATTTCGACATTAAGCATGAGTCTACGTAGCGAAAGGAACACGGGAATGTACGGGAAACATCACCTTCACATTAAGCCACTTAGTTTAATGCATTTCCAGACGAAGCTTACATTCCTCTAATGCAAGGAACCGGCTGGGGAGTTGCTTGGTAATGTAACTAGTCACGAGATCAAATGTGCATTGTCTTTTTCTAGAGCAGACTACTTTGATTGCCATTTAGTGGCTTCATAAGGGGTACTGGGTACAATTCTAACAGAATAAAGCTTTAAATAAGTACACGATACAATGATTGGCCCTTGCAGGATCCTCGTTGGGAGTCTAAACCACTTCCAACCCTTGCGAGATCACCAATGAGGACTCATCGTCACCGACTTGTTGATTTAGATTAATATTATTTAAATAAAAATCCTTGAAGAATAGGGCGATGGATATATATATATGGACTTGAGACGTAGCTTTTCGCAGGCTCGATCATTTACGTTTGCCCTTATTCACTCCTCCATAAAAGCACAGGGCTAGCAAACACCGTCTCTAGTGCTTTACTCGCCATCATGAAGGTCCCCTCAACAATTGCTATCTCGGTCATTGCCTTTCCATTCCTCGCTTTGGCAGCGTCAGTCAAATCCGGAGTCAACGCCCCGGTCATCACGGACAACCAGGACATTACCTATGTCGCGCACATAGCCCGGGATCCGCACTCCGGTATTGAAGGAGTCGTCACCGTGTCGCCAGGGATACACAACACGGGAGTCGAGATCAGACTACACTTTTCTGGGCTGAGAGAAACCAGCAAATACCGTACGCCTCTTTCCACTTTACTCGACTCTCGCACTTGAAAATGACTCTGCGCTAATATTGAAATCTCAGTATACCACATTCACTTCCAACCAGTCCCCGAATCGGGAGATTGTAAAGGAACAGCGGGTCTTTTGAATCCTTATAATGCCCAGGAGGACCCATGTAATGCCTCGGAGCCCCAGACCTGTGGAGTTGGAGACCTGACCGGGAAACACGGATTTATCGTTGCTGATAGATATGGGACTTACTCGACAGTTTATGAGGATAAGTACCTATCCAATCAACCAGGCTCCGTGGCTTTCTTTGGCAATCGCTCGGTTACTATTCATGCAGATGATGGGGGTCGGTATAATTGTGGAAACTTTGAGTTGCAATGAGGTTCGAGGCAATTCTGTTATTAAAAGCCCCTACTATAATGTGTTTGTGCCTAGTAGGCTCGGCACAGTATTGTTCTGGGGTGATGGGATTGAGTCTTTGGTTTCGCTGTGATGCTGTAACTCTGCCAATTCCAATAGAATGACGCCTCTCAAAGGGTACAACTTTCCCCACAGCATGATAAGCGCAGAGCACTTATGAATTCTAGTAATTATAAATGTACATATCCCGATGGACCTTACCAGCAAGCAACATATGGTTTGGTTCATGCGGTGTACATCAAGTGTCGATTTCTTATTCGAGCTCCAACTTAGATGGCTCTAACGACTTTCAAGAGATGGATATCTTATATCTCTACTAGGACTAAATGAGATTGGGAACCAGGTCTCTGAGAGGTATTAGGAACATATTGGCGGACTAGAAGAGGCGGTGGGGGAACCATATTACGCAGGGTTTGGATGTTTCAACGTAGGACGAATCATGCAACACTCGATAACTAGAATACTGAAGTCAGGGGTAGGGCTTGGTCAGTAGTGTCTGCCGTAAGGAGACTGCATACAGCAAGAACACAGCAGAGGGCCTCATGTAAACGACGTTGGGCCTGTTTTGTCCACACCGAGCTGATCGAGAGGTCCCTTCCGTAACTACTATTGACATCTGTTCCTTCTAGTAAAGTTGGAGTAAGGAGGTATATCACAGTAATATCACATACCGTTGGATCTTCATCCGGTAGGGGGCTGGGTCACCGGCTCTGATTATACCAAAGTCGATCAATCACCGAACCAGATTCCAGGCGGGCCAGCTTGAATGGTCCCAAGTATAAGTAGACACCGGACGCAACCAAGGTTGCTAGCAGTGGAACATAAATCGAGAAATGCTGACCTTCACCTCCCCAGCGATCGCGTTGGCCGCGATATTCCTCAACTCAGGAAGCACAGTAGGTCCTTCAGAAGCCCATCCCGTGCCCACCTGGGGAGCTCTCACCCCCTACCACGAAGCATCTTCCTTTGGCGCTTCTCGCGGGGTACCACAAGGGTGCAGATTATCTCAAGCCCATGTCCTCCATCGACACACTGAGCGGTATCCCACTTCTTATTTTCTCGAGGGTGGCCAAGTTGAGGTTCTGGCGAGCAAAGTCGCGAGTTACAAGAGCGAACATCCAAACACGGGTTTCGCAACAGGTCCACTGTCCTTTCTAAATGACTGGGATTATGTCTTTGTTGGTGGTGGAACAAACACGCTCCTTTCCTCCGGCACTGCAACGGCTCAGGCTGCGGGTGCCGAGTTTTGGAGCCGGTATGGACGGCTGCTTTACAATGCGGGCTCGGACAATCTGTTTTGGCAGGAGTCGTTGAATGTCTTTCCCAATGGTACTGCGCGGCCAAAGCCTGTTTTTCGGACTACTTCTGAGAAGAGAATTCTTGAGAGCGCGAGATGGTGGCTGAGTATGGCCCAGTTTCCTTTAACGCGTGTTCTCCGCCTGAGCTCGCCTTGCTAATGCTGGAGTCATAGACGGATTCTTCGCCGATGGTGATGCTACTAGCGCCCATGATCACTACAACCTGTTAGTTATTCCAGAAGGTCCGGGCCTGAACAATACTCTTGCGCCATACGATGTATGCTCGGGTGACATGACAGAAGGGTACTTGGCCCTCTCCTTTTCTTGTCCCTTCGATTTTAGCTGATAGACGCACAGCGAGAAAGCTCTGACCGAGGATTTCATCCCTCTGTTCACAGCCAGCGCTCTTACTCGCCTCTCCAGCCTCCTGCCTTCGGAATTCAACCTCACAGCCCTAGACATATACGCTATGATGAACCTCTGCCCTTTTGAAACCACAGCCCTGGGCGCCTCATCTTTCTGCGCCCTCTTCACCGAGCAAGAGTGGAAAGACTACGACTACGCATCCGATCTCCACTTCTACGGCGATTACAGCTTTGGATCACCTTCCGGACGCGCCCAGGGCATTGGATACGTCGTGGAGCTCTCTGCCCGCATTTCCGGTGAACTGCTTCACCGCGGCGATGTGGGGATTAACTACACCTACGACAATAATGAGGCGACATTCCCGATCCACCAGCCGGTGTACATGGACATGGCGCATGATGATACGATTATCTCGGTTCTGACAGCGCTCGGATTAGAGCAGTTCAAAGAGGGTCCGGATGGTCTTTTCGGCGCAGTTGAACATGCGCCAGAACATACCTTCCGGGTGCGAGATGTGACTCCCTTCGGTGCTCGGTTAATCGCAGAGATTTGGAGCTGTGGCAATGCGACTGACTTTACAAATCTCGAGCCTGTTCTTTACCATAACCTGCCAGATGAGGATGATGGTGCAAAGGACCACATCCGGTTCGTATTAAACGGGGGGCCGATAGCGCTTGACGGGCTGAGTGGCTGCGAAGAAGCTGTCAATGGGTTCTGTGAGCTTAAGGGCTTCCTAGGGGGTATTGCGGAGTTGAAAAAGCAAGCTCAGTACGACTATGCGTGCAGTGGAGACTATAAAGTGGAGGGGCAAGTTGAAAATGGTGTTCCGTCTTAAGCGGAATCAAATTTGGATATGACAATACCAGGTCCATTAGTTTTGATGAAGATCACCAAGGCAAAAAATAGCTACATTAAGTTGGATAAAGCTAGGAGGTCACAATTTGTCCAGCTGGTATAATTATTCCTCTCACACAAACAAATAGTGATGACTAGACCTCTCAGTAGCCCGCAAATGGGCCCAATCCCCGGCCCGCAGCCCAACCCGCAGTGGGCTATGGGCTCAGTCTTCAAAGCTCAGCCCAACCCACAGCCCATTAAAAGCCCATTTCTGTGCATAAATGCAGTCTTGGCACGTATAAAGTAGCTGATTAATGGCTGTATTTTACGCATGTACCAACCTGTATATTCAATTTCATCATATTATTATAGTAAGAAATAGGAATCCAGTAGGTATTATACTGATTTAAACATTATCATACTGGATTTCATGTAAGATTTGATACAAAACCACCCTAAAAAGATGTAACTTGACCACAAATTCGCACTTAGGAGGATTACTGAGTATTAGTGTGAAGAGATATATATATATTAGGTCTATAACCAGGTGTCAATTATAGTTAGTAGCACTAATGGTAACTACCTCTACTTACTATGTAATTCCCTAATGAAAACAAGTACCCCTTATAAAAAATAAAGCTTTATAAAATCAACTTTGCATCTCATGAGTTAATTTAGAAGCTTATAAGATGAATATTTCTGCATAGCTTCATGTATCGATTAGATGGTAGTTTAAATACCCCAAAAAAACCAGAGAAAAATGCATTACTTATATAGCTACGATAAATTGGTATGTTTGTATTATTTGGGACCCATTATGGGCCCAAATGGGCTTTGCGGGCTTCATTCCAGGCCCACGACCCTCCATTTATTTTTGCAGCAAATCAATTTGGTATAGTCCTCCTACAGAATCATAGCTATATCTGGTATTCCGGCGGTACCTCGGGCCAAGCATCACCCCCATCTAACAATGCCAACGCCATGCCACCAGACTGATGTTCCTGCGCGTGACAATGAAGCAAAAACGGTCCTGGATTAATAACCTGATACCGGATCACCAACCAGCTACCCCCGATCGATGATGCTGGCGTCCCAAAGGTATCCCGGATCTGCGGAGTTTCGAAATTAAAGTTTTCTGGAATGTGCTCCATGGCCTCCGCAACTGTCGAGTAGTTAAACTCCCCATAGCCCTGACCAACTACGTAGAATTTGGTTGAATGTTTGTGAATGGGGTGCGATGGTTGCGCGATATCTAGGACGGAGATAATAATGTCGACCCAGGAGCCGTTCTTTGAGCTTATTGAGGCGTTGGGAGGGAGGGCGGTAGGGTCGAATAGTAAAGGAACGGAGTCCTCATACATCTGGAGGAAGCTTCCGTTGCCCATGAACCAGCGGTATGCGGAGTCAAAATGGCCAATCTTGAGATGGTATGTCTCATCGACTTGTGTAGATGGCCTTTGCGCAGGGTATGGGATTACCACGTCCTCGTTGAAGTATCTCGTTGTGACAGAGGTGTTTTGGCCGGCTAGGTCGATTGATGGTTCTGACTGGGTTGAAGTGATATCTGGTGGTGATGAGTTGTTGTACCTCAATATAGCCGTCCCGTTGATGATCTGGTTGACACCGTTATTCACTATCCGAACGGTATAATCCCCCGCTGGTTTATCCAGGGCGATCAAGACTGAATAACGAGACCCTATGGGGATAGATATAGCATCTACGATCTGCGGTTCGATATATCGTCCATCGACTGCATATACACACAGCGGATGCTCGTCCGCTGAGAAAATGACGGTTGTCACGCTTGCCATGTTAATGAGATCATAGCTGACATAGGATCTACTGCCCTCAACTTTGAGGATCTCGGTTTGTCCTTGGGTAGGGAGGCAGCCGCTGTTGAAACCACTCGGCACGGCCGTCTTGTTGAAAGGGTACACGCCCTCCATATTGTCAATTGGGGGCATGCAGCTGAATGATGGGGTAAGATAAATTAGCCCTCATGTACTCACACAGATCATCGGAGCCACTCACTCACCCCATATCAGTCAACCTATATTTTCCCTGTACCGCACCCTTCTGCTGAGGCGTCATATTTTCATGTATTGTTGCTTCAGAAAGACACGTCACGGATCCTTTGCCATTGACTAAAAGCGCATTGGCGCAAAAAGCTTCTATGCCAGAGGCTGTTTCGGTGTCCCATATCTCTACAGAGCTGAGACGGCGCCAGTCCGAGAGGATGAGTGGCTTGGTTTCTTCTTCGGCCTCAATAATTCGCTGCAGGGCAACACGATCTCTTGTGATCATATCAAATGGTTTGCGGACAGACTCCCCGGGCTCAATATAAATCGCCCCATAGAGACCGTCTTCAACTTGGCCCCTAGTATGAGCGTGATATGCGTAGCTGCCATATTGGGTGGCCTTCCAATTATATAGAAACTGATCGCCAGGGCGAATGACTCTTTGTGAGATACCAGGAACGCCGTCTGACCAGGGTGTACCCAGTTGTTCGATTCCTATATAGGTTGGTATTTAGTGACGCCGGTGCAGAGAAGGGTTTAAAGCAAAGTCTCACCATGAAAGTGGATTGTTGTGTTAAATGGCAGCAAGTTATTCACTAGAAATTTCACATGATCACCTTGTTTGAGGTGTAATGTTGGCGCTGGGAATTGACCGTTTGTAAGAACCAACTTTCGCCTGATGCCAGCCACTACCCTTTCTTCCCATGTTAATGACACATTAAATAACACGGTCTCTGGTATTGTATCCGGCGGGTGCGCGAAGCAATATGCTATGCAAGTAAACGATAGGAGGAATAGTGCTTGCCAGGTATGGACAAATAAATGCATGGTGGTTCTGGGTGGCTATATTCAAGAGAAGCCGCAATGGTTATGATCAGACAGACGCACTGTTAGACATATTTATACCAGCTGAGACACGATCCTACACATATAGGCCCTTGCTCATAATACTCCTGCAGCAACTGGTAAGATACCGTTGCAAGTGAACCGAGTCTATCGAGCCAGATAAAATAAGACAAACCAAATTATTTTATCGTGAGCTAACATTTCCCTTACCTATCAACTACCTTAAAATGAGATCCACACCTATACCTGCGTCCACGGCAAAGAATGTAGGATAGGAACGGTCTTCGGCTATTGAAAGTCGTTACGTGCAGTTCCAGAGCTGGACTGTGTCAAAGTCGATACAGTTCTCTTCCGAAGGAGCAAGAATGAAAGAGATAGGTATTATAGAATGACCCCTGGACAGTAATTTACAGGGTATAAGTACCCTGCATCACTCACTATGATTTGGCTTGGCTGCTAGAAAACAATGAATATCATAGCGCAGATACCCCCCAGACTGGATATCCTTCTTGACCCACTCCTCCAACCGATCCAGCTGCTCATCGCTTAACCCATGACCCCCTTTCCCCCACGCGCAGTTAAAAACGAAAAGATCATACTATTGGCTGTCAACTTTGGCCTCGTCTCCGGAACTCTATCAGTGCCAACAACATGATGCTCAATATCAACCAAGTTCAATTTGTCCATAATACCCGGCAAGGAGGTCCAACCACCTTCAAATCGCGGCTGTACCAGTGCACGGTTCATGTCGTATATGATCTCTAGTGTGCCTGTGGTAGAATCGGCGTCTGTGCCTAGATGCTGAACGTGCAGAGCGTCGCATTCCACCCACTGCAGCACACCGCCAGGTTTGAGGAGGGTTACCAAGTTAGTAACTAGGGCTGGCCACTCGTCGGGCATGAGGCCCATTGAGATATTGCGGACGTGAACTACATCGTAATATCCGATCAGTTCGCTCGGAATTGGATGTTTTGCATCCAGAACGCGGAGATCGATGTTTGCCTCGAGGGTGGAATTGGGTGGGAACAAAGCGGGAGAGATGTCATAGCCATGAAGGGCTGCTTTAGGAAAGATTGGTGCGATTTGGCGTAAGAATATCCCAGTTCCTGTCGCTATATCGGCAATCCGCGCGCCAGGAGGGAGCCGTTTGACAATGGTGGGATGCAGGTCGTAGCCAAGGTTCCTAGCGGACGATCAGTCAAGTCAGACCTTAGAGATGTCGAGGTTTTGGACTTGATTAGATAGACTACTCACAACCCATGCAGGGAATATTGCTCATCCAACCTAAGTGAGAATTAGCTTCGTTTTCATTGAAACAATGGGTGTGTTACCAACCTCTCAGCCTCAGTCTCGCACCGCGGCATACGCTGTTCGTACAGGTCTGAGGTTATTGTTCCCATGACTTACTAGGCGTGCTGATTTACAACCAGTACTGATGTCTTCGGGTAAGTCTTGCATCGATTTATGTATCATTTCAACATTATACTTCCTTACTTACAGGCAGGGGGCTTCTTTGTAGCCTGCCTTGTGTCACTTAAGATAGCGCATAGAGCTCCCAAATAGTAAAGCAAGGGACGGAAGACCACATTCCTCAAAGGCCCTTGAATTGGAATACAACACGGTGTTGGGATTCCAGAACTAGGGTGCTACTGTTCGTCACCGTGGCGGATCAGAGGGCGCGATGCGGCGGTCAGATGCTTCACCCGAAGTCGATAAGAACACCGACCGCATTAACGCAGAGTTTCGATCCAGCCTATAGTTCACGGGTAGAAAATGTTAGTCAATGGGCCACAATTTCTGTCTCTGGATATGGAATGTGGGCATTGAGAAAACGCAGTTCACTACAATAGGGTTCCTGTCCAATAAACTGCCATGCATGTCAACAAAAACAACCCTTACGCGATTGCTGCAGCTCAATAGCATGATATCCTTCGTCACTTCCGTGAAATGCCGACTATTGAGGGTGAGCTGACGAAGCTTTATCAGCATTAACGGTTCACATGGTCTGGTGCATTGTAGTTTTCCCGCGTCTTTATCCATGACGCGGGACAATACCTTGGTAAGCAAGGCGCATCGCCGGTTGAGGAGTCTAACTCATCTGGTTCGATGAGTATCTAGCAAACCTGTTATCATGCCGGCTAAGTTGCTTGTTTTGTGCAGTACATCAGGTATATATATCAACTCAGGATTCCGGGTTCGCGTTACGGAATCGCCAATTGCCACCTCATTGTTTCTCTCTGTAATGAATCATGAAGTCTATCAAGTCATTTCGAATCTTATGCCTTATTGCCTTTCTATGGCTACCCAGCTCCTGGAGCCGACCCTTATCAAACTGGTCATCCAATGCGTATCCCAATACCAGCCACCGCGGTGTATCCAGTGTGCCGTCGCAACTCATATGTCCATCAGTCGGGACAGGGAACCTCTCATTTCCAGGTGCGTATCGCTATTTGGAAACATAGTGCATCCCTTCACTAACGCTACCCCTCTTCATCTATCATTTAGCCCACATCTATAATCAAACAGCCATCCAGATTGTACTACGAGAAGCTATCAAACATACTGGAGTCCACCAAATCCCTCAATCTGGTCCACCGTCTGGTTAGTTGTTGTCTTGACCCCATTATAAACCCATCAATATATAAGTTATTGACTTTCTAAATAAAAGAGAGATACGCCCACCACTTTGGCAAGGGGTTGTCCAAGACCAATATCACCTTCCACGGGTATTGTGCCAGCAAGTCCAATAACTTCGAGTTTCCCATTCTTCCTGACGGTATTATCTTCAATGGTACCGGGGACCAGGGGATAGATCGGGTCATATACTCGCGTCTTCCTAGTCTAGATGACCCTACGTATGTACCCATGATGAATCCTCCTCTTTGATTTTTCGAATAGCGATGAGGACTAAGATGTTTGTCGCAGATTCTGTGCACTGCTTAGGCATAACATGAGCATCCCCAAAGCCCCTCCCTTTCTTCGCTGCAAATATGGAATTGGTCATCACTAGACCTCTCAATAGCCCACAAAGCCCATAGCCCAGACCAACCTAACCCACCAAATGGGCTGGGTTTTGGGCCCTACCTTCGGGCCCATTGGTGGACCAATTCTGAAGGCCGCTGTGCTGTACCGAGTTAGGTATTAATGAATGCACTATAACAGCATTCCCAGGCCTCCATTCAAGCCTCATATTCTGATCTTCTGGCCTCGTCGAGATAGAAACTAACATGATCTAGATGGATTGTCAGATCAACTGTAGAGAAGGTAGGGATTCTACCATGGTTGGATACAAAATAGTGAGCCAAAGTTCTACGCTAAACGCTTTCAACGCCGACGATATTTATTCTATATTTACTTTCAACGTGATTCTTACAATACCATAGAAGACTCAATAAAATTTGTTGTTCCCTGGTCGCTCTATGCTATGAGGGTCACAACAAACCCGTGTAACCTGAGCTATAAAAAATGTTGCGAAGGCCTGCTGAGTATTACTGTGTTACATTTCTCACAATACCGTGATCAAGGGCTAAGGGATTTCCCTACTCCTTGCACATACTCGACAGGTAGTATAACAATGTACCATCGACAAAAAAAACGCGATTCTCAGTCATCATAGAAGTTGAGGCTAACTGAGGTCGGTGTAAGTGTATCAATCCATATTCGCGCAATAGTTGAGGCAAGGACAACTGAGAGCCAACTCTCCATGGAGAAATCCGGAGCCTGTGATACTATTCTGCGCTGCAAAGCAAGGGAAAGCTAGTATGTAGGCTGCTCAGCCTCACCAACATCAAACATACCACTCTCTGTCTAAAGCCCTGGGTCTGCGTTAAGCCTCCCAGTATCCACGTTTATAGGGCAGGAGGACATTGTCTCGTAAGATAGACCTTGGCGACCTGCATCCTAGCCATTGATTCATCACCTCTGCGAGCGATGGACCGCCACCAGATGGGCTGGATACAGTTCGTGGGCAACCCGACCAGTCCAATTACGGTACTAGGATCATTGCTTCTAGCAGTTAGCTTTTATGCGTTCTCCATCCCCGTCAACAAATTATTCTTCCAGCCTCTCTGCAAAGTGCCGGGGCCGAAACTAGCTGCATTAACACGGCTTCTACTATAATGTCATTCGTGATGGCCAATACAGTCTATCTTTTCCTTCACTTCATAAAAGTACGGTACTTTAAACATTGATCTCGTCGGTATCGGTTAAGCCTAAACGAGCGTTCGTTTGATACACTCCCCGGTCATCCGAATCGGTCCTAACTCTATCCATGTCGATGACCCGAGTTTCTATTAGGAGTGAGCCTTAAATGCATTAAACAGATATAAGCACGCAGCTAACGCGCTCACAGGATGTTCTCTATGATAGCAAAGTACTACAAAGAGCCTGAGTTCTACAAAGCCCTCGGAGAAGAAGGGGCAATGGCGTTAATCCTAGACCAGGAGCACCACCGCATTTACCGGAACCACCTAAGACCACTCTTCGCCAGCCATGCTATGGATAGAGTGGTCCCTCGTTTACATCTTAAGCTGGAGAAGGTAACACGCGCACCGGAAGGATAATCGTCCGCTGAATATATAATCACTGTATCGCTCCTTCACGGTATCCCTTCCGTTATAACGACTGTGTGTTCCTATAAGTGGTAGTACTAATAATGTACTTAATGAGCTTAGTCGGATATGGTATGCGAGCTGCTTTTTAGCGAAACTCCGGACTTCATTGGCTACGGCAGTGGATATCATCCATTTATCGCCGCACTAGATCGGTTTACTGCGTTTTTGTCAGCGGAAGAGAAAGCTACTGCAGGAAGGAAAAGGGAAGCGAATACGATTGTATTCACTATCGACTCTGGGAGGAGGGAAAGAGAAGAGAGAACCTATGGAAACTATCTGTCAAATACCGGAGCCATATACCCCGGTCGGTTACAGTACTAAAACCCCGGATCGGATACAAGGTAAATTTACCTTAGATCTCCATAAACGTCAGTTCCATACAACCGAACAAAGTGCAAGTGATTTTGTCTATTTATACTCGCGCGTTCATCATGTTTTATTGCTAGTCAGAGAGTTCCAATATACTCAGTTCATACCATACATTTCCATACAGACCGATTTCTGTCACTATCTACTGGAAGTCCTGGGCTCGGAGGCGCTGCCTGAGGCATAAATCACGTAAGCCCTGCAAGCCGCAGGGGATCACACACATATGCTGAAGAGACTACCTGGATAGGCAGCTATATCTGCTATTCCTCCCTTCATTCTGCGGTATAGGAGTCGTTTATATATCACATGCGCTGTCCGAATATAAAGCGGGGACGGCCGGAAATTTTCTGGGTGGAAAGAATGTTGATCCCTTGCTTGTAAGCCCCGTGGGATTAAAAATATAAGCTAGCCAATATGACTCGGTGGGGATATTTGCGTCAATACTATTTCGTCTCATTTGAGATCAAGTCCATGCCACAGAACGAAACATGGCGAGAAAGCCAGAGTCGGAGATGGGGCCTTCTGACCCATCGGGAGACCTCGAGACCTTGCCGAACAACACGAATCGAAATTGGATCAAGGACAAGGGACTCCGGAAACTGAACCTAGGCATTTTCTTCATGTATTTCACTTGTTCTTCGGCTGGGTATATTGGAACCTTGGTTAATAGCCTACTCATGCTGCCGGAGTGTAAGCATACTCCCCCCCGGCACCGTATTTCCACTGATCAAAATTTAGTTGGTGTCATTGTCGGAAGCCTCAATGCCAATATAGTTGGCTTAATCATAGCCGCAACTTCTCTGGGGGCATTTATATCCTTCGCGCCGGCATCTTATATCGCCGACAATTTCGGACGTAAGGTCTGTGTAGGGATTGGATCCGGCCTCGCTATCGTGGGTGCTATCATTGGAGCAGTTATTCAGAACCACTGGGCTTTTTTTGGCGCAAGGATTCTGTCCGGTATTGGAATGGGATTTGCGCAGACTGCGGCTCCTCTTTTGGTAACTGAGATCGCGCATCCACGGCAGCGACAGACCGCTACGGCGCTCTATAGTGCATCTTGGTCCTTAGGGGCGATTGGCTCGGCGGCAGCTACCTATGCGACGATAGGTATAGTAAACAGCTGGTCGTGGAGGGTACCATGTCTGCTTCAGGTATTGTGTCCGTTGTTCCAAATCTTAGGATTGATCATGTTTGTACCTGAGAGCCCGAGATGGCTTGTGTCAAAGGGTCGCAAAGATGAAGCATTGGCTATACTGGAAAAGTATCACGCTAATGGAAGTACGGATGACGAGTTAGTTGTGCATGAATTCGATCTAATATGCACGACGATCACGGCCGAAATCATAAATTCTAGGACTTGGGGCTCGTTTTTCTCTTCAAGGGAAGATATTCACCGCTTGGCTATCTGTGTATTGCTTGGATTGATGGAGGAATGGGCTGGAAATGGTACGGCATACCCCCTAGTAATAAGTCCTCTCTAACAATGTCGCAGGTATCCTGTCTTACTACCTCGCTCCGATCCTTAGTTCAGTGGGAATCACCAAAGCAGCAGACAAGGAAGCTGTGAACGTTAGTCTGCAAGCTTGGAACTTCCTCCTTTCATCAGCTGGTGCAGTTATATCAGAGAAATACGGCCGTCGCATTCTCTGGCTCCTTTCCACGGTGATCATGCTCGTCTTCCTGTCAATGTCCACATTGGCAGCAGGTCTATATGCCGAAAAGCATGTCACTTCGGCTGGACTAGCTGCGGTTCCACTGCTATTTATATTTTTCGGCGCATTCGACATTGCTTACTCGCCTCTGTTCATTTCATATCCAGCTGAGATCCTACCCTTTGAAATGCGCGCCAAGGGAATTGCTGTAACCCTCTCTGTGGATTCCTTGGCATGTTTTTTCAACCAATATGTGAATCCGGTGGCATTCACTGCCATCAAGTGGAGGTATTATTGCGTCTTTATTGGGTGCTTGGTTATCTTCTTGGCTTTGATATATTTCTTGTTCCCTGAGACGAAGGGGCGGTCTTTGGAAGAGGTGGCGACGATTTTCGACCAAAAGAATAAATCGGAGAGCACTGTGTTACGCACGACTATTGGGTCGTCGCTAGGTTAGCTAGAACCAGGAGATACTTCTCTGATGTCCTGCAGACTGGCAACTGCCAGGGTGGAGCACTCGAACTCGACTTATGACAACCACGGCCATATAGATCCAAAATTTGTACTGTACCCATGCTTTGATACCATGACATTCAGAAACTTTAATCCTTATTTTCTTAGATGGAATATCTATGGAGTTGTGGTCGGTTGCATCCGATCATTTTCCATGCTGAAGCGCTTATCCAAGTATGCACTAAACCCTTCTGAATTTCGTGGTCAAAACGAACCCTATCCCACGGGGGTTGGCCGACTGAGGGCTGGGTCGGAGTAGAATTTTGCATTTTTGTATGGGAGAAAATAAGTGGGTTCACCTTGAGTCGTTTTTGTAGTTGGGGTCGGATTTTAGTGAGATTTTTTAGCAGTTGTATTCCTAATAGTGAAATTTGAGTTAATTGAACTAGTATTGGTGGAGCTTTGTGCGATTGAAAATAGGGAGATGTTTTGGTGAGGAGCTCGAAGTGGAGGTGCGACCGTAGTTAACCACCCATAATTTCAAAGACTGGCCCATTGATGGGCATTCAATTCTTTGGCACGCATCATTGTACTCGGTGAACTACAAATGTTTCCATGTTGTGACCCCCAATTTTAGGGCGTTATGGACCCAGGGACACTAATGCAGGTTGATGACAATCGCCCCACTATACGGAGTATGTTTTCTCAAGATTGTCTTGGCTTATGAATTGGTTCTCGATGACCGCTTGATTGCTGGAAGATAACATTAACAATGTGAACTTGAGAGTGACGTCACCAAGGTCGTCACAGATGATATCTTTAAGCTACCTCAAACCAGAACTGTCAACCGCCCTCTAACTGTCAATCCTCTCTGTTTTCTGTCTGCTACCCTACCCACTCTCACCATGGCTGAAATTTGGGCTCCTGCTCCTGAACCGACCACCGAGTTGGGGCGGTACCGTGTTCTCTCTTCTACAGCTGGGATTCACGTCTCGCCCCTTCAGCTTGGAGCCATGTCCATTGGCAATGCATGGGCAGAGTCAATGGGTTCAATGAGCAAGGAGGAGTCCTTCAAACTTCTCGACGCATTTCATGAAGCCGGCGGAAATTTCATCGATACCTCAAACAATTACCAGGACGAACAATCGGAGACTTGGATTGGGCAATGGATGGCCGAACGCAAGAACCGCGATCAATTGGTGATTGCTACCAAATTCACGACAGACTTTCGGTCCTACAAGCTAGGCAAGGGAAAGGTACCCAACCATTGCGGTAACCATAAGCGAAGCCTTCACATGAGTGTTCGGGATTCATTGAAGAAACTGCAAACCGATTGGATTGATATCCTATACCTCCACTGGTGGGATCAAACCACTTCAATTGAAGAGATCATGGATAGTCTTCATATCCTAGTGGAACAGGGTAAGGTGCTCTACCTGGGCATTTCGGATACCCCGGCGTGGGTTGTGGCAGCGGCAAACTCGTATGCTCGAGCCCATGGAAAGACACCCTTCAGTATCTACCAGGGTAGATGGAATGTCATGCTCCGTGATTTTGAACGCGAGATCATCCCGATGGCCCGCCATTTTGGAATGGCGCTTGCCCCTTGGGATGTCATGGGCGGCGGAAAATTCAAAACGAAGGAGGAAATTGAAAAGCGCAAAGCTCAAGGAGAGGGTCTCCGTAGCATATTGAATGCAGAGCAAAGCGAAGAAGAAGCTGCAATGAGTGCAGCACTTGAAAAGGTGGCTAAGGAGCATGGGATTAAATCCCTCACCGCAGTTGCCCTGGCATACGTGATGGCGAAAGCACCAAATGTGTTTCCTCTTGTCGGCGGCCGCAAAGTCGAACATCTCAAGGACAACATCCAGGCTCTCAAACTACGATTGACAGCAGAGCAAATCGAATACCTTGAGAGCCAAAAGGACTTTGATGTTGGCTTCCCAGGCAACTTTATTGGCCCGGATCCCAAAGTGACTGGGAAAGCCTCCTTCCTCTTGGCTGCCAACGCTCCATATTCGTTTGTGCGCGCACCCAAGTCTATTACCAGCCCAGAATAAAATTGGTAATGCGGTCAACAGACTAGTCGATCGCACATTAAGGATGAACTAGGAAACGGAAACAGGTGAAGAATAACATACAAATATTTCTTGGATGATTATCTTCTCAAGGGTAGTTGAAATCGTAGCCTAGAAAGGAGAGGCCCAATGATTGATGCTCTAGAGATTTTCAGAGGCTGAGTGATACATCACTCTACGTAGGTAGCAAAGGGCTAGCTGATAACATGGATACCATCCATGGATACCTATACCTACTCCGTAGACAGGGACCTAACTCAAAGATCCCTACGGAGTAGCAATACAAAAGTTAGGCACCCTTCGGCCACACCGACTATATTTGCCCATACGTATAGCCCAGGATTGAATTTCAAAGGCCTAGCGTCCAGAGTGGAACATGTCGGATCTAATTCCATAAATGTGCCCACCAGCGATGCTTGATATATAAATTACCAGATAGTGTCCAGCATTGTGATCTGGTGAAATATAAACAAGGCATTAATGACCAAAAGTTAGAACTGTTAAGTTAAAAGCGGAGAGGGCTGAAATGAAGCTGAGGAAATTACGGTGAGGCTCAACAAAACCAGGCGTTACCCCTCATTATCTTGAACCACCGTCTTCATATCTCGTAGGTATCAACCATGGATATTCTCCGAGCCTTCATCCTCGAATTACCCGACGAGGTTTTGGATGCGATTATTTGTGCAACGGGACCGGCTGCCCATACCGGCAGCGATGGGGCTTACGGTTTCAAAGTCTATGGGATGGGCACTGTACTCTCTCTTGTATGCAAACGCTTTTATCGCATTGCTGTGCCATACATGTACGCAGATTTAGTGATCAACACCAGCGACAAAACTTGGGGAGTACCAAAGCAAGTTTTCAAGAAACTCCATCGCAGCTTCAGAGACAATCCGTTGCTTTGGCCACTCTGTCGACACCTCATAGTGAGCTATGACACAACAAACGTCAATAATCTATATGTTGCAACGGATTGTATCACCTGGCTCATTGCTGTCCGAGCTTTAACGTTTTGGGGCCTGACGGATAGGAAGGCGTGGGATCTGGTCCGACTAGCCACGGAACAGAAGTCAAGTTGTAATTCTTTGTCACTCTGCTCCGCCAACTACTACGACCTCGATCTACTCCTTGTGATAGACATATTGGGTGATTTCAAGTCCGGATTTCTCCCCGATCTCCAAACACTGTGTCTGCGCGGCATTTCATTATACGGAGACCAGTTGTGCCAGGAAGCGCTTGGGGTATGTATAGGTACTTTGGGTACCCTAATTAGATGTTCTGCAAAACCTCTACCAATGTGCTAACAAGAATATTTGATAGGAAAAAGCAGGAACGGCCCCATTCACGAAACTTGAGCTACGCAATTTTCTCCTAACTCCAAAATCCCTCGAAGGACTCGTCCGTTGGTCTAGGCGTCTAGAAGAATTTGAGCTGAAATTTACCTTTGGGGATGACTTCGCTACCCCTGGGCTATATAAGGATTGGTCCCTGGCAACATTGCAACCAATTCTTTCTCTTCACCGAAAAACACTTCGATCGCTCACATTAGACGCCATTAACTGCCCCGGCATCCATGGCCTTGACTTGCGCCAGTTCGAAAACCTAGATGAGCTTAGCCTCTCGTCGCAAATTACAGGTCATCAACAACGCCGCTACGGGAATGAATATTTTGAACCCCCTGATGGTCTTCTTGCTCCGCGCCTCCGTGTCTTCCACTGGGATTTGACTCTCGTGGATCAGCAATGTTGTGAGGGTTTTGACGGCTTCGGCCAAGTAGAAGAAGATTGGCTACGACAACTGGCACGCAGGGCAATTCAACGCGGATGTCCACTGCGTAAGATTGAAATCAAATTCACTCCCGGAGAGTGGAGCTTCGATAGCGACGTGTATCCGTGGGACCGAATGGATGCTATTGGGCGTGAGCTACGTCCGCACGGCGTTGAATTGTCATATAACCCTCCTTCTGTTAGTAAGGAATGGTTTTTGAAGATAGTCGAGCCCAAGGAGTATGAGGCTCAAGAGAATGCCAAGCTGGCTGCCGAAGCGGAACGCCTTGGAAATATCGTGCGCGACAGAGTTATCGTGCCGACGGCCTAAGAGAATTTTGTTGGCATTGCATTTCATTTACCGTATCGCTTCACTTTTGCTTTTGTGCGGTGTTCTTTAATAATTAGCACCTCATTGGTGTGCAGAGTCTGTCGTAGATAGGCACCTAACGAAGCTGTACGAACTTCTACGGGATCTAGTCGGATAAAGATAATTGAGCATCCGCACAGTACCACATCTATATATAGCATTTTAAGCGACATTTTCACACGCTGTATGGCTGCCTCGTCTAGAAGTCTTATAATTGCTTCATGGCCATTCGATTCTGCATAGTTTCGTGGTGTGTTATCCTCTTCAACCACAAAAGCGGAAACCTCCGCCCCTTCTTCGAGGAAAATACTTACAACTACTTCAGTACCAGACTCGGCCGCTATATGCAGTGTGATATGTCCCAAGTAATCACGGTCCATCACGTTGGCCCCGTCATTATTGTGTATTTTGCTGCCTCTGTCGTGTATCTCAAAGTTGCCTGGTAGCCAGTATTTCTTTGACGATCCTGGAGGTGTGATATCGCCACCCGGTTCAATGTGTTTGATGAATTTGTATTTCTGGTCTTTGTCGAGAGTCCTGTCCAGGTCAAACAAATCAATATCCATGTAACTGTTAGCATAAAGTATACGATTGCTAAAAGTATACCGTACCTTGAAGAAGAAGCCTCATACTGTAACCGACAGTTGTGCAGCTTGGAAAGATCTCTCCATGCTCCCCACTGACATCTATATTGCAATGATAGTCTAACATTGGATGAAATAATATATAAATATTCTGAAGGATAGATTGGATATGGAGAGAAGCCTGAGAATGCCGTGAAAGAGGGAGCGTTTAAGCTGCTTTATATTGGAGGGGTTCTCGAATTCTTTTCCCAGCTCTGAAATTCGAATAATGTGAAGTTCGAGGGGCGTCAACGTGCGGGGGAACCGGATGAGAAGCCTGAGAAAGGAGTGAAGGCTGGGGTCAATTAAGGATCGGGTAGATGTCGCATTTACATATTATTTAAGGGGCTGAGGGCAGTGGTGGAGGCATTGCATGATGTATTGACATACAATTAGTACAGACTACCTAGCAGATAACCTTGCTTCACACGTTGATCCTACCTTCCTTATATAAGAGCTATCATGACACTATCAAACAGCATTCTTGGTCTCTTGGATCTCCACATGTGCCGTGACCGCTTTCTTCTCGCCATCCTCGTCGAGCTGTTTGTAAACGGCCGCAGCGACCTCATTGGCCTTGTCTTTGTCCTCGAACACTGCTTAAGTCAGCCACGTCTCTTGCAACAGAGCAGGAAGATCACTTACAGAATGACAGCTCCTCGAGCGTGCGGCCCGAAGTCTCTGGGAAGAAGAAGTAGATAAACACGACCTCAAATACTAGCCAGCAGCAGTACACCAGGAGCCACTTCCAGGCAATGCGCGCCAGACCAATCGGATTCACGTAGGTGGCGAAGAAGCTTGCGCCGCGGCCATAGAATTGGAACCAGGAGAGACCGCGTGAACGGCCCACGTAAGGGAATAGCTCAATCAGATACGCTTATTAATGTCAGCATATACACACGATATAAAACGGAAAGACACGCACTGTAGGTCAGGGCGTTATAGCCGAGGTTGTAGGCGGGCGAGTAGGCGAAAATAAAGAATATTGTCAGAATAGCTGCAGCTGGAGCCTCTGTGGTCATGAAGCGCTCCATGGAGATGGTCCATCCGGCGTACACACATAGCAGACAGCATGCGCAAGTCAGGTACATTGGCCGACGCTTGAAGCGCGCCGCCGTCAGTGCCAGCGCAGTGCCATTAACGAGGCCCCAGCAGGCGATGCCGATGTTGATCTTGGACTTGATCACACTGTCGGTGACTCCGACCATGTCCAGGAGGTCGCTAAGATAGTACCTATTACATGGATCAGCGAAGGTGAAAGGCATATATGGCAGATGCCATAGGTGAATGCTTACGAAGTGAGCGTGTTGCCGGACCACTGCGTGAACAGGCCGAGAAAAGCGGAGATGAATAGTCGACGACGCATACCGGCCGTGCGGAACATGTCCCACCAGGATTGCTTTGACTCTTCGAGCTCGATCTTGATGGTCTGTTCGATCTGCGCCATTTCTGCCTTGACAATGACCGAGCTGCGGTCGCCTTCTGCGTGGTACTTGGTGAGGATATCGAAAGCTTCGTCGTAGCGGTCTTTGCTGACCAAGTATCGGGGACTTTCGGGGAGGAACCTGGGCATGTGTTAATAAGAACAGTCGGGATAGCGGCGGGGATCGTCCTACATTACCGTCGCGATCTGGACCGTGGCGGGCGCAATCTGAAGCAGAGACGGGATTCGCCATGCCCAGTTCGACGCAATGGTCACCGTCCCCAGGCCCACGGCTGCCGCGATGATCTGGCCGATGAAATAGGAGGAGTTAAAGAGCGAGGTGAGAATCGGTCGTTCCTTGGGGTAACCCAGCTCCCCCAGCAAAGACGAGCCTGCCACGATGCAGAACGGGATTCCGAATCCTAGGAGGATACGCGCGACAACGTACATGGCCACTGGGAACAATCAGAAATGTCACATAAAGGAGAAGGAAAGGAGTGAATACCTCCATTGGAGAAGCCCTGGATGATGGCCCCCACCAAGCTCACGCATGAACCGAACATGATCGTCCATCGTCGTCCGATTCGCTGGTTGATATATGGGACAAAGGGCAGGGAGAGAATAGCCCCGAGGGAGTATGCAGCACCCAGAAAACCCTTGAGGCTTGCTTCGATCTCGTACTGGTCGCGCCCGTCCACGATCTCCCCAGTTGGATGACCGAAGTCTATATCGCACCGTTAGTATCCTGCAGAGCTCATCCTGGATCGAGAATACATGCACTTGTTCCAAGTATACACAATCTGGACCGTGTTGATAATCTGCGAATCGAATCCCGACGTGATCTCGATACCCATACACGCCGGGAACAAGAGGAAATAGAGTCGTCTCAGATTTGGCTTCTTGTACCAAGGCGTACGATCATCGGTCAACAAGTTAGCTAGCACAGGATCGGCAACATTTTCCTCGCGCTGTTTTCCAACCACGACCATTTTGAAAGGCTGATATGTTCGGATGCTCAAAGCAGTGCTGATCTGTGGACCCCTGAAGACTCGGTGGGACCGAATGATGGTTATATATCCTCTCCATTCTATGCTCGGCTTGGCCCGCTCTCAAGCAGCGAATGTCCGGGTGACCCACCAGATTATGCACGGGCTATGGAGTTTCACTCCATCGTATCAAAACAATCCGGGTACTATCCCCGCTGGTGGGATTAGAGTTTCAGCACCCCACGGGGTAATTGGGGGCGGTGGGGGTGAAGAAGGCCTGGATTCTTGCTTGCAAGCTTATGGTTGCGTGACGCCCATTCCAGAGGCTTGGCACTTCGTATTAGCCTAAAAGGTCTGCAGGGACTTCGGGGAGTCTCCCCGGGAGGCTCGGGCTAAGAGGAAGACGAGGATCACCGCTAGTTCGATAGAGTGGGAGATGCATTCGGGATGCTCAAAGAGGAGCGGAGCTGTAGCAGCTCTCCTGTAAGGAGTAATTTAGCTGGGACAAAGTACCGAGCTGAGAGGTTGTATTAACCGCCCGTAGACTGAGAACTTGCTGATTCAGCGACTATCATGTAAGGTAAACTCGTAATGCACGTGTTGTAACATGCTCATACTAGCTTCCCGGGCTGTGGGATGCTCTCAACAGCGATCCCCGGGATATTTCATCCATTAACTTCATATGTTTCCCTCGTTGCTGTCATATACGGAAATTATGTGATCCATCACAGCAGTCTTGTGTTTTGTTCTATAAATCCAAATTGCCATGCATCAGCCACTCTAGCAGTACACTTAACTCCTTGATCCCGCCGCCCTCCTCACCCCAGATCTTCAACCGCTCAATCACCACCTGCACGCAGTCCGCCCAGTCGGGAGGAATGCTCACATATTCAGCCGAGGGGCGCTGTGTTAGCTTTGCGCGAAATCCCGCAATCAGGCAAAGGGCGTGGTTGAACCGGACTCGACATGCTCCCCATGACCCCGGATGCCGGAAGAATGGTACCTCAGTCTGGATGCGATAAACTGCCAAAAGTAGCGCCTCACTCGCCTTAACTCCATATAGTGCCGCCATCCCTGAGTCTAATGGCACATGGATGCATAGGTATAGATACGCCCGGCAGAGTAGTTCGCGCACCTCGACGTATCGCTCACGGCTTAGCTTCATGAGCTCACCCTCCTTCGGTCCGGGGGCGGACTCGAGAGGCATGTTGAATCGGAGTGTATGTGGGAGACAGTCTACCCACTGCTGGAGTTGACCTTCCAGCTGCGTCAGAGTTTCTGCCAGAACCTTGATGGTTGGTAGATCGATATCGGGAGAGAGCACACGGACGGCGTTGCGGGCCCTATTGAGCAGCCTGCGCAAGAAGATCTCAGCCAGATAATAGTAGGAAGATGCTGCTTGCAGATCTGTGGACGAGGGACTGGAAAACATCCACCCAGGGGTGTCGTTAGATGGTTGTCTCGTGGGGAAGCTCGGGAGAGAATAAGGAAAGTCGGAGAGGCTGAGGTCACAGGGCGGGAGATCTGTTAGTTCATATCGAACCTCACTACTGTATGTCAGCGAATTGGGGTATATTTGAGGTTTGTGGTGTTTATCATACCATTCGGACTTCAAACATGTCCAGTAGAGTCGCTGCTCCAGACCTGGGGGAGTTAGACATATCGGCAGCGGAGAGATTGAATCACCCACTCTCTTCCTGCGCACTTCTAATCGTCTTTCCCCTCGCGGTGCTTCAAACGATATGTTTGCCACAGCATGGATGCCGTCCGGAACATTTTCCAGCCCGCGATCGGCTCAATGTTATACTGATACCAAATTCTATGCGGCAATTAGACATCCGTATGTCTGAGCAGTTGAGACAGAGGAGCTCACCCGAATATACAGAGACACTGCACTCCCAGTAAGGTGTCGTCGAGATACGCAGTCGAGATGCGCTTTCGCGCCATAGAGAGGAAGGTCAGCGATTCCTTCATTCGGTGCTCGGGAACTGACATCGTTGTGTAAGTAACTGGTGGACTGAATGATGGCTCGTTGTCCGAGACCTCGCGGGTTTCGTCGTCCGGATAATTCCCCCAGATGGCCGCAAGCGCAAAGATAAGTAGCACTAAGCACGACGAGGCGGACCAGTCAATACCGTTTTCCAGCACTCGAGCGATATAGAAGTCCAGCTGGTCTGGGTCAACGATTGGGTTCTTGGTCCAGATCTTGGTCACGAAAATCTCGCGCAGTTCGAGGAGCCTCTGGGGATCTAAGTTTGGTAGAGCTGTAAGAGCCCATCAGTATCCGATTATGGGGTATGATGCGTCAAGAAGCCCATACCCGTCTGAAAGCGATCTGGCTTCTCAGAATACGCTGTCATTGGAAAAGTCGAGACAGGTTTCTCTTGCGGAAAAATAGGCCAGCTGAGAATCATGTCCGACCCGGTAATCGGTGTCTTGAGCGCATCATTGCGCGAGATTGACTCGGGATCTACTTCGTCCACCGGGGATGGCGACGCCTGTTGCGAAAAAAGGGGAGGCGCTCGGCTCACAGACAGACTCTCTGCCAGAAGTCGCTCTTGACGTTCTACTGCGTCTAGGATTTTTGCGCCCCATGTATCTAGACTTTAGATAGAATTGGTGGTCATTATATGCCTCAGCTAATGGAAAAGCTCTATGGGAACCGACACTGACAGGGCATCCGTCTCCGGATACTCGCAAGCTACACCCCGCTGGATACATTTGGCACACACGGGCCGTGCCGAGTCGCATCGAGTCTTGCTGAGGCGACAGGCATCGCATGCAGTGAGCACCCGAGTATTCTTGCGAGGTCGCGCAGTCGACGAACGGTCCATTCTTCCTGCTGGGGTTTCCTGCAGTCGGACACGAAATGCTTAGAAAGAGATGTTGGTAAAAGTCCAAGAAAAAAACGACAATGTCGGGGATTGGTAATGCGCTAGGCGAATGGCTGAATCATCCCTCCAATCAAACCAAGACGGCCTCGTTTAGCCGGAGAATTCGCCAAAACAGAGCGGGATGAGTCCCTAAAGTCCCCGCCAATACGTGGTGCGATCCACTTGGAATTTGCCTCGGGCCACCACTTCCTGGCTAGAGGTTCCGATCAACACTTCGTAAGTCCCTTGCTCGCTCTTCCACATGTTCTCAATCTCGTCCCAAAAGCTGGTCGCATATCGGTCTAGCTGGATGTCAACCGTTTTTTCTTCCCCAGGCTGCAGGAATACCTTTTTGAAACCGTGCAGTTCCTTGCTTGGGCGTGGGGTTGGGGATTCGGGTGCAGAGATGTACAGTTGGAGAATCTGGGCGCCCGCCAGTTCTCCCGTGTTTTTGATTTGTACGGTGGCGACCGCGGGACGGTCCATGTTGAAGATCTCCGGGGCTACCGTAACACTCGGTGAGGTCTTGAAGGTGGTGTATGACAGGCCGTGACTACAATAGGGTTAGATAACACTAGGAGCCGAAGGAACTAACTCACCCAAATGGAAAGAGGACTTCTCGTCCCGTCTTCTCGTAAAATCGATAACCCGCATAGATGTCCTCGCCGTACAGTACTCGGCCGCCCACACTGGCGTAGTTTAGGTAGGCCGGGTTGTGTTTCACATCCACCGGCCAAGACAAGGGCAGCTTTGCGCATGGGTTGACCTCTCCGAAGAGGACATCGGCAATTCCATGACCCGTCTCGTTACCTCCGTACCAGGCCTGCACGATGCACCGGGCCTGATCAGCCCAAGGCATGGTAACTGGTGTACCAGACTGATTGACGATAACTGTCTTGTCTGAGGCGACCTCCAACACCTTCGAGATCAACCGGTCAACTCCCGGTGGCAGATCCATATGCGTTCGATCGAACCCTTCAGATTCCCAGTCCTTGTTGAGCCCGGTACAAAGAATGGTGTAGTCGGCCTCTGCAGCAGCTTTCACGGCATTCTCAATCATTTCATCACGGTTCATCCGTACACAGGCCCCCAGATTTGCGGCGCCGCCGCCGAAATTCACCATTCCCACCGTTTTCATTGTGGTAGTATTGGCAGAACCGAACTCAATCCGAATTTTGTATGTATTCCCAGCAACTAGATCCTTCGATCCCAGTTCCTCAATGGAGCCTTTGCCGAAGAATGCCGTCCCGCGCGTCTGGTTCGTAGTGTTATCGATCACGAGTTCGTCGTCAATGTAGAGATTTGCGGTACCAAAGACACTCAGGCCAAAGTCCCAAAGCCCGGAGGTGTCGGGTGTGAATTCGCCAATCAGCGTGGCCCAGAAGAGCCCTCGGTTGAGGCCGGGGGCAGAGTAGTCCATGAACTGGAAAGCCGTCGTCGATACAGGCTCAGTGCTGATTAAACTTCGTTCCTTGTTCATCGGCTCGTTGTAGAACCGAATAACAGCATTGTTCAGGAGCCGGTCTATCACGGGGAGCATCTTGTGGGCGTATGCGCCCGCTTCATAGAGAACCTCCGCGTTAGGAAGTGCTTCCCTGCAGGCGTCGTATAAAGAGACGGAGTAATATGGCTCAAGCGACGCACTTCCGCCACCTGATATTGCGGGAGTTTTCATGTGAGATCCGATTAGGGCGATCTTTTTGATCTCACTTGGAAGGGGCAAAATGCCCTCGTTCTTGAGGAGGACGATGCTGTTCGCACAGATTTTGCGATTCAATGCCCTATCCTCTGGGAAATCCCGTCCTCGTTCCACTTCTGACACTTGGACTTGACTTGCATGCTTCACGAATTCCAACACCTTTCGAGCTCGTGCATCGATAGTCGATTGCTTGATCAATCGAGCCTGCACGGCGGACTCGATAAATTTCCCCCGATATCTGGACACGCCGGGCATTTCTAGGTCAAGGCCGGCATTCATGGAGTCGATAGTAGTGTATGTCCCGTACCAGTCACTCATAACCAGCGGGTTCCACTTCCACTCCTCCCGTATCAGATTGAGCATGAGCGCATCTTCTACCACATGCTTCCCGTTGATCTTATTATATGAGGTCATGAGCGCACCAGGGTTTGCATCTCTCGCTACAATCTGGAAGGGTCGGAGGTAGATCTCGCGCAAGGCTCTCTGGGTGACGAGGACATCTACCGCCCGGCGTTCGTGTTCCTGATCGTTGCCCACAAAATGCTTCACGGTGGAAACTATGCCTTTGCTTTCGCATCCGAGGATAATTGATTTAGCCAGAGTACCCGAGAGATGTGGATCTTCTGCAAACGATTCGAACCCGCGTCCACCAAGAGGAGCGCGCTGCATGTTGATTGTCGGGCCCAGCCAACACTGTGCCCCTTTCGCGATGCACTCGTCGCCCAGCAGCTTCCCCGCTTGGTATATCAGATCTCGGTCCCAGGTGGCGCCCAGAGCTGTGCCGCAGGGCAAACATGCCGCGGGGATGCCGCCAAAGAATTTCGTGCCCCGGATACCATTAGGGCCGTCGGTGGTGCGGATTGAAGGGACGTTGAATTCGGGGATAGGATGTGTGTGCCAGAAATCAATTCCTGCTTTTGTTAGCGGACGTCCCTACAGATCACCGTCTCTCTCTTACCGGATAAAAGAGCAATCTTGTCCTGCTCGCTGATGTTTGCTAGAACATGCTCTACATCGAATGTCTTAGGCATAATGGATATTTGAGAAAAGAAACAATGTCAATAAAGAAAGAAATCTATGCTGACAGCCTCTACGCAGAGCGAACAGAAGCAAACAGACAGTGCAGCGGCTACATATATATATAAGTACCCAGGCAGTCCACAGCTTCGATCTTTTCACGTCAAACTCATATTTGGTAAGATCCCTGGACGCTATTTCCCCGAGTCCCGACATCTCGAGGCTCCCAGCGACGCACTGACGGCGGAGACTCCCCGGCTTAGTGGGGTCCTGCGAAGATCCCCGCATCTCAGCTATAGCCCTATCCGCGCGCTCTATCAAGCGATTTCAAGTTGGTCACATATGCGTCCGCCACCAGTAGAACTAATCTCCTTATCTGAGCTACACAGACCCAAAGGGATGACGGACGGTCTGCTCTTTCACCAGACTCCTCATTCCCGGAGTGATCTTCCATCTGAGTGCCTTTAGGGCTGAATATAATTATCACCCAGGGGGTGATGGGAGCTAGATATCTCAGAGCCTATGCACACTGTAGTCTAGTGATACAGCATAAAAATTTATTATGGCAATACCATGAAAAACTGGAATCGTTGGAAAGTGCCAAGAGCCGCTATCTAAAAAATGGATTAGAGCACTGTGCTAATAGTGTCTTGCTTGCCACTAACTCCCTAGTGTGCCACTGCTATAAACTTGGGTAAATTTTCTACATTTATAATAGCTACGAAAGCTCTAACACCTTAGATCTTAGTATCTGATCTGATATGTCACTTCTATTCCGTTTGGTATATCACGTGAGAACGATCGACAAACCGATGATCGGCTTTAGCCTGACCCCGCGATCCTCTGTGTGATTTTCAACTGGTGATTGTTTAATCATTATCCTCTAAAGAGCTTAAATTGAATCCATCTATCGTCATCGCCATCACCATGGGTATTCTGGGTCACCACAATCTCCGACCCTGTCGTTGAGCCTATCGCCATATTCGAACAATTTGTCGCGACGGAGCCGCAGACAATCATCTTAAGAGAAAAGGTGCTCTCCGTCTCTGGTGATAGCTTCGAAATTAAGTTGGCCAGTGGTGCGCCATTTCTGAAAGTGAAAGGAGCCTGGGTATCGCTTTCTGGTCGCAAGAAGGTCGAGGACGCCCAAGGCAATCACCTATTTGATATTGTCAAGGAGCTGCTACATATCCATTCAACCTATGCAATCGAAGACCCCCACCACAAGAAGATTTGTGAGGTGAAGAGTAGCCTCTCATGTAAGTATCTTCCATGATCTGGGACTATTCGGAAATCTGTATATTACCAACATTACTAACCACCACACTAGTGGTTGGCTCTAAAGCCACAGCTAGTTTCACCGATCGGAACGGCAAGGCAGTGGCTCTCAAAATGAAAGGAGGCTGGTTCGATCGCACTGCCGATATTGTTGACGACAAGAGCGGCCAAACAGTGGCTCGCATTGACCGGAAACTGCTTAGCGGCCGCGATCTTATCTTTGGCCAGCAAACCTACGCCGTTGTTGTCGCACCTGGTGTGGACGCAGCACTGATCACGGCCTTGTGTATTTGCTTTGATGAGAAGAACAATGATGAACGCGGCGAATAATTGATGCCTTTTATTCACCTCGGGTCCCTCGTCGGGCTAGGACCTTGCAGTCAGATAAATCCCTCTTTCCTTCTCTGTCGTTGCATAGGTCCACCCCTCTTTCTAGTGAACTACGTTGTCTCTTTTTCTACACCAATCCATAATTGAGTATGGTTCTCTACGGATTAGAGTACATCAGTTGAAAGCATCGATTGTACCGGGCTAGCTTTTTGTGTAACCAGAAACCATAAGAAATGTCGAGTGGCCGTTCGACATGAGATAGCCGGTCTGATACACCCGAAAGAAGGAGAACGAGATTTTGCTCAAGTATTTCATATTTCTAGTGAACGGAGTGCAGTCGTAGTAAATATATCTAGAGCTCCGTCAACTTACAGCATCGCATCTAACAAATTATCTCTCTGGTTCCCACAGTTCTAGAACATGACTACCGATCGAGGGGGAGAGCTTGCGAGCTACAAAGTACTCATGCTTACAAAATCCAATTCCGGAGGAAGTCATTGGTTGATCATGCATTGTCTCCATAATAAAAATGACTTCAAGGGAGGCAACGATTCCAATAGAGTGCTTCCAAACCGAGAACTAAAGACTGATTGTGTCAAATGTCATATGACAATGTGTATATATGCTAGCTTCGACCCCGAACACTCAATTGTAATAGTTCCGAGATTAGGTAAAATTCTATCTGCCCAATCATGTAATTCCGCGCCAGCCACTGCAACTGTGTGTCATCCTTCTGATCCGTTACAGATTGCAAAACATCAACGTCCGGCGTCGCTTCCGTTTGATATAGGGTTTTGGATGCTTGGCCTCGCACACTCTTTCGATACCAATAAGTAACTCTTTGAGAACAAAAAACAGATCATTCGGCTCGTTGATGGGGTTGAATAGCCCGGGAATAGCATGTAACTCTCTTCACTCGCGACATACTAACTTGGTGTTTAGTTAAGAGAAAGTGCACGAAAGCTTCAGAGCCGCCCGTCATATTGCCGATGGATTTGGGAAATACGGATGATGCGCTCGCGGCAATCAATGCAGCACTGGGAGACTGTAGGAAAGTATTGGTCGACTTAACAAACGGGCGTCTCATCAAATCCAAATGCTAGGGTATTCCTCACCAGCCATCTTGCGCTGTCGGAACCGTGCAATATCATCAGTAATTAAATAACTGGAGTCCTCAACCACCAAGAAATAGCCGTAGAAAGCCCAATCAGAAATAATTCCTTTTCTCCGTGGACTGTATAGAAGTAAAGAGCAACCAACAGTCTGACACTCGTGGCAGATTTAGTCAAATGCTTATCTGGGGTCACAGGCTCGATCCGCGTAAATCCCCGTTCTTATGACTCTCCATAGACTTTTGCTCACGGCTTTATTTCACACCGGCAGATTGGAATAATTCATTCAAACTTCACACCACTTTTGGTTGCTCTTGGTTTTGACCCTAAGTTCCTTTTCGTCACAGCCTGCTGTGAGGTCAAGGATAACCCGAGCCATCGAGAAAGATTGGTCTTGGATACGAGAAGGCCAAATACGCAATGAAGCTGATCAAAAGTAACCAACGTGTAGACGCCGATGACATTATATCCCACTGATTGAGTCAGATTTAGGGATGTTGGCAGCAAAGAGTCGAACAAGATGGTTTAGAGATTGAATGATAATTCCAAATGTGAAGGAGGTAACTTCAATAAATTGCGTGCTTTGAGATGTACATATATCTCGTATCTATACATTGTAAAACACCGGATACCGTATCTAGTGTATTCGTCCGGTTTCAATATGCATGGCAAATATTACCGACCTCCTAGATAAAAGTAAGTAACAGTTGGACCGGTGTGTATTCTAAGGGGCCCTTGAAGATACTCATTTAGCCCGTGTTGACATGTTGTTATACTGCGCCAATCATTTACGTCGATCTCCGGATACTTTACCTATTCTGCTGGATCTGATCCCTACCAATACGAACTATGCAGCACGCTACGAGTTGGCAATATGAAGTTCTTGGCAGCTCGTATTGGTATATATACGTAATACACTTTCAATCCTCGAAACCCCCCCACGTAATATCCTCAATATTGCAATATCTGGTACCGTCATGATTACAATTTCGGTTGCTGTGGCGTGCTTGGGCATATTCCTAGTTTTCCAGATCATTTCAATCGAATGCGAGGCTTGCCGCCATTCCAGGACCCTTCTTGCTAAGTTTACCGACTATTGGAAAGTATACCACTTGCTGAAAGGGGACTATGGTGAGGCTCTTTTACTGGTGGCATCAGCGCCACGGTCCACTGATCCGTACGGGGACTCGTCATATTAGCGTTGGAGACCCCAATGAAGTCCCTAGGGTTTACCAGATCAAGCCTTTGTTGTATAAGGTAAAACATCTCCTTCTATATTCAAAAATATGATGGTAATGACACAAGCGACTAACGTGTGATCTTTCAAGGGAAATATGTACAAGGAATGGTATTATCCGTTGGTTTAAAGGAAAGAACGTTGCTGGGCTTGAGGGGATAGTTGATGAAATTGAACATGCGAATGTCAAGAGAGTGATCGCGCCGGCGTTTTTCTTGGAAATCTGTTCTAATTACGAATCTCATATTGATCACAGTGCGGCGGAATTAGTCCAAATCCTTGAGAATCGGGATGTTGTTGATATGAATGAATGGCTTTCATACTGGGCCATTGATAGTATGATCAATATTGCTTTCCTCCGAACTTGGGTTCATGAAACATGGCACGGATATGGGTAGGTGGGACTTTGAATACGGTTCGTGCTGTGACCTCAATCTGGATGTATGTATTGAATTTCCCACAGTTTTCATGTGGCTTGCATGGGCAGGAAGCTTCTTTGTCGGACCTAGCGGGGAAATTGGTCAGCATGTGTCTGGAGCGCGTCAACTCTCGAATGGAAAGCAGGGAGAAGCAAGAAAAAAGAGGAGGATCTTCTGGATGTTTATATCAAAGCACGCCAGGCGCATCCAAGTCTCATTTCCCACGAAAGAGTCATTGGAATGACTTTCACGACACTGCTTGCAGGGGGGGGGACACAACGGCGTTCAATCTGGCATGGACAGTGAACTACTTACTCAAGCATCCAACCACCCTTCGCCAGCTCCAGGAAGAACTTGACAATGCTATCCTAGCAGACACTCTGTCTTATCCACCAACCCTTAAAGACTTATCGAAGCTTCCCATATCTCGACGCTGTGATCAAAGAGGGCCTACGATACGCAATGCTACTTCAGCTGAACATGGATCGAGTTGTCCCAAAGGGAAGCATGAAAATATGTGGTCGTCCTATTCCCGCAGGAACCACCATCGGGTGTCAGGCGAGAGTAATTCACCTTGATAAGGGAGTTTACGTCGAAGATGCCGAGAACTTCCGGCCTGAACGATGGTTAGAAGCAAGTGAAGAGCAACGAAAGCTTATGGAGCGATGTGCGATTTGGTTTGGAAGTAGAAAGCACACTTGCATTGGTCAGCATTTTGCTTGGGCAAAGACGATGAAAGCTCTTTCCATGATGGTAATAAAACTAGAGGTAGGTTGGAGAGATTTTGATCATCCCGCTATCTTTTTGATACTGACTGTAAGCTCTGCGGATATCTGACTCTGATGAGACTGCGAAAATGGTCTCCGGGGCTATCAGTTCGACACGTGGGCCGACGCATGCTTACTACATGAAGGTTAAGGAAAAGGGACTCAGTGATGGCCAAGTCATAGATAAATATGGTGTCCAGGGAGACATGGATATTGGATTCGACCGTTCCTATTCGCTGCTTTTCAGTTCAGTTGCGATATTTCATATATAATCTGTTGGATTGTTGCTATTTCTTCTTCTGGATAACTGTCAAGTCGCTCAGCAGAACACCTGATGTCTCCGGTTACAGCTATTCAACCCAATCATACTTCATCCGGTTGGTTCAAATCCATAGGTTTCTGCCACTTGTATCTGTTACCTATGAGGGAATATGCTTCCTTTCTACATATCCATGTTAATATTCACCCTAACTAAGCCTTTTTCATATTTATATCCCAGCGTTGGCAGAGTAGAAATGAAACTATACGTTCGTATGGATTTCTTTTCAATCTTGGTGATGAAATTGTTTTCCTACGCCCGGCATTGCGGTTCCAGACATCTTTTCGACAAAAGACAATATACGCTCTAGCCCGACTGCAAAATGCCTATGATTCATGTTGACTATATAGTCGCCAACCATAATTGCCTGACGTTGACAATCACTATGGCGTGGTATCCACCTCAACTAATGATATGTAGGCACCATCGCTAGTAGACGGACAGACTCTGTTCCGGATATCGAAACAATCCCAGCTCTCATAGCGTAAATGCTCCCAAGCGAATCCAGTTACCGCCGGATGAGTCGCTGCAATCCAATATAGACAAAGTTCATGATCAAGCGCTACACCGTATTGTTGAGCCCGCTTGGAGCTGTTGGCGATCTTCTGCTAGAAAGGCCGTTCCTAAGTCAGCGGGGCCAAATTAGCGACATTGTACAAACCACAGCCAATTTTATTTAAAACCCATAGTGGGTCCTTCTGGAGCACCTGGCCCACCTGGCCGACATGATCGGCTCTATAAAACGGGTGATCTGGTTCGGTATGCGAATAATTGCACCTAACATTCGTGGAGTGCAGGGACAATCAGTTCAAAATCCACGGGCAACGCGAGGAATTTAGTGATGTTGAGCACCATATCCCGGAGTATTAGGGAGATAATGTTGCACAGGTCGTCGTCGAGCTGGTCACGCTGCCAGGACTCATCCCGAAGCCCACGCTCGTGGATTTTGTGAAAAAGACGGTGAATTTTCAACAAGGCAAAGATGCCCCTGGCAAAGTGTAGTCATCGTGTGCGTAGAGAGAGAGAGAGAGAGAGAGAGAGAGGAATGGGCAAGGTGAGAAGTCATGTATTGGATTGAGATGTTGACTGGGGAGAGAGAGCGGAGGAAGATAAATTAGATGGGGAGCAAAAGTTCCTGTCCGCGTTAGGCAGTAAGGCTGCCTTACCTCAACAATGAGAGACCAATGCCTAAATTATATCGTACTGTAGATGTTGTATTGCTGCAGAGCTCAACTTTTATGTGTGCCATTAATGCTGGCTTCTTGGAAACACCTAGCTGGCTTAACCTACACGGTAGCAATGACCTCTGATGTGTGGTATTTTGAAATGGTAACAATCAACTTTTACAGTGCTTCCTTTATAGTACACACATATGAGAAGAGTTTGAGACCTATCAAAGCACATAGACGGATTAAGTACAATGAAGAAAAGACGCATGCGCAAGCCCTTGTCACTGGGCATGTCCTGATATGCGGCTTCAACTGGATTAACAAATTGAACGTCCAAAGCGACATCTGGGGGAGCGGAATAAGAATCCAAAAAACAACAAGAGCATGCCCTGGGTATCACAGCTACATTTCAGAGCGTGAAATGTCAAAGACCCGTCAAACAAAGTGGACCGTAGTGTGTCCCGGGTAGATACCGCTGGTACCATGAAGGGCTACCCACACCAGTCGGGCAGTAGAACAGACCAGTCGGATCATACTTCTTTTTGATTGCCTCAAGCCGAAGGTAATTGGTACCATAGAAATTAGTAGCCCACGAGGGATCGTTGCGGTCAGCCTTTTTAGCTGTTAGTATAAGTCTTCAACAGAAATCAATTCACCACATACCTCATTCATGTAACTGCCTAGGGTGGGGGTTAGCAGGCTCATAGCTGCTCCTTTTGGTGTATGTGATATCGTCCTTCACAGACTGAGCAGTGGACTCGTCTGGCCAGCCTCGAGCGACAACTTCCACGATGTAGGCTGAGCGCCATGCAGGGTTAACATTAGAGTATTTATCATTGACATCAGTGAGGACCTTGCCACCGGCAACGAGCTCCACATTATTGATTGTATATTCGTTTGCTTCACCCGCAATAGCTCCGATCATGGTGCGTAGTTGAGTTCGACTAGATGTTAAAGCGGTCTTGCCAATCATTCGTGAGGTCGGGTGCCGTTTTCGACGAGCCAACTGGTTCCTTCCCTACCCGACATAGCCTGGTAATACGCTGCGTATGTTGGGAACTCAAACCATGACACGGACACAGAAAGCGATGCACCATTATACTTCTGCAGCGTTTGCAGAAGCGGTGCTGGGATTTTCTGAGCTTCAGCGAGCGACTTGCCCATGATTGCTGCATTATGAACATAGCCAGTGCTCTCGTTGGCGAAGACCTTCATGGGGTTATTGATAGACCAGGAGCCGTACCCAGAAAAACCTTCATCCATGATACTTGGATACTGCTCGTGAATATCGGTAACAGCGTCCAAGAACGCGTCGGTATCCTTGCTAGCCGCAATCGGGCTGACCATCAGAGATTGTGCCACAACAGGCTTGCTGGGGTACCGCTCCTAACGTCATCGAGGTAACGACGCCGTAGCTGCCACCTCCACCGCCACGAATGGCAAAGTAGAGATCCGAGTTTTGGCACGCATTAGCGGTAACAATAGATCCAGTAGCTAGCACAACCTGAGCTTCTAGGACTTGATCTGCAGCAAGGCCGTAGTCATGGCTAGCTGGCGAGTGACCGCCTCCCTGTGTGTAGCCGCCAATGCAGCCAACGGTCTTTCCGTAACAACATATTAGAATTGTAGACTTGGTGGAATTGGGGACATGATATGAGCTCCTTACCGGATCACCTCCACCAACGATCACGACATTGCGCTTGAAGGCCACATCATACGCCTCTTCCCAAACATACCCTCCACCAATGGTGATTGCAGAGCCTGTCCAATCGCTGCTTGCGCATTTATCGGAAGCAGTATAGGTGTCATGGAAATCAATTCCGTCCGAATATATTTGATCCAAATCTGGAGTGCTCCATAGCCCTCGCTTCTATAATCAAGTCATAAATTAGTAGACTGGTTATTATAGATAATCTAACTGGTCTCACTAACTTTCCAGCATATCATGCCCGGTGGTTTCTTATAACCAAGCGAACGTTATTTTTTTGCGCAAATGCTATGCCAGCTGCAAGCTCCTCGGCTATGTTGCGTTAATCGTATATACCGGGGCCGGCCCCAGAATACACTTTTCAGGGCTTTGGCCCTTGCTCAGATCAACGGCGGGGCATGAAATGTCCGTTGGATAAACGTATCCAACAGGGGAAAGCTCTTTGGTATGTCGAATTAGACCATTGTGAGTAGACATGGGCGCACTCCTCGTCGTTCTGGTAAGGCCCGGGGTAACACGAAATAGCAACTGGGAGATTGTGGATAAGTTTTCCAGCTATTGTTGTGTTGAGGGCATTCCAAGTGTCAACAGAAGGCCAGCATGAGTCTTCCGGGGTCTGCGGAGAAAGTCAATACAAACACGTGCAAAAATTAATATTCGGTGTCAGTTTCAAATATATACTTACAACACTTGCGCGGTCTGACTCCGCATAGCCGATGCCGGCAAAAAGCTAGAAAGGGACAGAACTCTTGACACCATGTAAAAATACAGCTACCCCAAGGCAGTGATGGATATGAAGAGGGCTTTTAGCAAATCCGGGGCAAACGACTTCTTCGTTCAAGTATTTAAGGGGCAGCGGGCGGCCCGACGGGACGCGGATAGAATAATTTCCGGGCACCGTTTAATGTACACATAACGCAAGCGCGAATGCATTGTCGCATCAGCCCATTCTAGGACCGTTTCCAGGTACACCAAAAGGTGGAAACTCTCATAGGGCACTCAGTAGCGTGATTAAACTCCAACCTGGGGGCATAACCGATGTGTGGTCTGTGTTGGCTCAGTGGGTCAATTACGGGTCGTGGGTTTGATGTATTCTCAGTTCACTTGATTGAAAAATAGAGATGAAATGTCAAGTTACAAGACCACATACAAAAAGAACTCTTGGCAAGGAACAAAAGATTATGTGAAGCAGAAGCATATGTTGAAAGAAGCTCTCAGTTAGGTCATGTGCTAGGATAAGCCGATTGTGTTTCTTCCCGATCCCTATCACAATGAAATATGTAAACAATGCGACCCTAAATAAGGGATACTGGGCTTGAAATAGCCGCTAATGGCCCAAGCTGTTGGGACCGGTCGAATATATGTAACACCAATAATCAAACTAACCGCAATGGATCATTAGTTACTATTGAGCTCGCTTGGGGGTATTAGTTCAACTTGAGTGTCCAACAAAATAGATTGAACTATGATCTGCTCCCAAATGATCTTTTACGCCCAAAACCCCAACGTTGCCGCTCGTCCGGGTGTCGACTTGATGTTGATCCTTACATTTTTCATTGATTAATTAATCCAACCATTTTATTTCATTTGATTGAAGATAGAGGCTGCTCCAAATATTGACGCGAGAAACGATCTCAATTAACTCCCGCGCCCAGGCTAAAGGGGCGAACATATGCCGCCTCTCCGTCCCACGGGGCAAAGCTGTTAATCCAACGACAGGGATTACGAAGCCCTTGATTAATTTTTCAACTCACTAGTAACTGTAGATCTTGCCTATTTTGTACATCTGGATTCTGGATATCCACACAATAGCCTCTGGATAGATGAACTGCTAGATGAACGACACAGGAACACTACTCCGTACAACAAACAGCCTCGCATGATTGAATGCAAGTCCTGAGGGACTGCAAAGGACAGAATGAAGGTCTATATTGTGGATTTTCAATCCCATTTTGTACACTTCACTCAACCAGAATGCACTCTATTTTAGTGGTCAATGCGTATTTCGTCCTATTATTACTCTCACCCCGGATCTTTGTCGGTCGTCGGTCGTCGGTGGACAAGGGTCTGATGCGTACTCCGGGCTATGTGCTTTGCAGATATACGAGTTGATTTTATTTAATAATGCGAGGACTATTTCGCTCTTTTTTCCCTGGCCTCCTACATGTTGATAGACGTCTAGGACCATCGAGACCATTGGCGGCTATTGCTTCACAAGAGCAGTTGTTGTGTGTTACTTATTCCAACTTCTGTCGCCATGAGCAGTCCACTCGCCCTCAAGGACTGGGAACCCATCTCCCAATAAATGGCCTCATAGCCATAACTTGGGTAGGGGCAGCACTCGGTATCCTCTTCACAATTGCTCGAATCGCAATTCGGATAAAATATATGCACCGCCTGCTAACCGATGATTACTTCATGCTTCTTGCCTTGGCCTGCCTCATTACGAACGCGAGTCTACAAACCGTACAGGCACCTCATCTTTATTATATGGTACTTCAAAAGACAGAACCCGACCTTGTTTACCATACGGTGCGTTACACACGCTTCGAGTTTCCTATCATTGCTATATTTTGGTCCGTACTGTGGAGTGTCAAAGGATCGTTTCGGCACTCTTCTGGATGCTTGCCGGAGGGACTGCCTCGGTACCGCCGCGTGTGGTGGATTATTACGTCTTCGCTGTCTTGGCATATATTGGCTGCTGGTTGGGTTCCGTACTTAACTGCCATCCACCGTCGAACTACTTAAAATTTGGTATAATATTCCCTCTATGGTAGTCAGTCTACTAGGGCAACTTCTGACCATTCACAGGACAATGCACCAAGCCGATTGACCAGCAGGGATCTATCATCTCTATATCTTATAGTACGGTCGTTGATATAATCACAGACATGTTAAGTATGGCCTCTATCGTTGCGATAATTTAACAACATATTATTGACACAAGGATACGTACTAGTCATGTCTCTTCCAGTTAGTCTCATCTGGGGAACAACAATCAACCTCCAGCAAAAAAATCGGTTTGGCGGTTGTCTTCGGTTTTGGATTTCTTATCATCGGAGCGGCAATTGTTCGCGCAATCGAGATCTCCGGCAAAGCATACTCTGACCAAGTAGCCCTTGCTGTATGGAGTATTGCCGAGTCATCAACCTGCAAGTGACCACCATGTTTGACCTACCATTATAGTACACTAACTATAAGCAAAGCCACGATCGTCGGATGCCTCCCTCCATTCCGAGCTGTAATCTCAAAAAGCCCAGGCATTACCCAATACCGCTATGGTTTTTCGAGCGGCAATTCGGCTGTATACCCTGCCTCACCGCTGGGACCAGCTGCGTTCCACTACAACTAATTGGAGCGAGGTTTCACTTACCCGTGCAGGATCGCAGGCAATATCACAATCTGGATTTGAGATGACCGCGCCTCGAAATACGGACATCAATGGAGTGCAGGTACGTTGGACACCCAGATGCCCCGAAAGAGAAAGCTCGGAAGGAAGAAATCTCAGGAAATTACGATGGTGCAGGAATTTGTGAGTTCTCCATCCTGAGGGAATTAGTGGCGTGCTCGGAGCTAATGTTCGGTTCTTAGAGTGTGGTATCCTGCCCAGTAATGTATTATTTGGCAGTATGCATGTGGGCTATATATATGTTATCGGCGGTGGTTAATAAGTATCATCAAAATAAAGCTGCACCTGAGGCAACTTGAACGAAGTGATGTTCAACAGATGTCGACGCGGTCTTCCCCTCGTATTGTTGATCCAAGCCTTGGGCTAAATTTCCAACTTCTGTATACGCCCACTCACCCTCATTACCCTACGTCCTGCGACGCCCAATTTTAACGGGTGACCCTTGGCAGCGCAAGTCTACCACTTTCTATCTTCCTCCGTGGTAAATTGACACTTAATTAACCAGTGCATAGATATGCTCCCACCATTAGTGTAGACTGAAATTACAAATTCTGCCCTACGGGAAGGTTCGGCCTATCTCGATAAATGCCAGTGCCCACCCAACCTGACATCACCCCGTTGGTGAGACAAAGGGGGCGCTCATACAGGATTGATTTTCAATTCATTGCATTCTATAATCCTTTGCAGCAGTTCTACCAGTACATACGACCATAGGGTGTGGAAAACAGGGCTTCCCGTCCGCTCAGCCGTACTTAAGCCACACGTAGAGCGCGATCGATCAAAAGGAAGCCTCAATGACTAAAAGCAGCAAGAGCTAGTTCACTAGGGTGAGTGCGGGCGATTTGGGTGCTGGGGGTGGCAGAGGTAATAAATTGGATGTGACGGGGTATCAAGGTGAGCAGGGTAAGGGGTAAGGTTTCAAAATTATCTATCAAATATAGCGCAGAGAACCCCAAACTCAAATTTTCAGAGTTACCAACTGTTATGAGGGTGAGGATCAAGGCGTTGAATTCATCGGGAGCTCATGCCCCAATGGTGCTGCACCCTCGGGTTCTTCCCTGGAAAAGATTGAATTTCTCTCCATTATATCCCATATTTTCATTTGGATTAACCGTTGAACCGATGACTGTTTTCATTCTTTCTTCTCCAATCCACAAACTTCGATGCTCTTCCCCGTCGAGCGGGCTCAAGAACACGTCATTCCTCGATATTCATCTCTCCAGGCTCTCCGTGAGACAATTAGTCCACCACCCGTGGGAAGGCATGGCAGCCAAGCAGTGATGAGCCGACTTTTTCGCTGACACTTATACCGCATGTACTATGTACAAGCCTGGAGAGCTGATAGGTTCAAAGATATAGTAAATAAAGATATGAAAAAAGACCCTTGAGGAAGACGTTAAAAAATACCATAATTCGGAGGAAAGCCAGCCTCAATTACCTATATTGTGGGCCTCGTTTTACAATACGTCATATGAGGTGGTCTATCCTAAGAAGCGGTGTAAGATACATCAAAATTAGGAAATAGTTCAAATGTTCAGGCCGAAACGTTAGAGTGACTAAAGAAGCGACCCTGCCCAGGTGGCCGCTATACACCCGCATAGTAGAGGGAGAGAAGGAAAGAGTCTATTCGGAACCCTCCTTCGAAAGACTGAAGAACTAGAAAAGCACTAGATCTAGAGGAAATTATAGCCTGGGGAGCCTTAGCCAAGGTTGACGCAAAACTTCATAACAGAAACCATTCCAGAGTGATTACCAAGTGCAATTTTGCCGCCAAAGACCACACAACTGGTAGGCCTAAACTCTGACCGGAAGCCATAGAATCACACTCTCGTTGTCTATGCATATCCAATACTCATTGTCAATGTATAATTCGAACCCCGACTGGGGTGAATTAAGCGTGGATTTGTCGCACTGAGATTGGAACATGGAAAACGCCCGCGTGGGTACTCAAATAAGACCCATCCTGCGAGAAAGTAATGTCACCAGGATCCTGACAAAGAGTGGGTGTCTGCTGCAAATGCGCCTGTGGCCAGGTTCCAGAGCTGTATGGTCCAACGTGGAGAGCTAAACGCCAGTATCTGGCTATTGGGAGAGAAGGCCAATGAGAACGCTCGAGAGCCTTAAATGTCTGCAGCAACAAGCCTGAAGCCGGGTCCCAAAGTCGCACCGTATTGTCGTAACCAGAGCTAGATGCAAGTAGGTGACCATCTGGCGAAAAGACCCACCGGAGGACACTCCAGCTGAATGGCCCTTGAGTGTCTGCCGTACCTCGCCTGTGGCCAGATCCCATAGTAAAATCCAATACTTCTTCCAATTTCTTTCAGGTCCCAGACCATCAGATCCAGACGCTAGTAGCTTCATATCAGGCGAGAAAGCTATGGAGTGAAATTGATACGAATGACCCTCGAGTGTCTGCTTCAGTATGCCTGGGTGGATTGGATCCCAGATACGTATAGCGTTTTCAAGAGACATCGAAACCAGCAGAAAGCCGTCAGGAGAGTAGCGGATACGCTCACCCAGTGTTCATGGCCCACCAGAACGTGTCGCAATTCACCTGTAGCTGAGTCCCAGAGCCGCACAGTATGATCGTAAGAGCCAGATGCCAGTAGACGGCTGTCAGGTGAGAAGGCAATATCACTTATCGCTTCTGGAGTGGCCTTCAAGTATATGGTTTAGTGCACCGGTAATTGAGTTCCAAAGACCATGGTTCTATCATTAGAGCCCGACGCCAGCATATTGCCATCGGGTGACAGGACTAGCTTACTCACCCATTCCTCATGGCCTCGAAGCGTGGGCTGGAGCTGATTTGTTATGGGATCCCACAGACGAACGGTGCTGTCTTCGGAGCCAGATGCTAGTTGGCGGCCATCAGGCGAGAAGGCTAACGAGGAGACCCCAGCTGAATGGCCCTGGAGTATCTGAAGTGAAGTGCACCCGGCGGCTGGGTCCCAAAGTCGAGAACAACGTCATCATCTTCATCGCCCCCTAAGGATGAAGAGCTAGACGCAAGCAACCGGCCATTAGGTGAGAAGGCCAATGCGGTAACTCCGGAGAATATCGTGAGCCTTAAGCGTTTGCTTCAGTGCTCCCGTGGCAGAATCCCAAATTCGCACATTCGAATCTTCCGACCCAGATGCAAATAGGTGGCCATCAGATGAGAAAGCCACACAATTAATCTTTCTGAATGCCCCCTAGTGTCTGCTGTAGCGTGCCGGTCGAAGTATTCCAGATTCGTACAACATAATCCTCCTCTTTCCCAAAAAAAGAGAGCCAGATCCGGACGCAAGCAGCCTACCGTTAGGCGAGAAGACTCAAAGAGTTGACACCACCGGTAAGCACCGAGTTCTTTCTTTAGCGTACCTGTAGCTGTGTCCCAGAGCCTGGATAGTATCATCCTCCCTTCCTCTGAAATTCCAGAGCCAGACGCAAGTAGCCTTCCACAAGGGGAGAAAGCCAACGCGTCAACCCCCATGGGATGGTTCCCAAGCGTGTGATTTAGCGCCCTGTGATCGGGTTCCAGAGTCGCACGCTCTGGTCATGAGAGCCAGATGCAAGCTACAGCCAGCCCTTCGGCGAGAAGGCTAGAGAGGTGACCGCATTCGAATGTCCCCAAGCGTCTGTCGCAGTGCACCCGTAGCTGTGTCCCAAAGCTGAATGACATTGTCCTTGCTGTTGCTTCCACAAGAGCCTGAGCAAGATGCCAAACCCGACTATCGGGTGAGAACGCCACTGCATGTGGACCGCAGATGAGTGGCCCTCGAGCGTCTGTAGCTCCGCGCTCCACTGGTAGCTTACCTGTAGTAGCTGGTATATCCAGAAAGGAAGCTCGTTGATAAACTCTCGGCGAACATTGACATTATAGGTGCAAATATCAATCCTGCGCAATAGAGTTGAAGAGGAACGTCATTGGCTATCTGTTGGAATTCTGAGAACGAATAGCTTTGCATCTTGAAGAAAATCAGATATCGTCGAACCACTAACTTCCTTGTTATGTGTGAGAACTGATCATAATCTAGGGGTATGTATGTGACTTACTTGTGTAATCATCTGGAAGAGCATTTATCATCAAGACCACTTCTTGAGGCAAGGCCTAAGGTACCCATTGCTTCCACCCAGTGTAGGAAATGCTGCTGGAGGAAAGCATTCTTGAGCCATATCACTTGAAACCACACACTGCTCTAAATGGCGTACCCAATAACGACAGGAGTATTGCAACTCAGGCTGTAGATGATGATTTATCAGCCGTTCATCGATGTCCATTCTTTTCGTTCCATAATTATTGAGGTTACAAATGTCTTTTTTCAACTTTAGCACGCATGGTACTAAGACATCGAAGTGCGATATTATTATGTGTCTGGCCTTTGTCGATGTAGAACTGGCTTCCTGTTTGCAGTAGAAAGTCTCGAAATGACTGGTGAAGGATTTGAACTGGTTGATCTCGGCCACTTGGCAATCGAAGGACCGATCGAAATGAATCCAATAGATTTGAAATAAGCCTTTCTTGAGTCCAAGAAATCTTTTGCAAGCGCATTCACAGGAAGTGAATCGGCGAAAAGAATTATTGAGCCAACGATCCGCTGGAAATATTGTAATGTGAGATCTTTGTCCTCCTCATCCCGTCCACCCAGTAGCCGCACGAGCACCGGTAAGTATGTTTTATCCATTTTTGTAGAATACTTTGCTTGATCCTTGATAAGATCGGCAAGTTCTTTTACAGGATCCAGCTTAGACTCCACATATAGACAAACAGTTGCTGCTGAAATGAACAATGGAACTGACATTTCAACAAGTGTTCGAATCAGTATCTTTCCCTGGCCAGTCTGTAGGGACATCCTTTTTATCCTGGATTTTCCACTGGTCCTCAGAAACAAGGAGATATCATGTGCTGTCACTTCCTCGGGGATCTCATGTAGAGCAAGATCTTGATATTGATGATTTGTCATTTTCGAAAACCCTAGGCGAATCGGCAACTCAGGTCGACTTGTCAAGAATATTCGAGTCGAAGAGTGCTTAACTCCTGTAGTTGTGGTAGAAGTTGAAGTATGACACGTATGTCATCATCTGTGTCGCATTCGTCCAGTGCGTCGATTACCATAAATATCACTCGTATCTGCGAGCTCAATCGGTCTAACTCAAGCAAAGGTTGGAGAAGGAGCTCCTGAAACTGCACTTTGAGGACTTCTTTCTTCCCACATCAGGATCAGTAGGCATTCCGAAGACTTGGTGCCAGACCAGGAATTTTGATCGCTAGCTGTCGTGAAATTGTCGGAAACAGTCTAGTGGCATTACCTCGGTCTGCTTCGCCTCTTTTGGAAGAAGAAGGTAGCCGCTGCCAACTGCTCGCTTCTTGGGAAGAATCTCGCGACAGTCCGGGCAATAGTCGATTTCGTCCCGGCCATACCGTTCAACCAAAAAATACATTTTCCGTCAGGTGACGTTGCCCACTCTGCAACGTTGCGAAGAAGGTCGGTTCGAGTGCCGTGAAGGCATTCATCCTCATGCTGATCGCTATACGAATCCAACTCGGCACCACGCGCAACGGGCAACTTTGTCTTAAAAGGTCTAGATTGGGTCAGTAAATTTTTCCTTCTTTAGAAAGTCACCCAACATACCCACATTGTTGATTGGATTGCCACATTGCCGTTGTTGATTCCCAACTGTACCTGAATTGTTTGGCCCAAACGACACATCTGCATCCCCGGTCATGTCGATACCGGCGAGGAGATTGGGCCCAGTGTAGGCGAAAAGGGCGCCTAAGGAGGACAGTGTATGGGCAAGCTGCTGGTTTAATAAGGTAATCGATCAATTGGCGGAAGAGGGAGAGAAAGTCAGGAGGACATGGACGGGGCGCGAAAGGGCGCTGTGGGCGGTGAGTGTAAGGCAGTTAGGTATTATCGGACGTAGGCGCTTTACAGGGTAAGAACTAGTCACTTGGGTTACTTCGTACCATTCGGAGCCACAGGTATCAGACCTTCTTGATGAAAAGTGATAGCTGGACAAATCCGCCAACAGTGTAGCCTGTAGGGTCCAGAATGCTTACTTGTAGTAAAAGGCAAAGGGACTGTGTTGAATATGGTATTGTCTATGTTCAAAAATTGATTCGTTGTCGTAGTCTGCCGTGGATGATAGGTCAACACTGGCAGAGCTGGCGATCGAGGCTGTGTGCAGATGCCAAGAGAGTAGTTGTTTTGGAATGAACGCTACGATCCAATGAGTGCCAATTGCCGCTCAGCTGGGAAGGTCAGTGCTGCGTCGGGTGACGGCCGGTGATTCCCACCAGCTTATCACCCTGTCTATAGCGCACTCACCTCGTCACCCCCAATCGCGCGACTGTAGCGGCGCTCGCCTATTTCTCACTTCCGGGCGGCACCCACCCGACTATCGACCGCGTTTAGCTTCGATCACGCCGGTGAGAGTTAGTAGTTGGTGGGTGACCACCAGCGAATCCTCTCACTGTTGTATGTTTTTATTCTTTGTCTGTATCACATTCTCTAGCCGCGGTGTATATATAGCACCTGTGGACTGATGTTGGGGTGGGTGATATGGGTGAAGTAGAGAGGGAGCATGGTGTTCTGCTATCTCGGTGCGCATCATTGTGGTGCAGAATCCCGCTGATTAACGCGGGAAGTGTGCCCAGGTGCCTCAGGATCAATTCAGGCTGTTGGGGTTTGTTGTGTTAGGATTATATTGTATACTATTTGTTGAGGATAGAAGGACCTCACACATGGCTGTCCCACTAATCCATTTCTCTTCCTTTCTCTCTCCTCCCCATAGCCAGAATTCCCGTTAGATGCACGCATTTACTTTGGAAGATCTGGCTGGTAACACGAAGATGATATCACGGCTATCAGTAAATGACGCCCACTTGGCAGATATCCTCAGCCAGTGAATACTATCCTTATGTTCATATGCCTCTGTCCACTTTTGTTCCTTCAACTCGGTCCGGGGAACACTTGAGAAATCAGATTAATATCGGGGTAAAGCTCCACCCACTCTCACACAATTGACTAGGAAACAGAGAGCCATGACATCTACCGGATATATCCGAAATATCCGAAACTGGTACTGCTTTCCCCAACAGGTTTGGGAGAGCCATTGTTTGCTAATCTAAGAAGAGTTTATGGCCCAACTATAGGCTGGGAAATCAGCTACTGTTCGACAATTAACCATCCAAATCAAACCTTTAGTCAGATTCAACAATCCCAAAAGGCACAGACGCGTGGCACCGAAACCTACTCCATTGTTGATGTGTGGACAAATCTCTGGAGTAAGGATAACATGCCTTGGCGATAGATGGTTGCATCACCGACGCAGGATATAGCTGGGAACCGCCGTCCCTGAATTTGCTCTGTCTCTTCGCTCATGGTCATTCGACCCGGAGATCGCTGACAAAAG